CCCACTACGGCCACCCCGACAACCCCAACGAGCGTACCACTCATGAAGCTTTGGGGGCGTGAGGGACTCACGCGGACGGCGCTGGAGCTGCATCCGGCCACGTCAGGAGCAGCAGTAGCAGTAGAAAGGGGAGGAGCCGTAGGAGCAGCACGAGCAGCAGTAGCAGGAGAAAGAGCAGCAGCAGCAGGAGCAGTAGTAACAGCAGTACGGGCAGGACAGTGCTCACCAGTGGCAAGAAGGGCCGGCGTACAACGGCGGCAACGGCGAGGCCGGCACCACTGTAGGGCGAGGGCTCCGCGGCAGCTGCAGGTGGCGGCTGCTCCAGGGGCCAGGGGCGGCTGCTGCAGGGGCGGCTGCTCCAGGGGCCAGGGGCGGCTGCTGCAGGGGCGGCTGCTCCAGGGGCCAGGGGCGGCAGCTGCAGGGGCGGCTGCTCCAGGGGCCAGGGGCGGCTGCTGCAGAGGCGGCTGCTCCAGTGGCCAGGGGCGGCTGCTGCAGAGGCGGCTGCTCCAGTGGCCAGGGGCGGCTGCTGCAGGGGCGGCTGCTCCAGGGGCAGGGGCGGCTGCTGCAGGGGCGGCTGCTCCAGGGGCAGGGGCGGCTGCTCCAGGGGCAAGGGCGGCTGCTGCAGGGGCGGGTGCTCCTACAACAAGCAAGTAGTAGCAGCTGCAGCAAGTAGCAGCAGTGGCAGCATGTAGCAGCAGCTGCAGCAAGTAGAAGCAGCTGCAGCAGGTAGCAGCAGTGGCAGCAAGTAGCAGCAGCTGCAGCAAGTAGCAGCAGTGGCAGCAAGTAGCAGCAGCTGCAGCAAGTAGCAGCAGTGGCAGTAAGTAGAAGCAGCTGCAGCAAGTAGCAGCAGCGGCAGAAAGCAGCAGCACAGGCGCAATGCAGCGTGCAGGCCTGGCGTGGGCTGTTCCGGCCGCGCGCGGGCCTGACGTGGCCTGTACGGGCTGCGCGATTGCCTGGCGAAAGGTGGCGAAAGAGCCACAGGCGGCGGCCGAAGGGGACGCGGTGGCGGCGCGCGGCGGTCGACGAGCGGCTAGGGAGCCGCGCTAAGTGCCGCGCGAGGCCAGATCAGGCTGCGCACGGGCGGCAATGACGGCGCGGGCGGCTAGCGGGCCGCGCGCTGAGGAAAACGGGCTGCGCGCGGGCGGCTTACGCGACGCGCGGGCCGGCGGCAGGCTGCGCGGGCGGCTGACGTGGCGCGCGGGGCCGAAAAATGGGCCTAAACGGGCCTAAACGAGAAGCGCGCGGGCTGCTCAAGCGGCGCGCGCGGGAAAAAAAAAAGGGCCGCGCGCGTGCAGCCGAGGCGCGCGCGGGCAGCAGGCAAGGCAGGTGAGGTAACGTGGTAACGGTGGGCCCTTATCTTAGGTCCTAGAGACCTCTAGGCTCTAGATACCATCTTAGAATCTTAGGCATGAAGTTGTGTGAGATTAGGTCAAGGTTGGGGTACAAGACTAGAGTGTCGAGAATGTTTCTGTACCCTCTAAGGCTAGCCCCAATATAGCCTAGATACTAATATGCATATGTTTTGACAGTTTGTTGGAACATTCAACAACCAGATGAAGCAGAGAATTTTGGTGACGAGTATGCAGTGTAGACACTGCACCCATTCCATCTCATCTAATGGAATACAGCATGAACATGCATTTCTACGTGCCACAAGTTGTTTGGCTTGTATTGAAAAATGAGCCCAGAATGAAGGCCTGAAAGCAGCCCACGAAAAGAGAAAAACACATATTAATTAAAGCGAACAAAATGTAGCGAAATGGCACTCTCGGAAAATGAGGAGGCATTTTGCATACAGAATTACATATGGTACACTGACCTTGCTTGTTGCTCCCATGTTATCATCCTCATCGTTGTCATCGTCTACATCAACCAGCTCAACCATTTTCTCCATTGGTTGAAAACGTTGCTCCCTCAACATCCAATGAGGGCTCTTCCTCTGGGTCACCAAACCTCCATCGGCCGCTTTACCCACCTTAACCCCACCATAAATTTCAACTCCATCCTCAACCCCCTTCCCAGAACCCTTACACCCTGTTACCCCACTCCCACTGCCCGTTGTCTCACCCCCTACACTCCCATTTTCCACGCCTTTTGCTCGCTTGAGCGGAGGGACGTAAGGAGCCTGCTCTTCATCCCCCGATGCTGCTGCCAGAAACCGTTTCCCCTGCGACACGGGCCGGCTCGTGAGGTTCTCCTTTTCCTTGAGAATGCTCCTCAGTGCATCTTGGTCTAGAGCAGCAACAGGCCTTGCACCCCTCCTGCTGCTGCCCCCGCTGCCACATGTACCATTGCTTAGTAGCACCTTCCGGGACCGCCGCACGCTGTTCCGATAGAGAAACGCCGTCGAAAGGTTTCTGTAAGGTGTGATTATAATGAGAGAAAAAGGGTGTGGGATGGTGAATTGTGACCCGAGCTGGCTTGTGAGATTCTCCTTCTCCCTGAGAATGCTCCTCAGAGCGTTTTGGCCTAGAGCAGCCACAGGCCTTGCCCCCCTGCTGCTGCTGCTGCTGCTGCTCCCACTGCTGCCACATGTACTGCCTAGTAGCACCTGCCGGGACCATCGAACGTTGTTCCGATAGAGAGGTTCCTGTACGGGGTGATTATAACGAGAAAGTTGTGGCACATGCCAGTATGTTGCAAAAAAAAACAGTTTCTTTGAGGGTGTGATTACATAGAGAGAACTGGTAAGGGTGGGCGGTGGAGGTGGAGGTAAAACAAGCCTTTAACGAGTACAGGGGAGAATCGACATGCTGAATCTTTTTCTAAGGTGCCTCAAGATTTGACATGCTAAAAAGCTGCTTTTCTGGATTCTGAAATGCAACTCCAAGTCTTTAACCGGCAGTGTGACAGGAATTTCCATCCATACTCACCCTCCATCTAACTCGAGGCGGGTAGGCTTCATCTTCTGATACGCTGCTGCGATGTGGCGATCGCAGTATTCTGCAAGGGTTCTGACCAACGAGGGTGTGGGAGGGCGGATTGGATAGGATGGGATGGCAGAGGTGAATCGTCATGAATGCTGCTTCATTGTGAACCATCCCATCCCATCATGGATAGCATGAATGAATCGTCTGATACGCTGCTTCATTGTGGCGGTCGCAGTACCGTGCTAGGGTTCTGACAGAAGGATGTGTGGAACGGCGGACAAATGGGAGGGTAGGACAGATGGGATGGGAAGAGATGAGCGATTTTGAGATGGAATGTGGCATTCGCGATAATAAGTTGGGATGGGATGGGATGGGATGGTTTGGCATGGGTTGGGATCGCATGACATAGCATGGTGTGTCATATGCAACTGTTGAGATGGCATGTTGCTGCCCAGACTAGCACATCAGGACAAGTAATGCTAATCAATTGTTCATTACGGCCGTGCAATGTTCGTTGCTCTCCATGACTCCTTTGCATAAGATATGGCAGGCACACTGCCACATCGTGACAAATAATGCCACTCACTTGTTGATCACGACCGTGCAAGGTTCGTTGCCCTCCACGACTCCTTTGCAGATACCGAAATCCCTGGCAGTGCCAACTGGCAAGATCTGATTGGCTCGGAACACACGGAGAGACGGCGGAAGGTTCTGCCATGGCAACACGTGGATGAAAGGTTGCAGGGGGTGAGTTCACAAGTATTGATAAGTGTGCACAAGCGTGAGTGTTGGCTGGGAGTGGGTGCGTATTGAATAGTGCGGTTAAGTGTAGTTTGGTAGTGACTGAGCAATGAAAGATGTGGTGAGTGTGGGCAAGTGTGAGCGAGTGAACGATGGAACATGCACAGATGGACAAAGGAGCGAGTTGGGAGCGAAAAGATGGACACGAAACAGGGCCTTTGCAGGAATTAAAAAAGGAGAAAAAGAGGAGCTGCGGAAATGAAAAGAGGAGCTCCCCCCTCTTACCCTTCCCCCCTCCGCCTCTCCTCAATATTCCTTCTGTAGGTCCCCTGACCGACTCACCCCTTTGGCGGGTTGGCTTCAGCTCCCAGTATCGCCACCACTGTCCCCATCTCCTGCTTGCAATACACATCAAACGCTGCCCCAAACAAAAGCAGAGTCACCTCCTCCACTCCACAACCCCTTATGTAGGCCAACCTTCACCCCTTGACTTACCCCTTTCGGTGGGTTGGCTTCAGCTCCCAGTATCGCCACCACTGTCCCCATCTCCTGCTTGCAATACACATCAAACGCTGCCCCAAACAAAAGCAGAGTCACCTCCTCCACTCCACAACCCCTTATGTAGGCCAACCTTCACCCCTTGACTTACCCCTTTCGGTGGGTTGGCTTCAGCTCCCAGTATCGCCACCACCGTCCCCATCTCCTGCTTACTGTACACATCAAATGCTGGCCCGAACAAGAACAGAGCCACCTCCTCCACTCCTCCCCCTCCCCCTCCTTTCCCTCCTCCGCCTCCTCTGTCCCCCAGGGGACCAGAGAGGGAGGAGAGCTTCCAAGACATAAACGGGCGCGAGGAGGAGGAGGTGGGTTTGGTGGTTGAGGTGGGTTTGGTGGTGGCGGTAGGTTTGGCAGTGGCAGTGGGCTTGGCTGTGGCAGTGGTTTTAACAGATGAACATCCGGATATGACAGCAATAGTCGCCCATGCTCCTGTCAACTGGCTCCTTCCGCCAATCAGAGCAGAGCTGGAGCGGAGCAGAGCAAGAGGAACGCGAGAGGTGGGGAGTGGAAAGGTGAGCGAGGGAGCGGAAGAGGATGTGGGAAGTGTGTAAAATGCATGCAGAGAAAAGAGCGAATGAATGCGTGAAACGCATGCACGCAAGAAAGCAAAAACGCACGAAGCACATGCCCATACGAGATAGTTACAACACGAAGAGAGCATATGAGAGCTTAAGTTTTATGGCACATCACGGCATGTGGAACGAGAATTTGTGTCTCAGCAACGGTTAGAAAGCACGTGCACGTACGCAATGGCTTCGAGGCGAAGGAAGCGAATGTCGGTGAGAGGATGGTACGGGACACATCATGGCAGGTGGAAGAAAGCTATGTGTCTCAGCAACGGTTAGAAAGCACGTGCACGTACGCGATGGCTTCGAGGCGAAGGAAGCGAATGTCAGCCAGTTTCTGCCTCAACTGCGGTGCAGAGATCAAACGGTTCCTGTTGGGAGATGAAACGAATCATAATGAGAGATGAAACAACTCCTGACGGAAGATGCAACCGATAGCAGTCAGCGAACGACAATGAAATGCACCCAGCTCTCCAGCCTTATGCCTCACCTCAGGCGAATGCCTGAATGCTCCTCCACATCCCCTACATTCCTCTCCTTGGCTCTTCTCGATGCACTCTCAACCCAAGTCGTAGACTAATTTGAGATGTCTCAAAAGACATGAGACGTTTGACTCACCTCAGGCGAATGCCAGAGTGTTCCTCCACATCCCCTACATTCCTCTCCTTCGCTCTTCTCGATGCACTCTCAACCAGAGTCGCAGTTGTCGCACTTCTTCCCACTGATTGCCCGTTGGCTGAAACCCCTCCAGGTGGGAATTTTGCGACCCACCGCTCTCCTCCTGCCATCCCTAGTTCTGTCATTCCTGCTGTTGTTGGTGCTGCGGTTGGTGCTGCCGTGGCAACTAGGTCTGATTCTAGTCCAAAAGAGGCGGCCGAACTTCTTGCTGCTGTTGCTGCTCCCTCTGCAGTGGCTGCTGCAGCTGAATCTGCTGCCGTGATTGGTGTTGCTGCAGCTGCCGTTGGTGCTGCTGCTGTGCTCGGTATTGCTGCCGTTGGTTGCGGTGGTGGTGCTCCTGCTGCTGCTGTCGCCGCTACAGCTGCTCCTGTGGCAGTCGAGGCTCCTGTCGCTCGTTCTGCTGCCGGCTGTTCCATCTGGTCAGATGCGACAGCTGATGGGACAGCTGAAGCGACGACTGGAGCGACGACCGGGACGACGACTGGAGCGACTGTCGAAGGGAAGGCGGAGCTGCTGGGAGCACATGACTTGTTCGTAGATCTCGGAAACATTTCGTTGCCCGAAATATTACCCAATTTGCTACCCAAATTGTGGGCGCTAATGAACTGAAACCCCACGCCTGATCCAATGTCTCCCCTGACGCCATTAGGAACCTTTCGTTCTGCGCCCCCCACTGAAATCCCCATTGATCTCCCTACTGATCCCCCCGTGTTACTAGGAGACGCGTGGTTTCCCAAGCCAACGGTTTTCTGGCGACTAGAGAAACTGAAAGCCTGGCTACTATCGATGCTACGGCCATTGACGCTGATGCTGCTGCTTTTTCTTCCATTCAAACCGCCTGTCATAGCGCTACCCAGAAACGGCGTTGCGCGTCTGGGGTTCGGAGCCATGGAACCGAATCGCGCAGCTTCAAACCCCGACTTCGTCGCTGGAGGAGGAGTGGAAGCACGAGCTCCTTTGCCCGGAGGAGCTCTTTTTTTGAAAGGAGCTCCTTTGCTGAAAGGGGCTGCTCTGTTCGCCGTATGAGACGCTCTGGCCGGTGGAGGAGGAGCGGAAGCGAATCGAGCAGAGGCAGTCTGCAAGGAGGACGACGGAACGAAAGCAGCGGTTCCATTGTTGAAGGCATTCGACGAGACGTTTTCGGCGACGAAGCATTTGAAAGCGGACATGTCTGCCGGCCCTGACGGCTGTAAGAGCTCGTCCTCGCTGTCGTATCCACCCGAATAATCTCCGCCGTTCGATGCTGGACCACGGTGTTCCGGAAAATCACAGTCGTCGATTTCGAAATCCTGGTCTAGAGCATGTGAGCTGAGTGATGCGCCTAGCTGACCGTTAAGTGCGGTCTGATGAGCCATAGTCGCTGCGTCAACAAGTCCTTTGCCAAGCCTAAGTCTAACCCAGTTAACTTGAGAATGCGGCGGAACTCGCTAGATGTTCTCCTTGTTGAGAAGCGCAACCGAAAAACGGTCCACAAAACAGGATCTTTCTCGTGGCCTAAGAATTTTCCATCCAAGAATGACACGTATCGTGTCGCTGATACTGTCAGCCCAGATCGCCTCAACGGACAAAAGCTATCTGACGAAGCAGGAGAACTGCCGAGTTCCATCTTTGAGACTTACGGGGGTCTGACTGCTTGAAAAGCGAAACATGGAAATCCAAATTTCAAATTTGAATCGCTGGTTCAAATTTGAACTCCATGCAATGCCAGACCTTCACGGATGCATCGCTACCGTGTATCTTGACACTAATGGATCTTGGACGTCAGTGAATGACCAAGCGAGTCTGCTGCAGAGTTGCGTAAGCTTGAAGCCAATTTGATTCTACACCCTAACTGCATACATATGAATAAAGCCAATAAAATTCAATGGCTGCATAAATCAATGAGCAACTAGCCTTTTCCTACGGTTGCAACAGATAGAGCACAGGAGGCAAGCATAAGAAGCCAGATCCTGGATCCTGTACAACCATGCACCCTGCAATTTCAGAGTCCACAATAAGAAAGGAAAGAAACGAAAGAAAAAGAGGTCAATCGCCAACGCACTTGTTACAGACCTTGTATGCGAACACAAAATATTGGCAGCAAATGGCAAGAGCGACGATGAATGCATGTGGAGCCCATAATTCTGTTGCGCTTCCTAGATCATGACTAAATACCTCAGGAGAGTATTGCCCTGCCAACAAGGGGGCTTGTTCTTGCGACCCAGTCGCACCATCTCCACGCACAAATGCCTGTGCACATGCACCATGCACCAGGACATAAGAAGAAGAGAGGGATGGATGGATGAGTGAAACTGAATGGAACTTACCACATCGACATTCTGGCTCTTGCAATGATTCAGACCTACACACATGGAGAATGCAAAGGTGCCTAACAGAGCAACTCAAATGAAACTTAAGTCAAATTGCTATCCTCTTCTCAGCAATGGTTCAGGCCAACGTAAACGCAAAACCGTGGTGGCGCCCAGAGATGCAACGTACCTGAAAGTGGGCCACATTGCCTTCCTCCTTGCGATAACGCAGGTCTAGGCACATGCAAAAGCACGAGGCAATGGATGAATGCAACTTGCCTGGAACTCAGCCACGTAGACTTCCTGCTTCCTGGTTTGCAGTGATCCAGGCCTGCACACAGAAGCAGCAAATAGGAGGTATGCAACAGGTGGCAAGAAGCAGCCAACCAGAAGGCACAATGATAATTACGAATTTTGGGGAGAATGTTGTGCAGTGTACGAGAGATTATGCAGTATTCTCATCACGTCACACCTCACCTCATTGCTCTCACAACAGCCACAGCCTGCATCAGCAAAAGAGAAAAGGTTGTATAGAGGGAAAATGACACATGTTTAGCCCGAACAAGCTTGCGAGCTTAGAAAATGAAGAAAGACGGAGCCTTGGAGTAAAGCGAAGGAATTACAGGAACTGAACTGAATGTGGTGTCAATTGGGGATTGGAACACTGAAGGATTGCTTACATCAGCAGCTGATAGCGAGTTTGCTGCAACCAAATAACACGCAATTACAAGTCCAGTCCTTCCTGCACATACGAACAATTTCATGTCACCCACATGGTGTTCAAATCCGTGCGCTGTGCAACAGGCAAGCACGCTGGGGATACACAAAACCATGTGAGCAAGTTGGACAGAGATCCCCGAAGCTGCTTTGAACAATAAGTGTTGTTTTGCATACCTAGGCCAGCATGACAGTGAACAGCCACCTGCATCAAAGGGACAAACATACTATCATCAGGTGATACTTATCGACCATTGTTAAACGCCGGGAGATGAACTATGAATGGTACATCCAGATACTCGGAGTGAAATTAAACCTGCTATAGAATACCGTATAACCCCGGATATAGGCGCATGTGCGCTTATAATAAAACTGGTTTTTTTAGGGGGGGGCGCTTGTAATTGAGTCACGGCCATAAGCGCCGGCGCTTATATCATGGTCAAAAATGAATTTGTAATTGAAAAGTACCAAATCGAAGCCCGCAATAAGGCGAACACATTTGTGTAACGTGCGCGTGAGGTAATGTATGAAATCCCGCCGAAAACCACCGCGCTTCGATTCCCGACCGCACAAACCCCGTCCAGGAGCAGGGAATCTGCCAGCGCTGACGTGAATGTTGCCATGCGGTCCAATCAGGGTACCATGCGGTGGCAGGCAGCTGCATTTCACCCGAACCATCGAGAAGGCGGTGGAATGACCTGCCAGCGCATCATGTTCGTGCCACGATACCCTCCTCTCCGGGTTCAGACAGGGGGTACCCGTCTCGCCCCGACGAGGACCCCGAGGCGCAAACCAGCAGGGGTCCCTTTGAATCTCTCATTTGTGCACATTTTCTCTCAGTTTCTTGTTCCGTTTCTTCTTCACTCCCGCCTGGCTGCGGAAGCCATGGCGGAATTCAGCGGCACCCACTTCTTGTTCAAGAAAAAGCCTACTCGAAGGCCCGCGTTTACAGTAGACGCTGACGGGTGGTGCACCCGTATCCCGCCAGATCCACCAGAGCCACCACAGCCTCCTGTGCCGCCTGCGCCTCCTGCACCTCCTGCTCCTCCTTCGCCTCCTGTTCCTCCTTCGCCTCCTGCGCCTCCTCTTCCTCCTTCGCCTCTGGGTCATGTGTCACCGCAACACGCTGCCAATCAGCCCGTGCTCACGCTGCTGCTTCCATCGGCGTTCGACGAGTTCCTGTCAGAACCAGAGACTAACAACGCGCCGGATGTGTACGTGCGAGTGGACCACGTGCCTGGAGGACGTTGGGGACAGCCCGAAGATTGCCCTTGGGACGAATCTGCAGTCGGCGCCGACGATGATGTTGCTGACGCTGAGGATGCGAGCGGCGCTGACGGCGCCGAGGGTGACACGGAGGCTTCCGCCGAGGGCGGCGCCGAGGGCGGCACCGCTGAAGATGTGTTTCCAGAAGGCGTTACGGGCGACGGTGACGACGACGGCGTTGAGTACTGGTCGGGCTACCTGAGAAACTGCCCATACCAACGTATCCTCCGACTAATCGCAAGCGACCCCACCCCTCTTCTGAGAACCGTGATGCCCGCCCCCCCTCTCCCAGGCACAAGCTCACCGAGCACAAGCGGCAAGGTTACACCGCCGCGGAGAAGTTGAAGTGGGCAAGTCGCCTCGATGGGTCGGTGTCGGTGCGCGCCTTGGCTCGCGAGAGCGGAATCCACCGCAAGTGCCTCACCAACTGGAAGCGGGCGGCGGATTTCCTCAAGGAAGTTCACTCCGCCCGGAAGCGCATGCACGGTCGCGGACGGTCGTCGTGGTACCGGCCGATGGAGTTGAAGGTGTACGAGAAGCTGCTCGAGTGGCGCCGCAAGGGAACTGCCGTGTCAGTCGGCCGCCTGCAGGAGTGGTCGCGGGAGTTCATGAGGCTGCTGTACCCGGACAAGAAGTGGAAAGGAAGCCGGAGGTGGTCGGCGCGGTTCCGGCGTCGTTGAAATTTGAGCGTCCGCATGAAGACCCGGGTTGCCCAGAAAACCGCCGCGCATAAGTGATACCCCGGTTTATGTGCCACGTGTGTTTTGTACATGTGTACTAACACCCTCTGTGTGTGCTTGTCCTCTCTTCTCCCGCCGTGCAGGTGTCGCTGAGCTGTGCCGCATGTTCTGGCAGTTCGTGCGTGACAAGCGTCGAGAGCGCGGCATCGACACCGCGTGGATCATCAACGCGGATCAGACGCCGCTATGGCTGGAGATGCCCGCCACCAGCACCGTGGAGGAAACGGGTGCTCGCTCGGTGCCTATCAGGAGCGCGGGGTATCAGAAGCAGCGAGTGACCGTGATGCTGGCGTGCGCGGCTGACGGACGGAAGCTGAAGCCGTGGGTGTTCTTCAAGCGCAAAACATTGCCGAAGGGCGATTTCCCTGCCGGTAAGCAAACAATTGCCCTCGTCTGTATTTGCGTTCTGTTCTGAGTGCGTGTTCTAACCACACGCTCGGGTTTCGTGCAGATGTGGTCGTGGCTTGCCACGAGAACGGATGGATGGACTCCGCGGGCGTCGTTCGCTGGCTTGAGGAGGGCGTCAAGCCTTTCTTGAAGCCTCGGTTCGGCAGATGCGCGAAGAGCTCGATGCTGGTGCTGGACTCTTACCGCGGTCACCTCACCGAGGAGGTCAAGGAGAAGCTCCGCGAGATGAACTGCGTGCCGGCTGTCATCCCGTCGGGCTGTACGGCGGAGGTACAGCCGCTCGATGTCTCCATCAACAAAAGTTTTAAGGCGTCGGTCCGCCAGCAGTACCAGAGGTGGTTCGAGGCAGAGGGGCAAGCGCAGCTGACCGCGGCAGGTACGGCATGTGTACGGTTTTGTTATGAAGTTCCCCCCCCCCGCCTTTTTTTATGCACTAACGACTGTCCACCATTCTCCTGTTACTGTATTTTGCAGGGAATCTGAAGAAGCCTCCACCTGAAGTCGTCCTGCGGTGGATATCTCAGGCCTGGCGGGCAGTGCCGTCCGACCTCATCACGCGCGCCTTCCTCACCTGTGGCATCAGCAACGCACTCGACGGCAGCGAGGACAACCTCGCCATGGCGCACAGGCGGACGCAGATGACAGCGGAGGTGGATGTCGACGACGACATCATCGCCGATGGCTTCTTTGGCAACAACTGCCTGGAGCCCGAGTCTGACGACGAGGAGGAGTAGGAGGGGTACTGGCTGATGCATGTTACGGATAGGAGTACCCCGGCTAGACTAGTTGTAGTTTAGCAACATGCTGATGTAGTTGCTATGAAAAATGAGGTTTAGTTAAATCTTTTGTAATGCCTCCAATGTACGTTAACGGATGCGCTTATAATAAGTATAGAAATTTTAGGGGGTGCGCTTATAATCGAGTTCCGGCCATAGGCGCCATGCTCCAGATAGAGGCGCCGGCGCCGTTAATCGGACGGCGCCTATATCCGGGGCGATACGGTAAATGTTTACGAGTAGCTACGGACACGGAGGAACAAAGGCTGCACAAATGGCTTACCTTGTGGCGGCGGCCAATGGCGAGGGAGATGCTCTGAACGATGGAGAGCATGGTTGGGAAGGGCGGGCATGCCATGTCCTTCCATGGTGCATGGAGATAACCCACTGGCCACACCGGGACAGACGGATGGATGGATGGATATGGATGGATATTGATGGCAAGGATGGTTCTGTCAGACCAGGACTGCTTGAGCGTGAGAGGGAGAGCGAGACAATGAAAAGGACAGACCCCATTTAAAAGGAGGAAGAAATAAGTGAGTTTTACAAGCAACATTTCTGCACCAGCATGTGCGAGGGGTTTGTTTGGAGCGGACCTCCAGCCTTGATGAATTTGTCAGGAGTGTAGGAGAATCCCGATGCTGTGATTCCTGACCCGCACCACGGATGCTCCCCTGGCTCCTGTGTGCATAGACGGAGAAAAAGAGCATTGATTAGCATTTCTGGAGTGCTCAAAACGAGGCATGACAATTGAGTCTGGTCCTTTTTTCCAGAGGGAATGTTCTATGCACCCGTATGTCATGCATTTATGCGCACTGCCAAAAGAACCCATCGGTACCTCCATAAGCACACATCTGTACCGCCATATGCACCCATCTGTACCTCCAAGTTCACGATCAGCCTAATGCCTCGTTCCGCGAATCTATCCGCCAGCCCCACAATCATTGTATTCTTCACAAGCACCGCCCTGTACCTCCATATGCACCCATCTGTACCTCTACTGCCTCCATACCCACCCATTTGTACCTCCAGGTTCACGATCAGCCTGATGCCTCGTTCCGCGAATCTATCCGCCACCCCTCAGCAATCATCGCGTCCGTCGGTCTCGCGCACGACAGCAGCTCCTCCATATGCACCCACCTGTACCTCATTTGCACCCATCCGTACCTCCAAGTTCACAATCAGCCTGATGCCTCGCTCCGCGAATCTATCCGCCAATCCATCAGCAATCATAGCATCAGTCGGTCTCGCGCACGCCAGCAGCTCGTTCGTCACCCAATCGGAGTGCAAACCGCGAAACGCCTCTTGACCGTTCTGCAACCGGAAGTCCTCGTGCCGGCACCCGGAGGGAGAACCTAGGCCTTCTAGAAAGCAGACTATCCTATCCGTGACGCCGTTTTCTTTCCAGGAAGGAGCAGATGAGTTCTCAGTTGAGTTCTCAGATGTCTCAAACGTGGAATCAGTGGCGCCATCTTGGTGTCTTGTAGTAGACTTGTAAGAAAACGAGGAGGAGGTGCTGCCAGTCATGATATTGAAACGAAGCTCTCTATAATGGGAAAATTGAAGGGAGCGTGAATGTGATGGAACCAGGCTACTCCGGTCGTCAGAGGGATATTCCACGTCGTGATTAGCTTCTGTCGGAATTATTAATGTGCTCGCGAAATTGCTACTACTTGACGGGCCAGTAAAACCATCAACAACATACAGAATAAGTTGACGGATTCAGCTGCCAGCTGGCCGGAGGCTACAGCAGTTGCCGGCGAGCTACGACGAACAGAAGTTCGCTTTCAGGTCTCAGAAATCACGGAGTGACAATTTGCTTACACCAACTTCGCCTGAGTCAGATAGTGCATATCTATTTGGTTCTTAGTCTCCCATTAAGAGCATCGCTAGAAGCGTAAAAGCGAAGACAGAATGCACCAATTCGCAGCGTCAGCAGAGAGATAAATTAGGGCGCGTAACTTTTTCCGTTTCGGGCAAATGTCCGGACGGTGCCCCAAATCGTCCGAACGGAGCTCCGTCCGGACGGTTGGGGATGTGGTACGGACGACGATGAGTCCGTACCCCTAATATGACACTTTTTTGCTCTTGCGAAAACTGCATTTTGAGCGAAACAGTAACGCTTATAACCCACCTCGTCAGCAAATCGGCCGCTTCGCATGCATGAAGTTGTGTCAGAAAAAAGCCGGACTGTAGAGAGTTCGCTTTTTTGTAGTGCTGTGAGTCTGTGTGCCCGTTCGGACGATAGTGGAACTTCTGTGTTGCCTTTCCGTCAGAACGTGGTTCTGGCGAGCAGGAAACCGAGTCGCCAGAACTGATAAAAAATGTGCTTCGCGCACCAATGACGTTGCAGGAGTTCCGGACGGTCCGAAATGCTGTCCGGACGACGTCAGGAGTGTAGAACGGACGATGAACAAGCAGAAAAGTGTCAGAACTCGTACGGACGATCGCGATGTCGCAAGGGGTCTCACGAACTCAATAACGAAACTAGGCGAAATACGTAACCCTACAAAAGTCCGTACGGGTCCTCCGTCCGGACGATGAAAAGTGAAAAAGTTACGCGCTCTTATGGCGGAGGATGGTTTAGTTGCTAACTGCTGACACTAGCTTTCTAGAGTTGCACAAAATGCACTGACAAGTATGCTAAGGGCGCGTAACCATTTTTCACCCGACGGTTCGAACTGTGGACCGTCCGGGTGGCGAAACTGTAACAGCTTTCGCACTATGTCGTAAGTGTGTTCGTTAAGGTGTTGGCGACATCGCCAACAAAACGGACAGTCGTGACACTTTTTCCCATTTTCTACAGTCCGAAATCTGAACGTAGACAGTCCGAATCTCAAACGGACTGTCCGAATTTCCTTGCATCCGATTGGTGCACGATGTAAAAATTCTCGGGCATTTCGTCCACCAACAAAAACATGTGGTGATTTTGCAAATTTATATTGACCAACCAGAGACAACTCGCTTCGAACAATGATTCGACAACGAAAAACATGAAAATCGTAAATTGCGTAACGCTTGTACAGTCGTCGCGAAACTGTACAATAGAAGAAAAGTGTCACAACTGCCTTCGGACAGTCCGAAGTTGCAAATTTTCACTTCGGACGGTCCCGTTTTCAGTAAGTGGACCGTCCGCTTCGTTTTAAGCGGACTATCCGTCAAAATCACAAAATGCAAAATGGTTACGCGCCCTAAAGGCGAGGCGAGGCGATGGCGAAACATATGTTCCAAGACAGGCTGACAGAAACCACTCTGTCAGGGTTCACTTCACTTCACACCCCCGAACCGACGTGATCCTGCTGAACCGAAGTGCTGCCGCTGTTCTCCCCCAGACCACAATGGCGAGGCTCGGCTGGTTGGGTAAATTCACCCGTGCCTGCCGTTTTAGCTTGCCTTGGGGTCAGGTTAGGAAAACCAAGGCAGAACAGGTTCGCCTCCGATACCGTTTTCGACGATGGTACATATTATGGTTCAAAGCGTTTCCAAACGGTACAGAGTAGTAGGTATCAGTCGCCTTGGGATTCTCTTTTTGGTTCGGGCGCCCGTCGGAGTTCTCTCTGCTGCTACTTGTATATCCTGGATTCTTCTTCCTCGGCTGATTGCACTTTGCCGAGGAGCCTGGTAGCGGGGAATTTCAGAACTAGTTGCAGAACAGCAAGCCGATTCCACTGATGGTCCCTGGGTCTGCGCTTCGCACCCAGTTCCTACACTGCTTAGGCTTACAGGAGGCTATGGCTCGAGTCTCGCCGAGTCAAAGTTGAGTGAATAAGAAAAGCAAAGCACGACGGGTAGAATTTGCGGGAAGAAGCTGCTAGCTCTGAGACGTAAAAGCCATGGCAATGTCCGACGCAGCGGAATGGACGGAGCTCTCCAACTGTTTTTATCGCGTACAGCCTTTGCCAGACCTGCAATGGCAGGTAAAGAAAACGTCTCATCTACCTCCTATGCGCACGCTTTCCGCTCTTCGAATTTATGTTTTTCCTTTAACGTCATGGCGTTAAGCAGCATCCTGTTAGACACTGTCCGTCCGTCTACACCGCCATACTTCAGCATTCAGTCGAAATATATGCTTTCCCCGTCCCACATAGGACGTGGACCTATCAGAGCTCATGGTCGCCTGTGCGCCTTACGGCGGACCAATCGCCACAGTCCGCGATCCGAATCACCTCCCCAGGCGCGGCAGTAGCGCAGGCTCGGCAGCAGGTTCGGCAGCGCAGGGTCGGCAGTACATATCAGTGTTCTCAGCAGCTGGGCGGCCGATCTCGCGGTTTCTGTGGGAGCCTCCTGGAGGGAGGCTGATGGGGTTGGGGTGGAGGGAGGATGCTGTGGGGGGCCTGGTGCTTGTAACGGTGCTTGAGGATGGCACTGTTCATCAGGTGAGATAATAGTGGGGGGAGACGTCTTAGGAATTGTTCACTGAATCACCACGGGAAGGCTGATGGGGGTTTTGGGTGGAGGGAGGAGGATGCAGCAGTCGGGGGGCTGGTGCTTGTAACGGTGCTTGAAGTTGGTACTGTTCACCAGGTGATATTACAATGAAAGAATCTTTGTGTGTCGCTCATTCATGTTGACTTGACTCAAGTGCAGCGTTCCATTGTATCGGAATGTCACTCTCCCCTCTCCCAACCCCCCCCCCACCCCTCCACCTACGTGCAGTGTTCAATGCATGGGAAGGGCACTCTGCCCCGTATCCCCCTCCACACGACTAACCTAGAAGGCATTATGGAGGCTCACATATTCGGCATGCGAGGAGGGGGGGGACAAGGGGGCAATATGGGGGGAGATGGCGCCGAGGGGGAGGCAGGGGATGGGAGTGGGGGAGAAGAAGGGGGGAGGAGTGGTGGGGAAGGGCGTGTGGCGGCGGGAGTGGTGTGCTTGACTGAGAGCTGTCAGCTGCTGGCAATGGTGGACTTTGATGTGAGTATATCGAAAGGTGGATGTGAGTGGAGGTGGATGTGAGTGTAATGGTTAGTGAGTGGGTTAGTTGGCACCAGTGGTATGCTTGATAAGGAGCTGTCAGCACAGGGCTCTGAGTTCCTCCCTCTCCCAAAACTATTACCACTACTATTACCATTACCATTACTAGTATCATTAGTATTACCATTACCACTACCATTACCATTTCCATTACCACAACCATTACCACTACCATTTTTTCTTATTACCATTACCATTACCACTATCATTACCATTACCACTACCATTACCATTACCATTACCATTACCATTATCATTACCACTATCATTACTATCACCGTTACCATTATCACTACTATTACCATTATCATTACCATTACCACTACCATTACTATTACCATTACCACTACCATTACCATTACCATTACCACTACCACTACCATTACCATTACCATTACCACTACCACTACCATTACCATTACCATTACCACTACCACTACCATTACCATTACCACTACCACTACCATTACCATTACCATTACCATTACCATTACTATTACCATCATTACACAGAGGTCTCCCCCCTGACGAACCCCTGCTTCTCAGAGCAATTGATAGTTTCTAGTGCCCCCCCCCACCAGGACCCAGAGGTCTTCCCCCTGACAGACCCAGGCCTCTCAGAGTCACTCACTATGTCAAATCCCTTCCCCCTCCCCTTCCCCCCATCCATTTCTCCCCCCACCCTCCAGGAACCAAAGGTCTTCCCCCTGGCAGACCCAGGCCTCTCAGAGCCACTCACAACGTCAAACCCTTTCCCCCTTTTCTTCCCCCCATCCATTTCCCATCCCTTCCCCACAGGAGGTCTTTCCCCTGGTGGACCCTGGCCTGTCAGGGCCGCCCGCCTGCATGGCCGTGCTGGAGTCCGTTCTGACTCTACGCCCCACTTCCCCCCACCACTTCCCCCCACCACTTCCCCCCACCACTTCCCCCCCAACCCTACCCCCCACCACTTCCCCCCCAACCCTACCCCCCACCACTTCCCCCCCAACCCTACCCCACCCACCAGGACCCAGAGGTCTTCCCCCTGGCGGACCCTGGCCTATCAGAGCCGCCCGCCTGCATGGCCGTGCTGGAGCCTGTGCTGACGTCAGCGGATGACGTCAGCGTTCCCCAGGTGGCGGTGCTGCTTGGCACGGAGGCGGCTCTGCTGCGAGCGGATGGGGAGATGGTGCAGCGCGTGGTGAGTGGAGGTGGGGGGGGGGGGGGAGGAGGGGGAGAGGAGGGGGGGGAGAGGAGGGGGGGAATGGATGGAGGGGATTTGGTGAGTTGATGCTCAAGAGTCTCTCTGCTTGGCATGAAGGCGGCTCTGCTGCGGGTGGATGGGGAGACGGTGCAACGCGTGGTGAGTGGTGTGGATGGAAGGGAGGGGGTGTGAGCTCGAGAGATGGTATTTGAATCAATGACACCTGGTGGGTGTGGTGGCGGTGCTGCTGGGAACGGAGTCAGCTCTGCTGCATGTGTGGATGGGGAGACGGTGCAGCGCGTGGTGAGTGGGGGGATGGGGAAGGGGGGATGGTAGTTGAGTTCCTGACACCTGGTGGGTGTGGTGGCGGTGCTGCTGGGAACGGAGTCGGCTCTGCTGCACGTGGATGGGGAGACGGTGCAGCGCGTGGTGAGTAAGGGGGGTCGGGGGAGGGGAATGGTGGTTACATTCGGATTGACTCAAAATGACACCTCCGCTGCGGGTGGATGGGGAGACGGTGCAGCGCATGGTGAGTGGAGATGGGGAGGGGGGTATTTGGTGAATGGATGGGAGAAATTCGGGGTGCAAGTGGCTAGTCAGTTTGATTGTTCAAAATTCTCCTTGCTTGGCATAAAGGCTGCTCTGCAGCGGGTGGATGGGGAGACGGTGCAGCGTGCATTGTCCCCCATTCTCGTCTCCCCTCTCCCTCCCCTCCCCATTCTCCCCTCCCCCATTCCCTCACCTTCCCATCCTCCCTTCCCCCATTCTCCCTCCCCTCGCTCACCTTTCCCCCACTTACCTCCTCGCAACTGCTCCCAGGGTGCCCCAGAGATGTCCACAGCAGTGCAGCGCATGGCAGTGCGACACATGAGATGAGATGCGACAATTTCTGAGGTGCTTCAGGCGTTGCACCCCATTCTCACCTCCTCCTGCTCCCTCACCTCCCTTGCCTCTCCAACTGCTCGCAGGGCGCCCCTGAGATGTCCACAGCAGTGCAGTGCATGGCAGTGTCAGCTTCCGGGAAGCTTCTGGCATGCTTCACGGCCGATGGGCAGCTGCATGTGCTGCTGACGTCAGACCTCTCCCGGCGGATTTCCCACTATGACACCCAGGTGGGAGGTAAGGTAAATAGTCTTAGATGGTCACAAAAACTTGGGTGCTTACCCCATTCATAGTGTAGCTTGACGTCAGACCTCTCAAGGCAGATCTCCCACTATGACACCCAGGTGGGTGGGCGGTTCTCCTCTCCTGGCAGGCAGCATTCCCCCACCTGGCAGCATCCCCCACCTGGCAGCATCCCCCACCTGGCAGCATCCCCCACCTGGCAGCATCCCCCACCTGGCAGCATCCCCCACCTGGCAGCATCCCCCACCTGGCAGCATCCCCCACCTGGCAGCATCCCCCACCCTCATGCTCATGGGCCCTGGGGATGCCATCACGCTCTCCCTGCTTCTTGCCCACACACCCCTCTGTTGCCCCGTGCCTCTGTGCCTCCATGCCTCCGCTCCTCGTCTGCAGATCGTGCTACCACCAGACGCCATGGCATGGTGTGGAGAGGACGCGGTGCTGCTCTCCTGGCAGCACCCCCCTGCCCTCATGCTCGTGGGCCCTGGGGACGCAATCACGCACTCTCTTCCCTGCCCTGCCTGTCCTCCAATGTCTCTACTCTACTGCGTGTGTGTGCAGATCGTGCTACCACCAGACGCCATGGCATGGTGTGGCGAGGACGCGGTGCTGCTCTCCTGGCAGCACCCCCCTGCGCTCATGCTCGTGGGGCCTGTGGATGCAATCAAGTACTCGCTAGGAGGGGAAGAAGAGGACGAGGACGATGACGATGAGGAGGAGGAGGGGGTGGTGGAAGAGGGAGTGGGAGAGGGAGAGGGAGGAGGGGAGTTGAGTGGGCGCCGTGCGTTTGGCTCAGCAGCTCTTCGCAGGTGTGCTGCTTGAGATGTCCCACATGCCAAGGTGACTTTTGAGTCGACTCAAAAGGCACCTCGTTTGGCTTGGCAGCTCTTTCGCAGGTATGCTGCTTGAGATGTCTTACTTGCAGCACCCTCTTCTGCGCAGGTGCGCTGCTTGAGATATCCCACATGCCAGGTGATGTTTTTGATTGACTAAAAAGAATCACCCTCTTCTGGCATGCGCCTCTTGAGTCGCCTCAAAAGTCGCCTCATTCTCATCTCTTACCCCCACCCCTGTCCCTTCCCCTCCTCCACACACAGCAGCGTGCCAGCGCCAGCATCAGCCCTTGACACCAGCACCACCACCGAACTCTCCGATTGTGATGAAGGACGATTGTGACGGCGTGCGCCTGCTCTCCTCCTCTCACTCCGACTTCATCTCCCATCTCTCCTTCCCCTGCTATCACACCACAGTGTGCCGGCGCCAGCATCAGCCCTCGACACCAGCACCAGCACCACCGACAGTCGCCTGGTCCTCATCCCCGAGTGTGATGGCGTGCGCCTGCTCTCCTCCTCTCACTCCGACTTCATCTCTCGAGTCCCTGAACCCACCGTAGCCGCTTTTGCCCTCGCCAGCACAGCTCCCCCTGCTCTGCTCCTAGAGGCCTTCGGGCTGTTTGAGAGGCGGTCAGGGAAAGCGGATGAGCATGTGAGGGCGATGGGACCGGCGGTGATGGGGGAGGCGGTGCGAGGGTGCATGCACGCTGCTGCTCATGAAACTGATGTGGATGGGCAGAAGCGGCTTCTGTCTGCTGCTGCTTTTGGCAGAGCATTCTGCAGGTGAGCTAGTCCTAGCCTAGCCTAGTGCAGCCTAGGCAAGGCTGGCACTTTTTTCTCTCGGTATCGCCCATCCTCCTCCCCTCCGCGCTGCTAGTAGAGGCGTAAGGGCTGTTTGAGAGGCGGTCGGGGAAAGCGGATGAGCACGTGAGGGCGATGGGACCCGCGGTGATGGGGGAGGCGGTGCGAGGGTGCATGCACGCTGCTGCTCATGAGGGGGATGTGGATGGGCAGAAGAGGCTGCTAGCTGCTGCTGCCTTTGGCAGAGCCTTCTGCAGGTGAGCTAGCAGCCTAACCTACCGTAGCCTAGCAGCCTAGCCTAACCTAGCCTAGCCAAGGCTTGCGGTGTTTCCTCTCGCCAGCACCGCACCCCCCGCGCTGCTGCTGCTGCTTCAACTGCAACTCTCACTCCTCCCCTCTCCAACCCCTGGGGCTCCTTCCAGGAAGTTTCCCCGGGATCGCATGATGAGTCTGTGCAAGGACCTGCGGGTGCTGAACGCGGTGCGGAGGGCAGAGGAGGACGGGCTTACCAACGGCGTTCGAGCCATGGAGACAGCTGGCATGCCTCTCACTTACTCTCAGTACAAGGTGCATGCATTGATTATGTGTCTGTTTCGAGACGTCTCGAGACGTGAAATTCTGTGTTGAATGCGGACTCACCAACGGTGTGAGGGCCATGGAGACAGCTGGCATGCCGCTCACATATGCGCAATATAAGGTGAGTTGGGCATTCACTCATATATTCATTCATCTGCCGCGTGTTGGAGTGCTGAACAGCGCTGAATGCGGTGCAATGGGGCAGAGGAGGACGGGCTCACCAACGGCGTGAGGGCCATGGAGACGGCTGGCATGCCGCTCACGTATGCGAAATACAAGGTAAGATAGGCGTTAACTGATTTGCCATGAGGGTGCTGAGCGCGGTGCGGCGAGTAGAGGAGGACGGGCTGACCAACGGCGTGAGGGCCATGGGGAGAGCTGGCATGCCGCTCACTTACGAGCAGTACAAGGTGCATTCACTCGCTCATTCGTATGCTCACATACTCACAGTACAAGGTACGCACGGTGATTGCATGATGAGCCTGTGCAAGGACATGCGGGTGCTGAACGCGGTGCGGAGGGCAGAGGAGGACGGGCTTACCAACGGCGTGAGGGCCATGGAGACAGCGGGCATGCCGCTCATGTACGCGCAGTACAAGGTGCATTCACTCCTTCGTTTGCTGTGTCTGTTTGTGACGAGGCACACACACAGTAGTCACATACTCACGTACTCGCAGGAAGAGGTGCTCACAGTGCAGCCTTGCGTACAGTCATCCAGTTTGACAATTTTCGGCGTGCCTCAAGAACATTGCAGTTATGCGTGCACTCGAATCCACCCAAGACATTTGACCAGCCAAATTCCCTTCATCCCCTCCCCGCTCACCCCTCAGGAGCTCTCCCCTGCACGCCTCATTGCCCGCCTGTGCTCCACGCACCACCACCTGCTCGCCCATGGCTTTGACCCTCCAAACAATGTTGCTCCCTCCTCTCTCTCCTCCTACCCCTTATCTCAGGAGCTCACTCCAGCACGCCTGGTCGCCCGTGTGTGCTCCACACACCACCTTCTGCTCGCCCAGTTGGTTTTCAACCAGCCAAACAATGTCACTCCTAATTCCCATCCTCCCCGCTCTCCTCCTTCCCATCGTCTCAGGAGCTCACTCCAGCACGTCTCATTGCCCGCCTGTGCTCCACACACCACCATCTGCTCGCCCTTCGAGTTGCTGCCTTCCTCGGCCTTCGCACTGTGAGACCCTGGCACCACCCCCACTCCTCACTCCATCCTTCACTCCCCACTCCTTCCCACGTTCCTCACTCCCTCCCTCAATGCTCCCTCCCTCACTCCCCACTCCCGTTCCTCTCACTCTGTTCCCTTCCTCCCTCCCCCCGCCCCACCCTTCCCGCCTTCCCGTTTTGCCCTGTCTCTGCAAATATGCACCAGGAGAGTGTGTGTTTGACCACTGGGTTATCTCTAAAAACTTTCTTCTCACTCCCTTCCTCCTCCTTCCTGCCTTCCTTCACTGCACCCCTTCTCCTTAAATACCTACCAGGAGAGTGTATTGGAGCACTGGGCGATCTCCAAGATCCTATCTGCGTCGCAAATGTCCAACGAAGTGCTCTACGACACCATAATAAAGCAGGCGAGTTGCTCTATAGTGCACCAAAGTCTTTCACTTGGAACTGCTCACGCACACACTTATTTGCCACTCGCTTGCCTACACTTGTGAACACCTGAATTTCAAACATGTTCGTGTAATGCCTGCCTTACTGCCTCCACCGCCCTCTACAATTCGACACAGACAAGAGGGGAAGCCTGGCAGTGTCGTTTGCAGCCGTGGCCACAGTGGCATTCCACACAGGGCTGCACTATAGCCGGTACATCTTTAATTCTTTACAAACCCCCTTCCACCCTCCTCCACCCCTTTCAGATCGACACGGACAAGCGCGGCAGCCTCGCAGTGTCGTTTGCTGCTGTCGCAACAGTAGCCTTCCACACAGGCAGGCACGAGCTGGCTACTCGGCTGCTGGAGAGGGAGGTTCATACTGGCCGGCAGGTGAGCAATGGTTGCACTTTCATTTGAGAGAGACTATGAATAGTGGTGAGAAGCACTCACTTCACATTGCAGGCCACAGTGGCCTTCCACACAGGCAGGCACGAGCTGGCCACGCGGCTGCTGGAGAGGGAGGTTCATACTGGCCGGCAGGTGAGCCAGATCAGTCCTGGTAGGTGCGTAGGTGTGCAGGTGAAGCAGGTGAAGCAGGTGAGGCTGACACTGCGCTTTTCCTTCCACACAGGCAGGCACGAGCTGGCTACACGGCTGCTGGAGAGGGAGGTTCACACGGGGAGGCAGGTGAGCAAGGGTTTGAAGAGAGGTAAGTCGGAGGTGAGAATCAATGCAGGTCTGGCCTCCCAGTGGTTCTGACATTTGAAGCACTGAGGCTAGTTCTGGAACTTCTTGAGCAATGATTTTGAAGAATCCTCGTGCTTCATTGCTTCGAAACCTTTTTCTACTTCTTCTCCTTCTGGTTTCTTTCCTCTCCTTCCCCACTCTGTTCCCATCCCATCAGGTGCGACTGCTGTTGGAGATGGGGGCGTTTGAGGCGGCTGTGTGGAAGGCAGAGGCAGGGCCAGATGCGGAATTCGTGTTCCAAGTGCTCTTTCAACTGCTCGATAAGGTGAATTTATGCTCCCTCGCTTGCTTTCTTCTCAATAGGTGCATTGCTGATGGTCGGTAAGGTGTGTGTTTGGCTGACTCGTGCTGGGCAAGGCAGGTGGATGCCTGCTTCCTCATTTTGAGACATAAGCTGAGACTTTTGAGTCGAGGTGGCTGTTGAGGCGGCTCAAAATGTGGATGCTTGCCGCCGCATTTTCAGTCAAAAGTGGACTTGCTGTCCGCTACGCTTCCAGCTTCCTGGTATAGTGCTCTCATGGTCGACCCAACACAACGCAGCCCAATTTAACGCAACCCCACCCAACCCAACCAAACCACACTGTACCCAACCACACAGGCGCCAGAGGAGCAGGTGTTTGAGCTGCTCAGAACTGCCAACGAATCACTGATGACCAAACTGTTCTCAACTTCCCAACCCAACCCACCCCAACCCAACCCAACCGCACAGGCGCCAGGGGAGTAGGTGTTTGAGCTGCTTAAAGCCCGCGGCCCAAATTGCGGGCCGCGCGGGTCAACTTTTTAAAACTTGACGACCAAGTGTTTGCAACGTTTGAAAAAAAGCCAGCCTGCAATTTGGGACTTCGGGAACAAAACCAACCCCCAGGGCGAAATACGAGGGCGGGCTGGGTTTGGCGAAAAAAAAAAACGAAATCTGAAACTTTCGCCAAAACCCTGAGCACAAAAACCCCCTCGCGTCAACCTTTTAAAAGTTGTGCAATTTGGGCTGCCGGCTTTAAGAGTCACCCCACTGCCCTAGGAGGTGATTTCCTGACCCACTGGCCCAACCCAACCCAACCCAACCCAACCCAACCCAACCGCACAGGCACCAGAGGAGCAGGTGTTTGAGCTGCTCAAGAGCCACCCCACTGCCCTAGGAGGTGATTGCCTGACCCACTGGCCCAACCCAACCCTACCCAACCCTATCCAACCCAACCCAACCCTACCCAACCCTATCCAACCCAACCCAACCCAACCGCGCAGGCACCAGAGGAGCAGGTGTTCGAGCAGCTCAAGAGCCACCCCACTGCCGTAGGTGGTGGTTGGTTGACTTGAACCACATGGTAAACCCATCCCAACCAGCCGACCCAACCCAACCCAACCCAACCCAACCGCACAGGCACCAGAGGAGCAGGTGTTTGAGCTGCTCAAGAGTCACCCCACTGCCCGGAGCCTCTTCATCTCATACTGCAAGTGAGGGTTCCTTCTTGTATCGTATCCCCCTCTCGACATCATAATCGTTCTGTTTTTGAGTCGACTAAAAAAAAGAGCTGCTCAAGAGTCACCCCACTGCCCGGAGCCTCTTCATCTCATACTGCAAGTGAGGGTTCCTTCTTGTATCGTATCCCCCTCTCGACATCATAATCGTTCTGTTTTTGAGTCGACTAAAAAAAAGAGCTGCTCAAGAGTCACCCCACTGCCCGAAGCCTCTTCATCTCATACTGCAAGTGAGCACCCTCTCCCAACATGCTCGTGTTAACATAATATTTGTTTAACAGAGTGCCAAGTTCATTTCTGCTTGTTTGTTTTCTTGTTTGTTTGTTCTTATTTTTTTCCGTTAATCAAAACATTCTCCAATTCATATCTCTCTGTGAGCATGCCAATTCTTATCATGTTTTTCCTTTTCCTGTTTGCCCCTTTTTTTTAGTCGACTAAAAATAAGCTCATGTTTTTCCTTTTCCTGTTTGCCCCTTTTCCCCACTCTGTGCTTTCCCAGGAAATCCGACATTCCCCTGCTCATGCGATTCTATGAGCGCTCCTCAATGCACCAGGTGATTAGGCAGGTGGCGTCTCAGGTGATTAGGCAGGTGGCGTCTCAGGTAATTAGGCAGGTGGCGTCTCAGGTAATTAGGCAGGTGGCGTTTCAGGTGATTTGGCAGGTGGCGTTTCAGGTGATTTGGCAGGTGGCGTTTTCGGTGACCTGGCAGGTGGTACGCCAGGTGGGTGCAATGTCGGACAACTAAACAGGGAGTGCCGGAGGGGCTGAACAGGTTGGGGCAGGGCAAGGGGCGTCAGAGAGGGTGAGGGAGCTCGAGGCAGCAGGGGAGTTCCTCTCACGGACCAGAGACCATTTTTCCCGCCCTCCCTTCGTTTCTCCCACACAATTTTGCTCTCCCACATGTGTTCCTCGTTCCATCCCTCACCCCCTGTCGCACCCAGTGTGTGGCAGAGCAGATTGTGGATCAGGGGATTCTGGAGGGCGGAAACAGGTTGGGGGCAGGGGCAGCGGAGAGGGTGAGGGAGCTGGAGGCAGCAGCAGAGCTGCTCTCGAGGACCAGAGACCACGGGTTTCAGGCGAAAGCAGTGGAAGATTCCGTGAAGCTCCTGCGGTGAGTGTGGGGTGTGTTGTGGGGGTGGGGGTGGGGGTTGGTGGTGATGGTTTTGGTGGTGGTGGTGGTGGTGGTGGTGGTGGTGGTGGTGGTGGTGGTGGTGGTGGTGGTGGTGATGGTGATGGTGATGGCGATGGTGATGGTGATGGTGATGGTGATGGCGATGGCGATGGCGATGGCGATGGCGATGGCGATGGCGATGGCGATGGCGATGGTGATGGTGATGGTGATGGTGATGATGATGGTGATGGTGATGGTGATGGTGATGGTGACGATCTTCCCCCTGTCCTTTTCCTCCTTGTGTTTCCCACGCCCTTTTCTCCCTCCCACCAGCTTTCAGCAGCAGTTGGAAGCAGGAGGGATGCAGCTTCTCCCACCCACCACCACTGCTACTGCCACTGGTGCAAGGGAGGGCGTGGGGATTGGGGAGGAGGAGGGCAGGAGGAGGAGTGTGGTGGGAGCGAGTGTGAATGAGACGATTGCGGCTTGCCTGGCCGTGGGGAACCACAGAGAAGCTCAGAAGCTGAAGAGCGATTTCAAGGTGAGACCTGCTTTCAAGGTGAGACCTGTTTTCAAGGTGAGACCTGTTTTCAAGGTGAGACCTGCTTTCAAGGTGAGACCTGCTTTCAAGGTGAGACCTGTTTTCAAAGGTAAGGAGCTGAGACTGTGAGTGGCATGTGCCGCCCGCCTAGCTGCTAGCCTACCGGCGGGGAACCACTGGTAATCTCAGAAGCTGAAGAGTGATTTCAAGGTGAGTTGACTTGAAATTACTTGTGGGCGTGCTGCTATTTCTACCCCCTCTCATCCCCAATTACCCTCCTCCACCCCCTGAACCGCCCCTGAGCTTGTCATTCCCCCTCTTCCACACAGGTCCCTGAGAGGCGTTTCTACTGGCTGAGACTCCAATCTCTGGCGCGCCTAAGGGACTGGGAGGGGCTGGAGAAGCTGTTCAAGGAGCGGCGGCCTCTGGTGGGCTTGAGGGCGTTTGTGGAGGCGTGTGTGGAGCAAGGCGCTGTGGTGGAGGCTGCTAAATACGTCGGCAGGATTGCAGATGCGGGTGAAAGAGAAGAGGTGAGAATGGGTTGGGTTGGGTTGGGTTCAGGGTGGGCAGGTGAACGGGTGGGCTTAGGGGGGCGTTCGTTGAGGCGTGTGTGGAGCAAGGCGCCGTGGTGGAGGCTGCTAAATACGTTGGGAGGATTGGGGGAAGTGGAAGAGGTGAGCAGGGGCATGGGATAGAGGATTGGAAACAAAAAGGGAAACAAGGCTGGGCAGGGTCTATCCCCATCCGGGGTTGTCCTCATATCCCCATCCCTGGTGTTGTTCCCTTTTATGCACCCGCCTGCACACTCTTGCCACCTAATTTACCCCACCCTGATTCACACCTCCACCCTCACAATGTCTCGCCCACACTACCCCCCACCCCCACCCACCCCAACGCAGCTGTCGCGGCGGTTCAACCTTCCAGACCTGACATCCGAAGCAGCAGCTGCCGCAGCAGCAGAGAGGGGCGAGGGTGCAATTCTCGGTACTCTGCGATCGTTTGCTGCTGCTGGAAGCGCTGCTGGTGCTGCCGCTGTTGCTGCGAACCCCACAGCTTCCTCCTTTTTCGGTTTTGGCAGCTTATCTTTCAGTGGTAGGGGTGAAGGATAGGACTTAGAAATTTTGCATTGAGATAGGAGTGTAACTAATGAGGCACAAGTTGAATGCCCTTTCACAAGCATAAATCCCGTGAATATAGATCACCATATCCAATTATAATTTTACAGTGTAGCACTATCAAGTCCAAACTGTTTTTTATGTCACCCACATATTTCGCGAACTTCATGCTAGGGTACCTGGACCTGGCTGTCGGTCGCAGTTTTTCCTCGCTTATCTGGCACCGACATTGCCAGACCCTTGAACTGTCCAATTAGGTCCTTCCGATAGCGTATCTTATCATCATATTGCCACGTCAACATCCAATCCAGCTGGTTTGCTCGGTCATTGACGTAATTTCTGTGCCAGCTGGAGCCTCGTTAATTACCGAGAGATCGCAGCCGTAGAATGGCAGGGCCGGTCGAAGTTCCAACAATTGGCTCTTTCGTTTCACGAATTTCACGAAAAGGTTGCCTTTTTCGTTTAAAAGAGAAGCACCTTTGGCGAGAAATCGCCAAATGCCCATTTCGAAGAAGTTGCTTCGAAAGGCGCGGGAATATCACACGAGACCGCGCGCGGCGACGCTGCCACGCGAGCGGGGAAGGGCCGCAAACCAATCGCGCTGCGTGATCTGCTTGAGCACCAATGGCGTGCGGGCCGCGTGGGGCCACCAACTGTCTCTGCTGTTGCTAGCTTGTTCCGCAAGCAGTTCGTGTACACGAGCAAACTTCTGTTACTTGCAAATTCTTGTCGTGTGATCGCATTCTGCTATTGCTATTGTGAGATCCAGTTTTCTGCTTCAAAGGCATTTTGTGCCTCTCCCACTCCACACTCCTTGCTGCTTCGTGAATCGCGATTGCCCGCAGCGCCATTTCTTCTCTGGTCTCTTCCCTTAGTTTCTCATGGCTCTCGCGCTTCAGAAATCTGCACTTTTCACGTTGCTGCAAATAGCAGTACTACTGCCGTTGACTCAAGTCGCCGTTCGCGTGAGCGCTGCTGCTCTGCCGTGCAGCAAGTCTCCCGTCGCTGGATTCGCGAAGAAAGTTACGCTGGCACCGGGGTACGTGCTGGACATTGTTACGAGGTGACCTTTGAGTCGACTCAGAAGAGGACTTTGAGTCAAATCAGAAGGTGGCTTTTTAGTCGACTCAAAAGTCGCCGTGCAGCAAGTCTCCCGTCGCTGGATTCGCGAAGAAAGTTATGCTGGCACCGGGATACGTGCCGGACATACTTTCGAGACGTCTCAAAAAACCTACTGGACATGCGCAAAAATGTTGATTAAATAGATACTTGGGGTGCGAGTCCGGGAATGACTGCACGAAACTCATACAAATCAACTCATTCACCGTTATTGTAACAAACCGGATCGTGACAAACCACCGTGCTCATATAGACTGAGTGGTCGAGGAGCCCGCAAACCCTTCCCTCCGGTCACCCTCCCCTCCCCACGCAAACCAGGCTCGTGTTTCACTGGAAGGTGTTGTACGGGAACACGTTCCGCGCCGCGTTCATCGCGCAGGCGAGCAGCGGCGCGAATAAGGGGTGGATCGCGGTCGCGTGGACCAAGAGCGTGGGGAAAATGTACTCCGCGGTCACCTCCCCCCCCCCCCCCTCTCCCCCTCATGCCCACACCAGGCTGGTATTCCACTGGAAGGTGCTGTACGGAAACACGCTCCGCGCCGCGATCATCGCGCAGGCTAGCAGCGGCGCGAATAAGGGGTGGGTCGCGGTCGGGTGGACCAAGGCCGCGGGGAAAATGTACCCCGCGGACGCCGTCGTGGGGAATCTGGGCAGCAAGCCGGGTGCAGTCGAGCCGTACGCGATGACCAGCTACAGTGCTGTAACGAAGTCGACCGCTTTTACTGTAACGAGGGGAATTGTATCGCGGAAATCGCGGTCTACAGTCATCAGGTGCGTGTCACGGCAATATCATGATTCACTCTTGTTGGGGATCGAAGGGGGGAGGTACAAAGGCAACTAAAGTCACTTCTGTTGAGCGTAGGCTGAGGCGTCTCCTCGGGTTTTGAGTCGGCTCAGACACCACTCGACGAGCGCCGGCTGAGGCATGTCCTTGGGTTTAAAGGAAATTGAAAGTGCTTGTTCGGATGGGTCGTCGTCCTAGTAGCGACCATATCCCGTTCGATCCACTAAAAACCGTCCCCGTCATAGAGCGAAGCGAACCCCCCCGTCATGGATATCATAAGCCCGAAAGCCCGCCACTTCTTATGAGCTATTCGATTCTTAGAGCAATAAATCCTTAAACCCGAAACCCGATACTATTAGCCCTTACCTTGTTAGCTGTACATGAAACCTAATTAGTCGTCCATCATGAAAAGGGGCACAAAACACCACATAACGAAAGCGTGACGAAAATCTGAGGGTCCTATCTGTACTTCCCCAATTCACATGCACTCAGAAGCTGCAAATCTGTTGCTATCATTTCTACCCGCTGCGAGGAATATCTTGATTGTGGTAAAACCGCCATCCGTCGTGCGTCCTTTTTCTCCCGCATCTCAGGTTCATTCGCAGCGGCTCATCGGGATTGTCGCCGATCAACTACAAGGGCACCAACGACATGGTCTGATATGACTGTTTAAAACTCAAACCCTGAACCCCCTCAGGTTCACTCGCAGCGGCTCATCGGGATTGTCGCCGATCAACTACAAGGGCACCAACGACATGGTCTGATATGACTGTTTAAAACTCAAACCCTGAACCCCCTCAGGTTCACTCGCAGCGGCTCATCGGGATTGTCGCCGATCAACTACAAGGGCACCAACAACATGGTCTGGGCCTACTCCGTTGACGGCTCCACCGCGATAGGCGGCCACGGTGCCAACCGGTACGTACGAACTACTTGCATCCTCCGCAGCAAGCTAGCTTTTGAGTAGACTCCAAAGTTGCATCGACCCAGGCGGCTCCACCACTCTCGGCGGCCACGGTCCCACTCTCGACCGATTTGCACTAGGCTCACTTAGAGACGTCTCATTCCAGACTTCATCTCCATCTCCCCTTCTCCGGCTCGACCACTCTGGGCAATCATCATGGTCCCAAACAATCCGCGCTTTTTTAAGTTCAACCGTTTCGAGTTTCAGGGAACACCGGCCCCTAAACGCACCATTAAGAAAGACCGAGGGACGACAAGAGCTTGTCGAATCGCGACGATTCCCCCCTATTCCTCCTGCTCCCTTACCCTAATCTTCCTGCTCACTTGCTTTCTGTCACGAATGGTATCGCTTCCATCCAGGGGCTCTGCGACTGTTGACCTCGCGTGCAAAATCGGATGAGGCTGCAATGCGGTATCTCAACGTCGGGGGCAACATCCGTAATCTCGTACCCGTTTGTGCTTCCTTGCGGACGCGGTATGGTGTGCACTGCAATAAGCTCGTGGGTATGCATTCTATAGCTACATTTGGAAAAGTGGGATATACGGGTATCTTTAAAGGGGTGCTGCGGTTGGAACTCGTGCTAAATTTGGGTGATGGTGAGGAAAGGTGCGAGATGGGCTAACCTGGTCCTTTTTTATCATCTGTACATCCTGATTGCTGCTAACCATTTTTGGCTAAGACAGACTAGCAAATTAGCATCATAGATCATACGCACAAGTCTGTCAAATGGCCAGAGACTGATTACTATACGTACACAACCAAAAGGATGGGTGGAAAATCTTTTGCATTTTTATCCACTGAAGCGGATTTCTATGACTGCATTGCGCACCCCATGGAATCAGCTATGATAGTGTACACCACGCCATAACAGATGCACGCGACATGACTGTACAAAATAATAAAACCCAAGTATATCTACAGCAGCACATCGCTAGGATAGGCCTGGGGGTTCCTCATTACGGCTCCAGCTCCCCCGGATGGGCCGGGCAGAAACATCGTCCTTCACATATTTACATTACAGTGACGCATCCCTTGTATATCTACAGCGGAACGTCACTGGGATACGCTTGGGGGTTCCTCATAACGGCTGCACGCACCTCCCTCTCCTGCTCCCGCAGATGTAGTGGAATATTGTCGTACACATCACTCACTAGATCTGATAGAGGTGGCTTCGGAAGCTTCTCAGCAGCTTCCAGTGCAGCAATCACCTGAAAAGACCAAAAGAAACGGGGCAAATTTGAGAAAGGATGGAGAATGAGAGCTATAGCTGCATGCTTTACCCATGAAACTAGTCGAAGAATCACCTATTGATCCCACCAAATGCATACCCAACCATGCATACATGAACCCCTACCCCCACAGACCTCATTATAAATGCACCAAGCACACATGCGCCTTTACCTCATCCCTGGCAGTGTCCCTCGCATGCTTCTCCCGCTCCTCATCCCACCACCCTTTCCTCTCCAGCCACCTCCTGAACCGCGCCACCGGGTCTCTCTGTGTGCGCCAGTGCGCCATCTCCCCTGCTCCCCGGTAGCGGGATGAATCATCCGATGTGCTGTGATGGCCTGTGCGGTATGTCATGGCCTGGAAGAGTAGACAGTGTAGTAGGCAGAAGGAGCATAGTTTGGGTATAGAGGGCAGAGGTCTCTCTGTGTGCGCCAGCGCGCCATCTCCCCTGCTCCCCGGTAGCGGGATGAATCATCCGATGTGCTGTGATGGCCTGTGCGGTATGTCATGGCCTGGGAAAGGGAGTGTAAAGGGAGGGCAAACGGAGGGTAGTTGGCAGAATAAGGGTAGAATGGGTGTAGAGGGTAGGGGTCCCCTTGTGTGCGCCAGTGTGCCATCTCCCCAGAGAGGGGAGTCATCCGATGTGCTGTGATGGCCCGTGCGGTATGTCATGGCCTGGGAAGGGAAGGAGAGGGGAGATGTACAGGGAATGATGAGAGAAGAAAGACTCTCTCTTTGTTCGCCAGTGCGCCATCTCCCTGCTCCCCTGTAACGAGAGGAGTCATCTGACGTGCTGTGATGGCCCGTGCGGTATGTCATGGCCCGAGGGAAAGAGGAGGGCACGACACGGAACAGATGAGGGAAGGATGGAAGGAGGATCACGGAATGGAACGAAAGCAAGGAGTCGACGTGCTGTGATGGCCCGTGCGGTATGCAATGGCCAGGGGGGGAAGAGGGAGGGCAAACAGAGGGTGGTGGGTAGGAGAAGGGCAGATTGAGTATATGGTAGCAAGAGGAGTCATCTGACGTGCTGTGATGGCCCGTGAGATATGCCATGGCCCGTGCGATATGCCATGGCCCGTGCGATATGCCATGGCCCGTGCGATATGCCATGGCCCGTGCGATATGCCATGGCCCGTGCGATATGCCATGGCCCGTGCGATATGCCATGGCCCGTGCGATATGCCATGGCCCGTGCGATATGCCATGGCCCGTGCGATATGCCATGGCCCGTGCGATATGCCATGGCCTGAGGGGAAGGTGTGCAAACATTCTATTTCGGACTCCACCACTCTCTCCCTCGCCTCATTCACCACCCTCAGCACTGATTTCCAGTTGTTCACAAATATCCACCCCACTCCACCGCCCTTCATTACACTTGACCACAGCTCACCGCACTTCACCGCACTGCATCTCACCTCCACGAGTATGGGCTTCCCTGTTTCCACCACCCTTGCCCTCGCCTCCTTCACGACTCTCAGCACTGCCAGCACATCGTTGCCGTCCACCCGTACAGTAGAGACACCCTTCACCACACTATACCGCACTCCACCACCCTTCACCACACTCCATCTCACCGCCAGCACGTCGCTGCCGTCCACCTGCACACTAGAGACGTCGCATGACGCTGAGTGGGCGCCAGTGCACCATCTACTCCGCACTTAACCGCACTTCACCACAGTACACCGAAATTCACCGCCTGTCAACGCACTGCACCCTACCTCCACGAGAATGGGCTTCCCTGTCTCCACCACCCTTGCCCTCGCCTCCTTCACGACTCGCAGCACTGCCAGCACGTCGTTGCCGTCCACCCGCACACTAGAGACGCCGTATGCTGCCCCTCTCCCTGCTATGCCGTCACCTTCATCACAGCGCACCGCACTTCACCGCACTGCACCTCACCTCCACGAGAATGGGCTTCCCTGTCTCCACCACCCTTGCCCTCGCCTCCTTCACCACTCGCAGCACCGCCAGCACGTCGTTGCCGTCCACCCGCACACTAGAGACGCCGTATGCTGCCCCTCTCCCTGCTATGCCGTCACCTGGGATTTTGTGGCCAATCAGAGAGGGGAGGGGGGTGGGGTGAGATCAGAAGGGAAACGGGGGAAGATGATCGAAAAAAAGGGATCAGGGAGAGGACGTAACAAGGTGAGTTGACTCAAAAGTCAACTAGGTAAATTTCAATAACATGGAATAGGGCTGTTTCAAGAGAACGTGGCAGGAAAAGATGGGATGTGCCGTACCGCGGTACTGTTCCTTCGCAGGGGTGCTAATAGCCCAGCCGTTGTTGCGGCATATGAAGAGTACAGGTGCCTCCAGGACTGATGCAAAGTTGAGAGCTGCGTGGAAGTCGCCCTGAGAGTCAACACAGTCAGAAGATGCGGGCATATGTGACTTTTGAGAAGTCGTCTACTTTTGAGAGCCCAGTCCATATGGCTGACAGTCAGCACAGTCAGAAGATGCGGGCATATGTGAGCGCATGCGGCTATCAAGGTGACTTTCGGGTCGACTCAAAAGTCACCTAAGTCACCCTGAGAGTCAACACAGTCAGCACAGTCAGAACATGCGGGCATGTGTGAGCGCATGTGGCTATCAATCGTCCAATCAGGAGCAAACAAGCGCGAATGCACGCAGAATGCACCGTCCACTGGTCATCCCCAGGGCGCTCACCTCACTAGCAGCACCCTCTCCCCAAAGTAAGCCACAGAGCAACATCCCTCGCTGACACACGAAACCACACAATACCACACTACACTGCACACCACCACACACAATGATCTTCTCCCTACTTCACAGCTCACCTCACTAGCAGCGCCCTCGCCAAAGTAAGCCACGGAGCAGCACCCCTCGCCTGCCATCTTGAGCCCATAGGCCCGGAGCAGCACCCCTCACTATCCCATGATTCCACACGTGATTACCCTGTGTCACAGCTCACCTCACTAGCAGCGCCCTCGCCAAAGTAAGCCACGGAGCAGCACCCCTCACTGTCACACAAAACTACACGAGACCGCACACTACCGCACACTATCGCACATGATCATTTTTTCACTCCTTCACAGCTCACCTCACTAGCAGCGCCCTCGCCAAAGTAAGCCACGGAGCAGCACCCCTCGCCCGCCATCTTGAGCCCATAGGCCGCCCCCACTGCATGCGGGATCTGCGTGCTGATGGGGACGGCGGAAGCAAACAGGGGAGACAGGGGCGGAGGGATACGAAGCTGAGGAGGGGACGGGTGTGTGCTGTGGGGAGGCACGAAAGTAAGCCACGGAGCAGCACCCCTCGCCTGGCATCTTGAGCCCATAGGCCGCCCCCACTGCATGGGGGATCTGCGTGCGTGCTGGTGGGGGCGAGATGATGACGGGGAGGGTTGGAGGGCGGGGGGGACTGGAGGTGGGTGGTTAGGGTGCGGTGGTGGGGTGTGAACTGAATCATCATGTAATCCACGGAGCAGCACCCCTCGCCCGCCATCTTGAGCCCATAGGCCGCCCCCACTGCATGGGGAATCTGCGTGCTGGTGGGGGTGGGGGCAGAGCAATGGAGGAGGTGTGAGGGAGGAGATAGGCCATGCCATTTTGAGTAGGCCATGCCATTTTGAGTAGGCCATGCCAGTTTGAGTAGGCAGTGCCATTTTGAGTAGGCCATGCCATTTTGAGTAGGCCATGCCATTTTGAGTAGGCCATGCCATTTTGAGTAGGCCATGCCATTTCGAGTAGGCCGTGCCATGTTGAGCCCATAGGTGGCTCATCTCGCATTATGAGTAGTAAGAAGGACGACGAAACCACTCACAAATAAAGGCGAGGAGATGCGGTTCGCGTGAGTGGTTCATAGTGCCGCACTATGTAATCCGAGGTCCGTGGGTCCATAGTGCAGCACGGGCACCTGGAGACCCTTGCTCCTAACCCGCATGAAGGAAGCACGACTCACGCTTTTGAGCCAACCTAAAAGTCATTCACGCCAGCGGCGAGGAGATGGTGTGGATTCGAAGCTCGGCGGAACCGTAGTGCACGGGCATCTGGCGCCCCTTCCCTGCGTCCAGCCGGTAACAAGGAGAACCCAGTTATAAGACGTCTCAGAATTGGACACTCACGCTAGGGGTGAGGAGATGGTGTGGAATCGCAGCTCCGCAGACCCATAGTGCACGGGCATCTGGCGCCCCTTGCCCGCGTCCAGCTGGTTGCCCATGCACTGATTTGCAAAGTCGGGGAGGGAGAAGCCCCTCCACAGCAGCACTCCTGGCTCTCGGTACTGATGGGGAAAAGGGAAGGCGAGGGGGAAAGGAAGAAGCAGAAGTGTCTCTGTGCGGCCCTTGCCTGCGTCCAGCCGGTTGCCCATGCACTGGTCGGCGGAGTCAGCAAGAGAGAAGCCCCGCCACAGCAGCACCCCTGCCTCTGCTGCTGCGCCCCTTGAGAGCGGAACAAGGCCAGAAAGAATGCCTCTGGAAACCAGAAAGCATACGCACGCACCTGTGCGAACACATGATCATGCGCGTGGATGGCGGCAGCGGATGCAATGTTGACGGCCTCCTCCCCCGCTGTGGTCATGTAGAACGAGAAGCGTCCCTGCCTCTGCGCCTCATAAAAGACAGAGTCCATTGCCTGCAACTCCACCATCGCTTGATACATGCGCTCTGCTTCGGATTTGGAGAGCTGGCACGGGTTATTGACAGGAAGTGTAGTGGGATGGGAGGGAAGGGACGGATTGAGGAGAAGCGCCCTTGCCTCTGCGCCTCGTAAAAGACAGAGTTCATTGCCTGCAGCTCCGCCATTGCTTGATACATGCGCTCGGCTTCAGACTGGTTAAGCTGGGGAAAGGGAAGAAGGGAGAAGGATTTGAGGGGGAGTGGGAAGGGAGAGAAGAAGCGGGGAAAGAAGGTATCGGTGAAGGGGGAATTGAGAGGTTGGAAGAAATTAGCGCTCCCTCACTCACTCATTCCCTCACTCACTCACTCCTTCAATCCCACTCACCTCGGGCTCCTCTGCGCCTTCCACGAGGCCCCCCTCGTGGTCCAGCACACGGAAGCACGGCACAGGCGACTCTGGGAGCTCAGGGACGAATTGAAGGTCAGACGTAAACGCCGTGCGCACTGCTCCCATCTTCTCTTGAATTCTACTCACTCCCTCCGTCACTCGCTCCCACAATCACTCACCTCGGGCTCCTCTGCGCCCTCCAAGAGGCCCCCCTCGTGGTCCAGCACACGGAAGCACGGCACAGGCGACTCTACCGCTTCAGGCACCAACTGAAAACCAACCGTGAATGGTATATGCGCGCTTCTTTTACCCCTTGCTTCTTCTCACTCCTTCACTAACGCACCCACTCTTACCTCGGGCTCCTCTGCCCCCTCCACAAGCCCCCCCTCGTGGTCCAGCACACGGAAGCACGGCACAGCCGACTCTGGGAGCTCAGGCACGAAGTGAAGGTCAGAAGTGAACGCCATGCGCACTGCTTCATCTTCCCTTGTTTCCTATTCCCTGACTCCCTCCCTCTCTAACTCAAAAAGCGCTCCTCGGCACCCTCCACGAGCCCCCCCCTCGTGGTCCAGCGCACGGAAGCACGGCACAGGCCACCCTGGGTGCTATGGCACGAAATGAAGACCAGCCGTGAACGGTATATGCGCGCTTCCTGTGCCCCTTGCTTCTTCTCACTCGTTCACTCACCTCGGGCTCCTCTGCGCCGTCAACGAGTCCCCCCTCGTGGTCCAGCACTCGGAAGCACGGTACAGGAGACTCTGGGAGCTCAGGCACGAAATGAAGGTCAGAAGTGAAAGCCATGCGCGCGCCTGGGAACTCGTGAGATACCGCCACCGCTGCTGCTGATGATGAAGATGACGTGGCGGCTGACGTGGAGGCTGACGTGGCGGCTGACGACAGATTGGGCCCCTGTGGAGTGAAACCAGAGAGGGTGTCATATTATGCATACGTGTCAGAAGCAGCCGACCCAACAGAATGAAAGGACCAGATTTCTGTAATTCAATTTTAGAGTAATAAACGGCGAGAGAAGGAGGACCTGATGTATGGAAATGGTGCGAGAAAGCAAAATGAGAACAATAAGCTCACCTGTCGCTGATGTGGCGAAACCGAGAAGTTTCTTACGAAGCTTGTCGTCCGTCCGATTCCAGCAGCGTCTTGAGTTGTTGAGGCTGTAACGGGCGGAGCCAAACCATATAATTTTCGTAGCGTTCGTTCACTTTCGCGAAAGCCTCGGCGTGCAAGAGCAGCAGCTAACGCACGGCTCGCCATAATGGAAAATATACAAAATGAGTCGTTTCGAAGGGATGTGAGAGCCGTCAACTTAAAACGCAGTGGCGACTTCGCTTTCAAAATCAAAAGTGCGCACTATTCTCGGTGTCGCAGCTTGTCAGCGAAACTACAAGCAGCTATCTGAGAGCTCGGCAGGACGAGCAGTGCGTGTCGCCTACGAGCAGCAGCACAAGAGAATAATCTCTCTTATGTACAGGGTGCAAAAGAGGGCCACGCTCCGGTCTGAAGCAGAAGCGTCTGCCTCGGCTGCTGCGACTGCTGTTCCTACTGCCGAAACTATGGCTGTAACAGGTTATTCAGGCTTCTGTTTTTTCTGATTTCTGTCATTCACACGTGCTGCTTCAAAGTTGGCTTCGGATGAAATCCATGGTTTCCGAATCTCTCCTCCGTTCTCACTCCCACCCTGACACCTGAGAAGGTGAGTGTGTATCGCCAATCTCCCAATGCGGTTCCTGGACGTTTTAGATTCTTTCAATACGGTTCAGTACGATTCGTCAGGTTGAAAATATGCTTTCATTTACGTACCGCTCTGAACCGCTGCGCATTGAGTTACACCGAAGGAGGTGATTTGGAAAACCACTCTCGGTTTGGGACACGCCCAAGGAGCCCCGGCCCTCGAGAACTCAGAACCGTTCGAGTGCGTATGACGTGGATTACTGGAAGTTGGAGTCGGTAGCATGTCACAACAAGCCCAAGCCAACATTCATCTGCACGCTCGCCTGCAGCTCCAGCTCCCCGCTGGCTCAGCTGCTGATGTTTGATGGTCAGCGATTCGTCACAACGAAATCAGCCAATGATATTCGCGTTACAGGCACAAACACCTTGACTTACAAACAGCCTGTCACAAGCTACATAAAAAAACATCATATTTTTCAAATTATGAATGTACATTCTAGTGCATCACAAACTGCAGCTCAGTTGTTGGACTCTTGCATCCGCACAAGCCTCTCTCCGATGACGTCCGTTGGAAGATCGTCGGATTCATCCAGCGGCATGTACTGTGCCATGATGGCCCGGATCTCAGAATCAACATGTGTCTGCACGTAACACACACCAAACGCCATAGAAGAATCTGAAGCATGCTTACACGAATAGAGAAACAAAGAGCTGAGTTGGCTTGGCATTCTTACCCGAAGGTGGTACTGGTACATTAAGTACCCCAGGACTGCAAAAACGGCGATGAAGCCCAACACTATCGCCACTACTCCACCCCAGATGGTACGAGTAGGAGCTGAGCCCTCAGATACCCTGCCTGATGTTTGTAAGAGAGATACAAATGGCAAGTGCGAAGACAAGCATGTGAGAGAGATGAGGTGAGACACGGAAACAAGGATACAGGGCAGGGCAACAGTGTGGCCATTATTCCACTCCGGAGGACATGAGTGCTGTTCAAACATACACTGCCTGACGTATGATGTGGGAGCGAGGAAGGAAATTGCAGGAAATTTTATGGAAAAAAAAATCGGTCCGAACATAGGCGACTCACATATGCACGCCTGAAGCTGGTCGATTTAAACCATGTTCTCGCCCACACACGAGCACTCGTACGACCCGAACCTGTTGCGACCATTTGTGCAGTCCTCGTAAACCCCACTTACTGATGCAAGCTTGAAGCTGGTCAATATAAACCATGTTCTCGCCCACACACGAGCACTCGTACGACCCGAACCTGTTGCGACCATTTGTGCAGTCCTCGTAAACCCCACTTACTGATGCAATCTTGAAGCTGGTCAATATAAACCATGTTCTCGCCCACACACGAGCACTCGTACGACCCGAACGTGTTGCGGCACTTGCACTCGGGGCACTTGCAGGCGGGGTGTGAGGGAGCACACTCGTTGGTGTCCTTGCAGTGGTGCCCGTTGCCCTTGAAACCCGGCGGACACACACAGGTGGTGGTGGGGGAGGTGGAGCTGTCCTGCTCCGGGATAGGGCGGGGAGGGAGGGGGAAAAGGGAGGTGATGGAAGAGGGGAGAAGGCAAAGAGGTGCAGGCCGGGTGTGAGGGAGCACACTCGTTTGTGTCCTTGCAGTGATGCCCGTTGCTCATGAAGCCTGGCGGACACACACAGGTGGTGGTGGAGGTGGAGGTGGAGCTGTCCTGCTTGGGGGAAGGCCAAAGAAAAGTGGGAGAGGGTTTGAAGAAAAAAGTGGTGTTTGCACTCTGTTACTGGCACCGAGAGACACACAGGGGTGGGGGGGGGAGGTGGAGCTGTCCTGCTTGGGGGAAGGCCGCGAGTGGTAGGGGAAGACAGGAAAGAGGTGGGGGATGAGGGAGTAGGGGGATGGCACCAGCATAACTCACTTACATGGCAGGCACAGCAAAACCAGCAGCAGAAGCAACAGCAGCTACTCACATGGCAGGCAGTGTACGCATTTCTCTCGTGGGCGGGTGGACTGCCAGCATCCCCTATCGGCCTTACAGAGTTGTCTAAAACTGTACACAGCCCACCATGTAACTGCAGCACAACTCACAAGCATTGAAACGTCTCAGCAACTCACATGGCATGCAGTGTACGTCTTGCCCTCGTGGGTGGACTGCCAGCATCCCCCGTTGCCCACCAGGCAGCGACCCACTCCCGCAGCTGCACATGCGAGTGAGGAGGGGAGCAGGTGGGGACCGAAAAATCAGTGGTTCTTTTGAGATATCTCAAAAAATTCAGTTTATACACGTGTGGACTGCCAGCATCCCCCGTTGCCCACCAGGCAGCGACCCACTCCCGCCGCTGCACGTGCGAGTGAGGAGAGGAGCAGAGCAGGTGCAGAGAGAAGAGCAGGTAAGGTGGACAACCGAGAAATTAGTGGTTAGGCTGAAGGACCCCCCTACAAGCATCCCCCGTTGCCCACCAGGCAGCGACCCACTCCCGCCGCTGCACGTGCGAGTGAGGAGGTGAGCAGGTAGGGAGAGCAGAGCAGGCCAGGTGGGGACAGAAACGCAACAAATGAAGGAATCATGGGGTATATAGATATAAGTGGGCTGATATACGATCATGATGATTGGAACAGTTATCGCCTGGTTAGGCTGAGGGACTTAGTGAAGCACTCAAGCTCACATGTAGTGTATGCATACCCAGTGCGGTACACGAATGTGCCTAGTGAAGAGTTGACTTTTGAGTCGCCTCAAAAGTCAACTTGGCCGAGGGACTTAATGAAGCACTCAAACTCACATCACATGTAGTGTAAGCATACCCAGTGCGGTACACAAATGAACCTAGTTAAGCATTTACAAAAGCACACGTAATGAAGTACATCTAGTAAAGCTCAGGAAGTACTCACCCTCGCAACTATTGTAGCCATCGCCTGTGAGGTATACCCCCGTGGCAGGGTCCGCAGGGCACTCACACCGCACACTTAGTAATGCACACTTGAGGGATGTACACTAAGTGAGCTGAGGAAGTACTCACCCTCGCAACTATTGTAGCCATCGCCTGTGAGGTATACCCCCGTGGCAGGGTCCACGGGGCACTCACAGACCCTGCCTCTGAACGTATCCTGCAAGGAGATAGAGGGAGTGGGGGGGAGGGCAACAGGGAACGTGTTCTCTGTTCAACACAGGATCCTTGGTGCACTCGCACACCCTGCCTCTGAACGAGTCCTGCAGGGGGGAGAGAGGAAGTGAGACAAGGCTTGGAACGCCAGCAGCCTACCTTGCCTCACACGCCCACGCACCCGGACAAAGCATGTGCCGACTCACACACAGCACGGAACTGCACGCATCCTTTTTTTGCAGAGACACAATTAGCAAATGGATGTGGTTCCGGTCAGGGAAAAGCGCACCTTGCAGGCTGTGAGGTTGTGGCCCTGCCAGCAGCCCTTCGTGCCTTAGTGTTCCTCCCACATACAGAGTCGACGCATTTTGTGGACTTGCACACTGCATGGCGTTTCATACAGTAAATCAAAGCGCTGGGCTTTAGATCAGAGCAAAGCGCACCTTGCAGGCTGTGAGGTTGTGGCCCTGCCAGCAGCCTCCGTTGTTGGTCAGGCACTCGTTAGTTTGCACCTCTGTTGGCGTGGAGGGTTGGAAAAAAAGCCAAGGGAGAAAGCAACAATCGATTGGTCACCAGCAGCTACTTCAAAAGAGAACGGTAAACTGAATTAGGGAAATTGTATTGCATGAAGTGTCTGATTGCACATGCTCATACCAGCTCCGAGGCAGATGGGTGGCTCGGTCGATTCTTCAAAGCCCGCACAGATGGCCTTGAGCACTGCCTTCGCCTCCAGCTTGCCTATAATCACACGCCATAGAATCACCATGACATGTATGTACGTACATACCGGCTCCGAGGCAGATGGGAGGCTCGGTGGACTCTTCAAAGCCCGCACAGATGGCCTTGAGCATTGCCTTCGCCTCCAGCTTGCCTGTAGTCACCATGCCATGCATCGTCCATGCATACATTACCTTGCAGGCAGTAGCCTTGAGTGCATGTGCGTACTTACCGGCTCCTAGGCAGATGGGAGGCTCGGTGGACTCTTCAAAGCCCGCACAGATGGCCTTGAGCACTGCCTTGGCCTCTAGCTTGCCTGCAGTAGCCATGTCATGCAATCACCATGCCATGCCATCACCATGCCATGCCATCACCATGACATGCCACCATCACATGCCACCACCATGACATGCCATCACCACGCCATGCCATCACCGAGCCATGCCATCACACCAACACGCCATGCCATGCCATCACCATCAATACGTGTGATTATAACGCATTACATCAGCACGACATGACAGCAGCACGATATGACATCAGCACAACATGCAATCACCATGACATGCTGTCATGTGTGAGCACAAAGCATGTGTGTGCGGCAGCATGTGCAGTGACTCGCATTCCTTATGCCAATCACCAGCCAATTACCTCTGCACTGCACATTGTTGATCACAATCATTGGTAACATGGTAACAAAGGTGACATGTAACAATCAACTCCGAAGTCACCTCTTAACTGATACCAACCACCCACCTCTGTACTGCACATTGTTGATCACAATGGTTGGTAACATGGTAACATCGCTCCGCCCACGCTTGCCCACCTGATGGGATGGGGACAATAGGGGCGGAGCAGCAGGAGCAGCAGGAGGGATGAGGCAGGCAGAGTGGTGGGGCTGACAGAGATGGGGCAGAGTGGTGGGGCTGACAGAGATGGGGCAGAGTGGGGGGAGTGGCAGGAATGCGGTTGGATAGAATATGGGTTTGGGTCTTTAGACAAGCTCGGTCCTTTACACAAGCTCAGTCCTTTAGACAAGCTCGGTCATCAGAGGGGTATACCAGGCGTGATTGTGACACTAAACAACTCCCACCTGCGCGTCCTGCTCTTCTTCCATCACGGGGTTGGCTGCATTTCTGTTGGGCTCGCCCATGCACGCATTGAGGAGACTCAGACGCAAACTACCTCTCACGTTCAAACAGTTCCTATATTGAGCAGGCTAACACGTACCTGAGCATCCTGCTCTTCTTCCATCACGGGGTTGGCTGCATTCCTGTTGGGCTCACCCATGCACGCCCGTACCTTCTGCGGATCCACACCTGAGGAAAGGGGTGGTAGCGTGGAGTGATTGAGGGGGATTTGATTGGATTGGGTCCCATGCATGACCACACACCTTGCGTTCCTGTTGGGCTCACCCATGCACGCCCGCACCTTCTGCGGATCCACACCTGAGGGGGAGGCGGGCGATTCAATTCCAGGGTAAGAATCAGGACCCACAGGGGCTGAAAGGTCGTTTGAGTCAGCCACAAAACTATGTCAAGCCCGTTGGGCTCACACAAGAGTTCCTGTTGGGCTCACCCATGCACGCCCGCACCTTCTGCGGATCCACACCTGCTTAGGTGGGGAGGCGGGGTTGGGGGGAGGGGCAGGGGGGGAGCAGGTTGAGTCGGCTTTCATCAAGTTCCATGCGAGCATGCACCTCTCTTTCCTGTTGGGCTCGCCCATGCGCACTCACACCTTCTGCGGATCCACACCTGCTTAGGTGGGGAGGGGAGTGTGCGTGGGGGGGGGGGGGGGGGGGGGGGGGGGGGGGGCGGTAGCAATTGGTTCCCATGCATGCGTGCACCTTGCCTTCCTGTTGGGTTCGCCCATGCGCACTCACACCTTGAGGGAGTCCACACTGTTTGGCTCACAGACACGCAACCCTGCCTGCCTGTCTGCAAGGTGAATTTTGAGTCGACTGAAAAGTCACCTCGCACTCACACCTTGAGGGAGTCCACACTGTTTGGCTCACACACAAGCAACCCTGCCTGCCTGTCTGCCTGCACTTTCCTGTTGGTTCAGCACTCGTGTAGCAATTCAAAGGCAGTGTGGGTGCTGCTGCAGCAGCCGCACTTTCCTGGCAGTATCACACGCACTCACCCAGCCCATTCATGATCTTCTCGCCGCACTCCTGGTTGTACTTCTTCTCCTCCAAGCGGCACCGCCTTTAGACCCAACGCTACACGTGCCACAAGCAACAGTGTCACAACCCCCATCCCAGCACAGCACACACGCACTCACCCAGCCCGCTCATGATCTTCTCGCCGCACTCCTGGTTGGAGTTCTTCTCCTCCATGCGGCACCGCTTCTTGAAATCCGCTGCATACTCCCACCACACCCACGGCACGCCCGTCTCATTTGCCACGCGCCACACGCACAGCTGCCGCAGATTCTCTATAACCACCTGCCGCCCGTCGTACCCCCAGTCACCTTCACTTCACCCAGTGGTCCTCTGTTGCAGAGCAGGGCAGACCTTTCCATTCTCACGCACAGCTGCCGCAGATTCTCAATAACCACCTGCCGCCCGTCATACCCCCAACCACCTTCACCCAGCGGTGCCGCATCCAGACAACCCTAGCAGGACAGACATTCACATACCTATATCCAGAATCACACGTCCACGTACCCAGCCCGCTCATGATCTTCTCGCCGCACTCCTGGTTGTAGTTCTTCTCCTCCATGCGGCACCGCTTCTTGAAGTCAGCAGCATACTCCCACCACACCCACGGCGCGCCCGTCTCATTCGCCACGCGCCACACGCACAGCTGCCGCAGATTCTCTATAACCACCTGCCGCCCGTCATACCCCTTGTCAAAATCCCCCTCGGGATCGGGGGAGCAGTACCGGCCGTTGTTCACGCACTGGAACTTGCACTGGCGCGTTTCTTTTAGGGTTTCCGGGCAGAACCAGGTCATGTAATGCGGGGTAAAGAGCGTGAAACCCTGCTGCTCCAGAATGATCGCGTACCCCCGGAATTCCTCCAGGAATTTCGCCTGCATGTCGCATTTCGTCCCGCATTCATCATTGCTATTGGTCCAGAACTCGTACTCGACCCGCGCGTCAGGGTGCGGGAGCGACTCCTGCCAATCAAGAGCCGCCACGACCATCTGTTTCTTCTTCAGCGCGGATTTGATTGCGGTAGCGGTGGACTTTTGAATCAGAGCGGAGGGGATGGTGATGTTGCTGATGAGATCGCCGGCCTGCTTCGCCTCGGGATCGTCGTCGGGCGAATCCATGGTGATCAGATTCTCGTTTTGATCATCAGCGATCAGGACTGCCGATGCTCCTGCCAACTCAGCATTCCACACCTTCTCCGTGAAGTAGCACCCTGAGAAGAAGGATCGGAAAGGGGAGAACGGGAGAGAGGGAGCGGTGGCGAATTGGGATTTGGCCTGCTTCGCCTCGGGATCGTCGTCGGGCGAATCCATGGTGATCAGATTCTCGTTCTGTTCGTCCGCGATAAGAACCGCGGATGCTCCTGCCAGCTCAGCGTTCCAAACCTTCTCCGTGAAGTAGCATCCTGACAGGAACGGAGGGGAAGAGGGGAAATGGGAGAGGGGGACGACGAACCCTAAGTACAGTTGAAGCGAAGAACTTATATCCCCTTTTTTACGAGAACCTGCAGGAGCTAAGCCGACTGAAGGTTTTTGGATAGACTTTTGGGGGGCGTTATGATACGATTTGTGAAGAATCATGGTAGTTATTGAGATCTAAAGGTCCATTCTTGGCTAGCGAGTAGACGCTTACCTCCTCTGTCGACGAGGAAAATGTGAGGAAGCTCAGCGGACGATTACGAAATCGCTTCAAAGAAATCGAATTCTTCGAGCGAAAATGCTTACCTCCTCTGTCGACAAGGAGAATGTGAGGAAGCTCAGCGGACGATTTCCTGCCGTAGTTACTCCGCGACGATTTGCACATCTGCGGGTCCTTATCTGGATAGATTATCACTCCCTGAAGGGATGCTCCGTATTGAGGCGTCCCGAAATTCGCTATAGCGCTTTGGTACTCCCCCTTGATGTTTTCGGGAGAGGAGATCACCAGGCTCTGCATTTCCACATTGAAATTGCATTTTGCTCGTGGAATGCTCGAGCTAAGAAGAACAAGCGTAAAAACTAGTACCCACATGGCCATGGTGGTAATTAAGTCGCGAAGACGGCGGGACTAAAGTTCACGAGACGGCGACACACAGCTGGTACCAGAATTCGCTGCAAGTACCTAATCAAGAATGTCTGGCTCAACACTTTCACTGTACTGGTTCAGGAATCTGACAGACAACTGTTGCAAGAGCACTCGAAATAGTTGGTGGAACACGGTTAAATCAGGTTTCGTACGCTGTACAAAGGTTTTGTAGGGTATTGAGCGAGCTGGAAAGGAGAGGTGCGGCCTTCCCTTTTGTTTTCTCTGGATTTCCCGCGCCTCGTTTTCGATTCACGTACCACGGTATCGTATGTTTCGTTGCGTTCCAAAGCGGTACATTTTTCCGAATAGAGAGCCCGATGTTGAGGCGATGTTCACACTGCTCGACTGCTGTTTGAACCGAGGGTCTCACGACACTGGGTGTGGTGAGGAACCTTGAAAAACTGGACAATGTCCTGCCCTGAATGTGTGCTGGTGCTAAGAAACAAGTCTGAAAAATGCCACTTGAAACTGGAGCTTCCAGCATTTCCTGGGAGCGGTAACGGGCCGGGGACCTCCACGTTCACCTCGCCCAAGCCATACAACCACCTGGCCCACCAACCTCTACGATGAAGCAGCAGAAAGTTGTGGTTGCCAGGAAAGGGCCACCAACTATATACTATATAATAGCTGACTCTTTAGCCTCCAAGATACTTCTCTAGTTACCAGACATAAACTTTAAGAAACGGAGATTCATGAATATGTGCTCATAACCTTTCGTTATAATGTAGCCCATTCTTGACAACTTTTTTGCGAAATGCCTTTGGCGGCATTATCATGTTCGAGTCGCCATCACCAAAATTCGCACCCAGCTGAAAGCCCACTTCGCCAAGCCGACTTTGCGGTTCGCCCATGTCAGGAACATCAACGGGGAATCCGCTGGACCGCGCACGGTGCTGCATATGTGGTGATCGCGCCTCGGTGTCGTTTCTTCTCCGTCGGGTCCTTGTGGGCGACCTTTTACCAGTGACACCCATTCGCGAACAGCTCAGTTGGCAAGTTGTGGGTACAAACCTACCTCGTAACCATCTCGTGGGTATTCGTGTGCTTTTCGTCAAGCTCACCTGCGCACAACCTCCCCTCAAGCCCGTCATCCTTTCCGCTCCACTCACCACCTCTTCCAACGATCGCATTGCCCACCCTTCCCAGCCTCGATCACTTCACCCGTCTTGTGGTTGCCCTTTCCACATTCGTTCACGTTGTTTCAGTGTCAGCGCCATTTCGTCATTAGATGCAGCCTCAACTTCCGACTCTGTTGCACACTGGAAAACCTAGACTCGCAGCCCTGGTTCACCCAACGCATCGTAGACCCGCTTGAGCGGGAAACTTCAGGCTGGTAGATTTACGTTAGACATGTCGCTTTCCAGGGATGCAGCGCTCTCCGTGGGACTCGCAGTGATATTGTTCTGCCTCGGCGCGTCTTGTTTCCATGGTGATTATTGATCTCCGTTTCTTCTCTTACACTGCTTCAAAACGCGGAAATTCGGCCTCATAGAAACCATCGAAGCTGGTTTGCTCCTGGTGGATATATTTTTCTCTCCGGCCCCTTGATTTCACTGCTCGCTACACGGAATTGAACCGTAGTGCACCAGATAAACCATTTTGATTCTATACCGTTCCTCTCGTGATCTCCTCTCATCTCCTCTCCTCGTCTATCGCTATCACTTCCATCTGTCACGCTTCACAACCTGCTTTCCGTCGAATTGCAGGCATAGTTTCTCCATCAGCCTGTCTGACCCCAGGTTCCACGAGCATTGTGTCTACCAGTCTCTCGCTCTCCACCTCCCCTTCCCAAAACTATCATCCCCTTCACCGATAGTCCGCTCCTCCACTTGGGCGCGTCTTCTCCCCCGCCGGGCGTGTCTTGCGCCTCCCGTTGCTCCTCCGTTTATCCCGTCAACTCTTCCCCCTTTCTTCCCATGCTCACACGTAGTGCAAACTGACCATCGTTCCCTCATTGCCCCTGCCCCGTGAACGTCCCTCCTTTTCCTTGCCCCCCGCCCCTTTTCTTCCCCTCCTCGTCCGTACCTTCTTTCCTTCCTCAGGCGCCACCGCAGCGAAGCTTCTCCCAGAAAACGTGGTGCAAGGCGGGTACGGACCGCTCCTTGTCAAGGCCCTCGGGATGAACGCGTCGCTTGACTGGGACCTCACGCAGGACGGGAAACCAATCGATGTCAAATTAAATGCAACGGTCAAGTCGGCCACCGCGGGCACACCGGCGAAACCGGAGAAAGCATCCGTCGAGCCGCCAGTCTTCTCCTGCAAAATCAACGTCACGGGCAAAGTGAAGGGGAAGCACTCGTCGCTGTTTAATCCGTGGGATCCGTGGACGCGAGTGGGGCTGTATAAGGGCAAGAAAGGGCTGTACGGGCAGATTGTCAGCCGGAACATTACGGGGGAATGGTCGTCGGTTGGGTTCCGCGGGCGGATTAAGGTTTTTACCGGAAAGCTGAAGTTGAGTAAAGCGAATGCTTCCGCTATAGCGAAGGCCCCTGCGGACTACTACGTGCAGATCACGTGGCCGCCGAAGAAAATGTCTGATTGGTATTTCACCATCAGAGGTCAACTGGCGTAGATCGCTTGCCGTAAATCGCCTTTCGCACGCCTTTGGTACAGGATGTAGGGTTTGCTAGCGGAGGATCAGTCGCGTAGAGTCGCGGAAGCAGCAGAACCAGCACTCGTTTAATAACCTCGCCTCTCCTCGCCCCGCCTCGTCTCGCCCAAATCAACTCGCCAACTTCAAGGTGTTCATGAGATTATCTGGAACCTCCCTCGTTCCCGTGGCGTCGTCTGCTTACTGATCGTCACGGCATTGTGGTTCAAAGAAAATCAGTCGACATCACTGCTGGGTGCGCTATGAAGTGAGTCATTTTCAGAGTCACGTAAGAGCGAATTGGGGCATCTTATAGGTGGCGTGTAATTTTTGTTGTAGTGGTGACATGACAAATTATGGTGTTTCTAGGTGCTTCTGCGTCCTTCATTCTGTTATGCTGTTAGCTGCAGCTAATATGACTAGCTTTTGTTTCAAGGAGGCTTATTAGCCGTGTTCCATTTTGCAGCTATGTTTTGCATTCTTGCGTGGCTTTTACGGTATGTGTAAAATGGTCATTCCAATGTTTTTATCGCTCACAACCTAAATTAACACCTGGGGATGCACGGGCTTTCATAATGGATGTTAGATTGAATGCACAGGCTTTCATAATGGATGTTAGATTGGATGCATGGGCTTTCGCTCGTCCACCAGCGCGAGCAGGCCCGCACGATCTGCAGGCGGGCACAGGTTCATTTATAGATGGGACCAGCTCTACCCCTTCGGAGGTTACGCCTCCGTCGGCAGCAGACTTTGCGTACATGGGGAATGATTACTGAACGATGTAGACGTTGGACTATCGTCGTTGTTTCTCTTACATAGCTCCTCCTAGGTACCAGGCACTATATCCTTTATATTGTCAATAAACTGGACAAAGACATTGCTACACCATTGTACTGGTAAGGTTGGCGGTCACAGCACAGTAAACGATTATGAAATCAAAACGTATTACAGTGCACAGCATCGTACTCAACCGTTTCTGTTGAACAGAAGGCATGCCATCACGATCGATTGTCCACGCTGGCAAATGCTGCGGACTGACAAATGTCTATGTGGATGTATGGTAGCTTCCTGAAGTCGCCAGAGCGGCTAGCCACGTCATTCCCTTAAACATTTGCCACGTCAAAAGCTCGTTTTTTTTCGGAAGATGGGAGGAGCGACACAAGCAGAACCGCCGCGGGCCAAATTTTATCCAAATCTGCCCGAACATCAACTACGCACTATACTGGTTCCAGCTCATCATTCGTATCTCGGGCAGTCGCCGTTGAGAAGGGACTGGAAAGATGCTTCGCTATAAGTTCCGTTTGGAGTTCCCGAGGCCCTCATAACGGATTCCCACATTTCGATATTTCGGTTGCCGTGTGTGTGACTCTGTCTCTCCTCGTCTTCTGATAACCACAGGCACCAAAATACTCCAGAACGATACCCACCAAGGCTATTTGCTGACGAGCTTACGCGGCTGATGGTAGCTGTATCTGTCGCTTGATCCTACTCACTTCTCTTCGGTTTATTCCGTCGACGAATCTCGCTTCAGTGCTTCGAATCCGATACGAGATCTGGTTGCGCGTTGCTTCATGAGCCAAGCGCCTATCCGCGGTTTACCCTAAGCACGACCTGGTCGGATAGCTTGATCTCACCCTCAGGACACGTTTTGTGAGCTCCCTTTATTCTCTCGTCGTCTCAGCACTTCCTGCCAGACATCCTTTAAAGGAGTTCCATTTACTCCTAGCGTCAGCCAAATATGGGGACCGCAACGCTGGCTTCGCCGCTTGCGCGGCTCCACGCTACCGTGGCTCTGTCGTACGGCTCCGAGAGACGAGCGATAAGGTATTGTCTATTAAGTCGACTCAAATGTCACCTCGCGTGCTCGGATCCACACTACCGTGGTTTTGTCGTCCGGCTCCGAGAGGTGAACGCTTAGGAACTGTACCTAAGAACGTCCGGTTGTGTGGGGCGAACTAGAAAGTATTCTGCTATTAAAAAGTTGCCGGTTAATTTCGAGATGCAAAATGCGGGTGTTGAACAGAGCGAAAGAACTATGTTTTTATTATTTGGAACGTGTACACCGAAATATCACACCTAAATTTATCACACCAGCTGCTGATTCCTTTACCTTTCCCCTCACAACCCCCAACACCCACCCTCTCTCCCACCCCCTCTCCCTGCCCTCCCGTCATCTTTCTTCGCCCAACCTCCTTCCTTTCCCCTTCTTCCCCCGCGCCCCTTTCCCCCCACGCCAGTCTGTCGCCCGTCTCGTGCTCATCGTCTCAGGCGTCGTTCTTCAGCGGCACTTCTTTCCCTTGTCCCCTCCCCTCCCCCGTCAACCTCCCCCTTCCCTTCCCCCGCATCCCCCCCGAAACAGCTTGTCATCCGTCGCCTGCTCATCGTCTCAGGCGTCGTTCTTCAGCGGCACTTGTTTCCCTTAACCTCCCTCCCCCCCCCCGTCAACCTCCCCCTTCCCTTCCCCCTCATCTCCCCCGAAACAGCTTGTCATCCGTCGCCTGTTCGTCGTCGCAGGCGTCGTTCTTCAGCGGAAGCGGCGGGACGAGAAGCGCCTTCCTTTCCGCCTCCAGTCGTGGAGCGGAGAGGCGGAGGGGGAATGCGCTCGTGGTCCGCGCAGATGCGGTGAGTCGGAGATTGAGTGCGGTGCGATGTGGCGATGTGCGTCTGAGAATGTGATGAGTGAAATCTAGATAGTCGTCCCGCGGCGCGGCAGAGGTCAATGCGATTCAATGCGATGGGAGTAGGTGGTGTGAAAAATCGAGTCAGACCATTACCGAACCGAGTTGGTTCACTACCGGTGCCGACAACTACCAACCGAGCCAGACCACTTCCCGAATCAGATCACCATTGTGTGAAGTCTTGGATTGAGAACCGTTGCGCGAGCTTGCTCAAGCTCGACTGAGGATTCAATAGCTCGTTACTAGCACAAACTAGCTAGGGAAACGATCGAAATCGAAGATTATAGGGAACAATGATGCAGGAGTAGTGCCCTGCGTAATAAGGGGTTTATTATTGCAAGTTGTGTTAGCAAGCCAATCTCGAATGAAAAGCGCGAGCTTCATGCGCGTTTTACTTCGGTGCTGGGGTTAGCGAGCGGCAACGTCTTATTGCGTATGTGTTCTTTGGGTGTATGTGTGTATGTGTGTGTGTGCTTGTTATGATCGTTTCGCTGCAATGCAGGACTACTATTCAGTGCTGGGAGTGGAGAAAAACGCGGACAAGTCACAAATAAAGAGCGGTACGTACAAACAGCATAGAACTGCACTGTACCGCACTGCATTGCCCCTTGCACCACTCTGCGTTGAACTGTACCGCACTGCACTGCGCTCCTGGTGTGAGCCAACCGATAAGCCACCTCGTCCCAGCTGTCGCGTGCTGTCAGCGCTCCTCAGCACGGCCTTTAGCTCGCCTTCCTGCCCCCTCACGTTAACCTCCATCCATCCCCGTTTTTTTAGGCGCCACTAAAGCAGTCGACTTAAAAGTCACCTTGTCCCAGCTGTCCCTGTTATCAGCGCCCCCCAGCACGGCCATTAGCTCGCCTTTTTGCTCCCTCACGTTAACCTCCATCCATCCCCGCTTCCCACCTCAACACTCCCCTCTCCCCACCCCCGCCCCGCCCTTCCTCCCACCCCAACCCCGCTCCCCCGCCCCTCCCTTCTTCTCCCGCCCTCGCACCTCTCCATTTCCTCTCTCTTTTGCCTTGTCTGTTCAGCCTATCGACGCGTGGGTTGCTAGTAGACCTCTGAGGTGCCTCAAAAACTCTTCTCACGCTCTCTTATCTCTCCATTTCCTCTCTCTTCTGCCTTGTCTTTTCAGCTTATCGACGCTTGGCACGCAAGTATCATCCGGACGTGAACAAGTGAGTATTAGGGCGTATTCAGGTTCATTCACGTATGCCAGGTACATACCAGAAACGGCATTTCAAGTTTCAATTCCATCCATTTGTTTATGCGAACTTCTAACTCCATCTCTTCATCCCTTTCTCTATCCGTTGCTCCTTTGTGTTGCTACACTACACTGAACAGGGCACCAGAGGCGGAGACCAAGTTCAAGGAAATCAGTAACGCGTATGAGGTAAACTTTCTTGTTTTGAGGGCACATGCTATTCTTGTAATTTTTTTTTTGTGAATACTCTTTCGTTTTTTATGCAATTCTCTCCTGCTGCCGTTTCCTCTCAACCCTACGCCATCCACAACCCCCCTTTTTCTTCCCCCTCCCCTCTTCTCCCCTCTACCACCTTTCCTCCCCCCTCCCCCCTTTCCCCCCCACCCCCTCTTCCCTCTCCCTCTCTCCTCCTCCCCTGCGTTCCATACCACCAGGTGTTATCAGACGATGAGAAGCGTTCTCTATATGACAGATTTGGGGAGGCGGGTGTCAAGGGCGGCGCTGGCTCGGTACGTCTCCCTCTTGCCCCACGTTGCCCTCTCCCACCATTCCAAACCCACCCCCACTCCCCGTCACTGCCCGACCCCTCCTTGCCCTACCCTGTATTCCTTCCTCCGTCACCTCCTCTCCCCCGTTTCCCCCCGTTCCCCCATCCCCTTTCCCCTTTAAAACCCCCCCACACATTCACCTCCCCACATACCCAACCCAAAGTTGGCCCCACCGTGTTGCCCCCAGTCATGCCGCCTTTGTTTGCTTTTCTCCTTTGTCCACTGCTCGTTCTCCTGTCCGCCTGCTTCCCACACTCCCCCTTAGCTTCTCGTCCAACCTCTCTTCTCTCCTGTCTCTACACCTTCGCCCCCACCCCAACCCCACCCCTCACTTTTCCAACCCCTCCTTTTATCTTTCATGAGTTCAGCAGCCCGTTCAACCTCTCTTTGATAAAATTTGAGTGTTAAGACTTCTCAGAACCCCCATCAACCATCCCATCCCTCAGGAGTTCAACAACCCATTTGACCTCTTTGAAACGTTCTTTGGAGGGCGAATGGGCGGCATGGGCGGAATGGGCGGGATGGGGGGGATGGGAGCCCGACGCACAGCACCTGTACAAGGGGACGATGAGAGGTGAGACGGGAGAAAGGGGCGAATGGGCGGCATGGGAAGGATGGGAGGGATGGGAGGGATGGTGGGATGGTAGAGATGGGATGGATGGGTGGGATGGGTGGGATGGGAGGCATGGGAGGGAGGGATGGGAGCTCGGCGCGCAGCCCTTGTATAAGGGAACGATGAGAGGTGAGACGGAGAAAGGTGAGGTGCGGGGAAGGTGAGATGCGAGGAAGGTGAGATGCGAGGAAGGTGAGGTGCGAGTACGGTGAGGAAGATGCGTGGTAAGTCAAATGTGTGGGAGGAGAGAGCCCGTTCGGGGCAGAGAAGTAGACAACCTTCCTCCCTCCTCCCTCCTCCCTCCTCCCTCCTCCCTCCTCCCTCCTCCCTCCTCCCTCCTCCCTCCTCCCTCCTCCCTCCTCCCTCCTCCCTCCTCCCTCCTCCCCCCCTCCCTCCTCCCTCCTCCCTCCTCCCTCCTCCCTCCTCCCTCCTCCCTCCTCCCTCCTCCCTCCTCCCTCCTCCCTCCTCCCTCCTCCCTCCTCCCTCCTCCCTCCTCCCTCCTCCCTCCTCCCTCCTCCCTCCTCCCTCCTCCCTCCTCCCTCCTCCCTCCTCCCTCCTCCCTCCTCCCTCCTCCCTCCTCCCTCCTCCCTCCTCCCTCCTCCCTCCTCCCTCCTCCCTCCTCCCTCCTCCCTCCTCCCTCCTCCCTCCTCCCTCCTCCCTCCTCCCTCCTCCCTCCTCCCTCCTCCCTCCTCCCTCCTCCCTCCTCCCTCCTCCCTCCTCCCTCCTCCCTCCTCCCTCCTCCCTCCTCCCTCCTCCCTCCTCCCTCCTCCCTCCTCCCTCCTCCCTCCTCCCTCCTCCCTCCTCCCTCCTCCCTCCTCCCTCCTCCCTCCTCCCTCCTCCCTCCTCCCTCCTCCCTCCTCCCTCCTCCCTCCTCCCTCCTCCCTCCTCCCTCCTCCCTCCTCCCTCCTCCCTCCTCCCTCCTCCCTCCTCCCTCCTCCCTCCTCCCTCCTCCCTCCTCCCTCCTCTCCTCCTCCTGCTGCCTGCCCCTTCCACCTCTCCCTCCTCACTCTCACCTCCGCCCACCTCAGGTACGATCTGACGATCGACTTCCTGGAGGCTGTGTTTGGCGCCGAGAAGCAGATAGACGTGTCGCGCATGGAGGCCTGCGGCACGTGCAAGGGCACGGGGGCCAAGCCAGGCACCACACCCACCACGTGCTCCCAATGCAACGGCCAGGGGCAGGTCGTATCTGTGGCCAACACCCCGCTGGGCATGTTTCAGCAGGTCACCACGTGCCCGCGGTGCGGCGGCAGCGGGGAGATTTCCACTCCTTGCAGCACGTGCAGTGGAGGGGGACGTGTGCGCAAGTCCAAGCAGGTCACTTTGAAGGTGCGTTGTGTTCTAATCCTGGTACGTTGCTTTCTAATCCTGGTGCGTTGCTTTCTAATCCTGGTGCGTTGTGTTCTAATCCTGGTACGTTGTTTTCTAAACCCGGTACAAATTGCAAGGGGACGGTGAGAGGTGACAGTCCAAGCCAAGGAGGTCACTCCATGAATGAAACATGCAGGAAGGGATGTCAGTTTTCTTTCCTTTTCCCCTCCCACGCACCCAGGTGCCAGCAGGGGTGGATAACGGCAGCAGGCTGAGAGTGCGAGGGGAGGGCGACGCGGGCCTAAGAGGCGGGCCCTCCGGCAACCTCTACGCCCCGACCGCGAGCTCGAGCGCAAGGGAGCCGACATCCTCCAGACCCAAGTCTAACTTAACCGAATGTATTGTTTCCCTCTCCTCTTTTGCTCTGTCCACTTCTCTCTCGTTCTCGTCCTCTCCCTTTGCTCACGCCCCCAGGTGCCAGCAGGGGTGGATAACGGCAGCAGGCTGAGAGTGCGAGGGGAGGGCGATGCGGGCCTAAGAGGCGGGCCTCCCGGCGATCTCTACGTGTTCCTCTCCGTCCGCCCCGATCGAGAGCTCGAGCGCAAGGGAGCCGACATCCTCCAAACCCTCAAGTTTCCCCCTCCTTGTCTCGGTTCCCCTCCTTTCTTCTTTCTCAACTCTGTCCTTCTCTCTGTTCTCTCCCTTGCCTTTATGCACACCCAGGTGCCAGCAGGGGTGGACAATGGCAGCAGGCTGAGAGTGCGAGGCGAAGGCGACGCGGGCCTAAGAGGCGGCCCTCCCGGCGACCTCTACGTGTTCCTCTCCGTCCGCCCCGACCGTGAGCTCGAGCGCAAGGGCGCTGACATTCTCCAAACCCTCAAAGTCTCATATCTCGAAGCCATTCTTGGCACCACCAAGCAGGTCCGGACGGTTGATGGTCCGGTGGATCTGAAAATCCCTGCAGGGACTCAGCCGGGGAGTACGCTGGTGATGGCGAAGCGCGGCGTGCCGGTGCTGGGGAAACCGAACCTGCGCGGGGACCATCTGGTGAAGGTTCAGGTGGAGATTCCGAAGAGCTTGTCGGGAGAGGAGAGGAAGCTGATCGAGCAGCTGGAGGAGCTGAGCAAAGCCAAGGCTGGGTCACGGTGATTGTAGGGGGGGAGGATGGGATGGAATGGTGGGAGTGAAGGATGGTGGGATTGAGGGGGGGTTGAATTGGGCAGGAAATGTATGGGAGTAGTTAGTATGGGGGGGTAGTCTGCATAACTGGCTGCTGTTAGGACATATTAGTTATAGCACATTGCCTCGGCTTACTTATGATGTTCTACTGGAGAGCCATGCAGCTTACATGCATTGTTCCAAACAGTTGAATTAGATACAACACAACTTAACAGCAGCAACCAGACACCTCAGCATCATCTCACGGAGGTACGTACCGTAAGGTACGGGCATTCCTTGTGAGGTACATGTTGACGCCACAAGACACCTTCCCTCGCTGTACAAGGTGGATGAGAGTGCATCCTTGTTTGCTGCAGCATGTGCCTACAAGCCACCCCCAAACAATCCGAACCCCACAATCTCACAACCTCAACCTCACGACCTGCCCAGCATTTAGTATCAGCGAGGTAGGTACATATTTTCGAGGAACCCCCTTTCGGGACCCCTTGCCACAGACCCCGCAGTGTGTAGCTTTCAGTTGCTCACTGCATACAGCCTACAATCCCAACTTCACAACCTGTCCAGCATATCACTAACGTACGTGTTGACGAGGAACCTTCCTCTGGACTGCACGTCCAGCTGTTCAATACCCCTTGCCACAGAATCTACAGCATGTGCCTGTGAGTTTCTTGCTACACGAACCCTACAGTCTCAATCTCACGACCTGTCGAGCATGTCAGTAAGATACATGTTCACGAGGAACCTGCCTCGGGATTGCACATCCAGCTGTCTCTCCCTCGCGGTGTACCGACCTTTGTGCAGCCGGTACCGGTACGTCACTCCCAGCACCACGTAGCTCTCCCCTTCGATCTCCACCGTCTCGCCGCACTGCGTGTTCTGGAGGGGCATTCGGGGCGAGACGGTGGGGGAATGCGGTTCATTACTCCCAGCACCACATAGGTCTCGCTATCAACCTCTACTCAATCTTGCTGTATTGAGTGTCCCGGGGGAAAAGGGAGCATTTGAGGTGAGCGTGTCTCTCCCTGGCGGTGTACCGGCCCTTGTGCAGCCGGTACCGATACGTCACTCCCAGCACCACGTAGCTCTCGCCTTCGATCTCCACTGTCTCGCCGCATTGGGTGTTCTGGAACGAAGAAAGGATGGGGTTTGTTATTACATTGAACCTTGGAACAAAGTCGTGAAAAGACTTCCCGTGTATCCCTTCTGAGCACCACCAGTCAAATATAAAACAGAGACCTAACAATGGGCGGAATGAACGTTGAATGAGGAGGCAGCAACTCGCTCGCTGCTACTACTTGCTTGACCTCAAACGTAACAGCTATCCCCGTTATAAACTCACCAGGGGCAAGCAATGAATTCCCAATTCTCTGGCTGGTGGAGTCACTATCTTAATCGCGTACGGATGCTGTGCCACGTCAGCCTTATCGCCACCCGCACCCAGCGGTCCGCTCCTCCCCGCGTCGCCATTCCCGCTTCTGTCCCTGTTTCCTCCCCTCTCTCTCTTCCCCTCCCCGTCTCTGTTTCCCCCTCTATCTCTGTCGTAAGGCGACGACCTCCCCCGTCTACACTCCACTAGTAGCAACGGCGTGCGATGGGCTGACGTTGCGTCTGACGTTGCAGCAGAAGTCCTATCGTACAGCGACACGTGCCCTGAAAATGAGGCGGCCGATGCAATGGTCGCAGCGCTACCTCCTGATACTGGCGCTCCCGAAATGCGTCCGGTGAAAGCAGAGTTGAGTAATGAGCAGTTGAGGACAGGGACTCTCAGATTCGAAGCAGAGAATGATGATTTCGGTAAGCACGGAGATGGGGACGAGTGCATTTTGACGGACGCCTATACTGACCGAACTCGTTGACTGAGCTCTGGCGAGGTTCGGTGTGCAAGCTGACCTATCTACTTTGGAGTTTGATACAATGACGAGCGGCGGATGATAGATTTGCGCGATTGTAGTCAAGACAAACTTACACGCAGTGTCGAGAATTAATCAGAATGGACGTGGCGTTAGTTAAATTCCACGATGGCTGAAGCTAACTCGAAGGGAAGGTGCCCGCCATAGTCCGTCTGTTCTCCATACTTTAATTAGCACAGAAGCCTTGCCTCTGGCCTCAGGACTCCTCACTGCCGTACTCCGTCTCCGTCAGATGCTCTCGACTTCCGTCAGATGCTCTCGACAGCCGTCAGAGCTTCCCAAGCTCTGGACAGATTCACTAGCGGTTTCTTGTGAATCGTGAATCGTGATTCGCTGATGCTCTGTGAGTATGAACCAATTCCAAGGTGTCTGGAATGGAGGGCGTCTGATTCGTTGAGTAGTAGTCAACCAATAGATAATGAGCTGGAGTTGGGGCACCGCGTCGACGTGGCCTTATGTCAATACAATTGCAGGAACTTACTACACGGAGAACTAACTATCGTTATTCTGGCTGGTGTACTTATCCTTTCACGTCGTGACGGTGCCTTTCGTAACGAGTATATCTTTCAGGGGATTGGTCCGTTTTCGTGAGTTTCAAAGCGGTCATTGGACCCTTGGCGTGAGGGGGACAACTAACGGATGAGCTTCCCGCCCGCTTCTCAACGGATCGCGTTTTAGACAAACGTCAAACCGCCAACCAATCATGTACTGAGCCGCCGCGACCGCAATCACGTCCACACCACCAACACGCGTTTGTATCACCACATGTTCCAACGTTTCATCCGACCGTCTATTTTAACCCATCTAAAAGAATCCAACCACCCAGAAAAAACAGAATTGATCTATGATTGGTCAGGTCACCATCAGCTCTTTTCGCTTGATTCGTCGCGGCTCGGAAATCCCAACGCTCCACCTTCGTTCGTGCATTGGTTGTCTCGGCCATGCGGCGCCAATTCCCATCATCCCAACGTCCGCCCTCAGCATTTCGGACCGCGATTCCCGGAGAACTCCTCTTTGAGTGTGTCAAAGGGGCGCTGGCTCGTTCCCCTTGCTTCTTGGCGGCGAAGGTGCTAATGCCAAGGTTTCCGTGTAATGCGGCAAACGTCAAAGGCCAAGGCGAAAGTCGAGTTCGATCACCAATGCACTTGGCTGGTGTGCCTTGCAGAGCTGTCCTGAATCAACGCACTTTATCTTACTGAAAGCTACTCGCTTGCTCGCGAAGCTTGCTCAAAACGACGTTGCAAAAAACAGCAGCGCAAATCTTTTCTTCCTTCGTGCGTTTGGAACTAGAACATTTAGCTCCTCCTCATCAAAGCTCACCTGATCGGTCTCACTGACCCTCTGATCGTCATTTCGACCATGGTCAGGTGTAGACGATCGTAACTCTCAGCAGTTGGATCCTGACAGGCAGCGCCGATACCGACTGGTTCAACGCAAGCATACCGTTTCACATACAATCCAACCCATCCACAGTTAATTCCTCAATATGACGACGCGGATTCAAAAACTTGCCCCAAAATGGTTGCTGATCCTCTCTCTGGCTTCAATATCAGCCATGATACCATCCGCTCTTGCCATCGGCCTCTCGGCGCAAGGCCTCGCCAGAGTCAGAGGAGCCAAGAAGCCTTCGTTCGCGCTACAAGCAGTCTCGCGTCCCGTAAGAAGAAGCCTCGCGACAAGCCCAACGACAGCGGCAGTGGAGCTGCTCGAGGAAGTGGCCGGCAAGGCGACAGCGCTGAACGATCGTATTTTAGCCGTCAAGTACGGAGAAGAAGATACGGTCCCCTTTCGAGGGGTCTTGACGGAGGTACGTCAAGCTTCCCGACGGATTCTGTGTATAGCTTTACAGACGTCGCGCCCTCAACCCGTGCTGCGCGGCATTCTTATTCGAACAAAACATGTTCTGTTTTTTTTTTTTTTTGTTGTTGTTGTTTGTTTTTTTTCGAGTGAGTTGTTGGAGAACGTCTTGTAATCTCAAACATCTCCGGTTCTATCATCCTTCTCTCCCTGCCCTCACAGGCGTCGCTCATTGTCAAGAACCTTGACTCCGCCACCACCAATCTCGCCGACGCCGTGCGCGGCGGCCCGAACAACATCGACCGTACGGAGCTGAAAGAGGCAATCGCAGCCGTTGGATTCGCTCAATCGAGTGAAAACTACCTCGAGATTGCCTTGCAGGCGAATTTCCGCACCGTCAGCGAGAAGACGATCGGGCAACTACAGACGGCCGCTGCCGCCCTTGCTGACGATCTTAAAGCCGTTCGAGCCGTCCTCCTTGATCTCAAGAATCTTAACATCGAGCGGGCCTTCTCCGCTGCGCTCGCGACCGATCAGTATCAGCCAGCTGGCGAGCCTTTCGACCGGCACCAATCCCTGACCGAGGTGTTTCAATCCCAGCTCGCCAGTGCCAGTAACGGGGATAAGAAGAAACCGACGCCGAAATCGAAGGTAGACGTGAAGGGAAGACCGGTGGGTCACCACCCCCCGGGCGTGGGCGGTAAGGGAGGGAAGAACGTTGGGAAGTACGAGCCAGAAAAGGGACACCACCCGAAAGGAACGGGCGGCCATAAGACAGACAGCCAGAAGACCGTTCAGAGCGGCGGTGCCCAGGGCAATCAAGGAACCTCGAAGAGCCCTGCTAAGAGTCCCGCTAAGAGCCCCGCTAAGAGCCCCGCTAAGAGCCCCGCTAAGAGTCCCGCTAAGAGTCCCGCCAAGAGTCCCGCTAAGGGTTCCGTGAAGGCTCCTATTCGGGCGAATACCGGGTACGGAGCAGTCCGATTGGCTGCTACTAAGGCGGATAAGACGGTCGCTCAAGACGGCAGCGGCGACTATAAGAAGCTACAGGATGCTGTCAACGCGGTGTCGGACAATTCCGTGATTTATATCAAGGCTGGAGTGTACAACGAGATGGTGTCTATATACAAGAAGGGGATTACTCTAATCGGGGATGGCATTGACAAGACCATCATTACTGGGTCTGCCAGCGTATCGTCAGGATACGACATCATCACGTCAGCAACGATCGGTAAGCCACTGATACGAAACGAGCAGCAAGGTTTTGATGTTTTCATTCCCTTCACATCACCATTTCTTCTCTAGCGTTCGTTGGCTATTTCAAGCCCGCATCAACCCTCACTTCAACCTCTCACGCCCCTTGTCACATATTCACTGCGTGTGTTCTCGCATTTTTTCCCCGTCTCCTCCTGTACACTACCAGGCGTAAATGGTAACAACTTCGTCGCGATGTACATGACCATTCGCAACACCGCTGGACCCTCGGGACAACAAGCCGTCGCCCTGCGCCTAGATTCCGATCAGGCTGCACTGTACCAGGTCAAGGTTACGGGTTACCAAGATACACTCTTCTGCTCCACCGGCCGTCACTACATCAAAAACAGCATCATCGAGGGCACTGTGGACTTCATTTTCGGTTACGGGGCCGCCGTTATACAATCGTCTACACTCAATGCGCTCAAATCTCCAACTTATACGACGACAGTTCTGGCTTCTGGGTGTTACCAGTCGGGAGCGCTCTGTGGGCTTGTGGTGATCGACAGTGATGTGAATGGTGATTATGGTGACATTTACTTGGGCCGACCGTGGAAGGAGTATGCCGCCATGGTGTTTATCAACACTGACCTGCCTGCGGTGAGTGGAACCTGCGGCTACTCTTGTGCTTGCCTTCGTGTTACTCGTGTGCACCTGTTATCTTCTGTTCTGCTCCCTTCGTCGCTTGCCAGTTGCCACCTTTTATGTTCCCATTTGTTTCCATTTATCCGTGCCCTGCTTTTTGCAATGTTTTGTGCTGGTTTTGCAGAAGCTGAACAGGAACGGGTGGATGCCATGGAAAATCTCTGAGACGTTTGGTGGAAAGCCATTCTTGGCAGAGTTTGGCAGCAAGGGCGGTGGTGTCCAGTCATCAAGAGTATCGTGGGCGAGACCTGGTGTGGTTTCTTCATCATCTCAAGTCAGCAAGTACTACCCCAATAATTTCCTCTCGCTGAACTCGTGGATTGGAAAAACAGGAATCCCAATGTGACTTTCATCCCAATGCTAAGCATGGGATTAAACATAGGATCATGTGATGTCTCATGCAATAAAGATATAGGTGGTTCAGGTGTACATTAGGTTTCCAAGTGCAGATTCAATACCGATTTTAGCTGACATGTGCTAGGGAGGACGTCCTGCTTTCTAGCTGCCCTCTCTGTGTGGGATGCAAGTGAATTTTACTCGGGAATTGGGTGGGTGGACCCATCCAAGTGGGGCGGAAGCAAGTGATGGAAGGGAAGTGGGTTGCAGCTGCAGATGGGCAGAATTCTGAAGCGACGACGGTAACCACTCGTCGAGATGCAAGGTTTTACGTGGCGACGTTCGCCATATCTGTAACCCGAGGTTTGTTCTTAAAGCGCAAACCACGTTCACCTCATTCAACCTCACTGAACCTCGTATGGTTTCGTACGTGTCGTCCTAGGTCGTTTCCCAGCCTCCAGGAGCCACTCAGCGTGAGCCACACACATGCTCCGCTCAAGTCAAACCCGAAGTGGTGTGTGAGGCGTGAAACGAACAAACACGAAAGGACAGGAGTCATGGAACAGCTTCCTGAACACAAGGTGAGGTGCACCGGGTCTATTTGCGAAATACTGCGCTAGCCAACCATTGGTGACGCGTGCATGCGACTCGCATTCAGGACCTTCGCTCTTGTGGTTACTTTCGCACAAATCCACTACTGATTCTGAAGTATTTCTGCATTTTATTCTGAAGTAGTTCTGCATTTAAAGCCCGCGGCCCAAATTGCGGACCGCGCGGGTCAAGTTTTTAAAACTTGACGAAGTTGGTTCTGCAAGCTTTTGAAAAGAAGCGCGGCTGCAATTTGGGACTTTCGGGTCTCACACACTCACACCAGTGTAAACACTAGAGGCTGGCTGGGTTTGGCGAAAAAAACGACTTGAACGAAATCAGTAACGCTCGCCAAAACCCAACCCAGTAAAACTCCCCTCCCGTCAACTTTTTAAAACATGTGCAATTTGGGCTGCCGGCTTTAAGCGCCTGAACCTATTTTGCTAGCTCTGAAAGAGTTCAGAAATGACATTCTGTGGGCTCTAATGAACTGGTAGCGATGAACGGACGTGTGAGACGCAGTAAGGGCTAGCTGGCCTAGTACTAGCCTAATGCTAGCCTGTAATGGCAGACGTTGGAGCCGGTAGGATCGACGGACGAACATTTATGATGTTCCACGCGATTAGTGAAGAAGGCTGTTTGAATGCTACTTGGACGTCCTTTAGGTTGCAGCAGTGGATTTTGGCTTAGAGGTAGTGACTTAGTGAAGGGTAATTGAGCGACCTTCTGGTTGCTTGAGTAGGGCTGGCAATTAACTAGTTGATCGCGGGTCATTAACTAGCTAATCGCGTTCCTTCCTTGAGATGTAGATTCATCCTTTTCGCTCCGAAGTCTTGCTGAAGCATTCACTCTTTATCGATCTCCCGATGATATCGCTGAAACCTGTGGTTTGAGAGAATCGTAGGAGGATTTCTTCCCTGTAAGAGTTTTATTACTCGGACGTTCGAGAACAATTTCAACAAGGTGAGAGCTTCAGTTCGAGACGGAATCACAGAACACAATAAATAGCAAAAATCTCGCTTCTAGAAATGTGTTTTTCTTGCATGGGCTGTATCACCTCTTTTTGTTCACCAAGATATTCGAGACGGTGACTACACGACCACGCTATGGTGACTACTACATCTATACAATTGCCAGCACAATTGTTGAACCTTCCCATATTACGCTCCAGTGGTGACTTAAAGCGACGCCACGCGAATTTTTCCGACCCTCCTCCAGATGGCGACCGCGTCAGCGGCGACGGCGGCGGCTGCTGCTGCTACTGCTGGTCATGGTGGGCAAAGCTTGTTGGCTGGTGCTCACACGCTCGTCACCTCACTCCTCTTCTCCGTGGCTACTGGACCTGGCTGGACCGCAAACGGATGTGAGACTCTTCAGATTCCGTTAGTTGGTATATTTTCCTGTGTATGAGCTGCTGCTGATGCTTAAAGCTTGTTGGCTGGTGCTCACATGCTCGTCACCTCGCTCCTCTTCTCCATGGCTACTGGACCTGGCTGGACCGCAAACGGATGTGAGACCCATGCGATTGGATTGGGACTGGGATCATGCAATAGTGAATGCAATCGAATCCAATCGCATGGGATTCGTTGATTAGGACTGGAATCATGCGATTGGATTAGGACTCGGATCATGCAATAGTGAATTCTGGCAGGATTCGTTGCTTTACAGCTTTCCGTTTATTTTCAACCCTCCTCTAATCCTAAGCTAGAAGCTCTTCAGTTGTTTATCGGATGAGATTTCAATCCATTCCCTCAACCTAACCCACTTCGTCCCTCCCTGCTTTCCCTTCTCCTGTGGAGTGATAAATCTCTCTCTCAAAACCCCCAGCATCCCCACCCCCCAACACCCCCCCTCCCACCCTCCTGCGTTCGCAGCTTTCTGAGCCAGTTTCTCTGGCCCAAACGTCCCGGAAACTCCAGCAGCGGCAACCATCTCTTTAGTCACATCACAGCCAACCTGAACGTCGTCTCCCCCTTTCAACTCCCCTCTCCTGCGTTTGCAGCGTTCTGGGCCAGCTTCTGTGGCCCGAATGACCCGTACACTCCAGCCTGCATCAGCACCAACCTTCGCTTCAGTCACAGCCAGCAGACCAGTCATCTGCACAATGCCACACTGTCACCCGTGGCATCGTCAGCATCACCATCCGGTTTCACACCCTCCCAAACTAACGCCTTCCGCAATCCCACGTGGCACCATCTTCTTATGCGACATCAGCAGCACCTCCACCCGTTTTCCCTGGATACTTCCCCCCCGCTCTTCCACCCGTCCTCCCCCCTTCCCTGGAGCTCCCTTGAGCAAATTTCATCAACCTTCCAACGGGCAGGTAAAGAAAGTTTCCTGCCCAAATGGATCCATGTCTTCTCCCTCTCCCCCTGCCTCCAACACGCTTCCTTCCTCTTCCTCTCCTCCTTCCTCTTTCTTGCCACTCTCTCCCACATTCTTATTCTTCCCAAACCTTATTCCGAACCTGGTGCCAAGCCAGGCAGTCAGCCCCGTAGAGCACAGAATGGTGGGGAGAGACCAGCAGGTACGGGAGGGAGGGGTGAGACGAGAGTGAAGGGACGGAGGCAAGGCAGGGAAGGTGGGAGGGGGGAGCAAGGAGAGGAACGGTGGGAAGGCAGGGGGCAGGGGAGAGGGGAGGTGTGGCGTGCAGGCGTGCTGTTCTGGCCGGAGCTCCTCCTCTCTGTCGCTGCTTCTATCTGCTGGGCGGGGTTGCTTATATGGGAGATGTTTTCCGCCTTTTCGGCAGCAGGCCACGTCCTTGTATTGCCCCATGAGCTAGCATACGCAGCAGGGCAGGCAGTCACCTACACGCTGGCAGCAGTGGTCCTGCTGCTCTTCCAGAGGCGACGAGATGTGACTGTTATTGGTTCGGCACGGGTGTGGCTGTTTCTGAATGCTGTTCTCATGCTGCTGCTCTCCATGGTGATTCTGCTCCGGCTCTGGAGCAAGAGACTAAGGGGAGGCTTTGGGGAAGGTTTTGGTTTGGTGTCTGGTTCGGGAACTGGTTCAGGATCTGGTTTGGGATCTGGTTTGGGATCTGGTTTGGGGGCTGGTGTGGGACCCGGTGTGGGGTCGGGAGTTGGAGATTGGAAGGAGGAGAAGGTGACAGCGTGGAGCGATTTCTTGACACTTGGCAGCTTGCCATTGGCTCTTTTCTTGGGGGTGGTTGGTGTGCTGGGAAGGCCTGGCTGGGCTCGTTTGGACCGAGGAATGGGGGAGAAGAGAGGAAGAGAGGAAGGAAAAGAGATGGTGGAGGAGGGGGAGCAGCAGGAGGTGGGTGAGAGTATTATTGAGGAGGGTTTGGAAAGTAGGGTGCCGGATGGGAGGGCTTTTCTTCCAATTGAGGATGAAAGCGGTTCTGAGGAGGAAAACGAGTCTGATACTAGTGAGGATGGGGAATTTGGGATGCTAGCGGGCAAGCAAGACGGAAACAGGGACATGCAGGATTCTCCCTACGCCAGTGCAAATTGGCTGTCTCACCTCGCTTTCTCCTGGGTCTCTCCTCTTCTCGAAACAGGCAACCAGAATCTGCTGCTTCAGCAGCAGCAGCAGCAGTGGGATGGCCACAGCAGCGATTCAGAACCAAGGGATTATCAGAAGCAGCATGTAATTTCACTAGAGGACGTGCCGTGCCTGCCAGCGTCTCAAGGCTGTGAGGCCATGTTCCGTGCCTTTGATGCCTGCTGGCAGACACAGCTTGCACTCACCGGGGGTACTGCTGCTGCTGGGGGTGCCGCTGCTGCTGCTGCTGGTAGTGCTGCTGCTGCTGGTAATGGTGGTACTTCTGCTGCTGATACTACTGCTGGTGGTGGTACTGGTGGCACTGGTTCGACTATAACAACTCCACTGCTAGCAGCCCATCAGCACGAGCACAAGCACAATGAGAACGAGCAGCAGCTTCGCACCTCCATTCTCCCCTGTTTCATCACCACCACCATCAGCAGCATCAGCAGCATCACCAGCAACAAAACGCCCTCAGTGGCGCGTGCGCTGCTAGCCTGCTTCTGGCGCCCCCTCCTCACCACCGGCCTGCTGGTGCTGCTCAAGTGTGCGGTGATGTACGCGGGTCCGCTGCTCCTCTCCCGTTTCGTGGACGTGGCTGCGGGCAAGCAGCGGTTTGAAGGCGAGGGCCTGGCGCTCGTGGCGCTGCTGCTGCTGGCCAAGGTTTCTGAGACAGCCGTGGGGCACCAGTACAACTTCCAGGCGCAGGTGAGGGGTTGCTTGGTTGGGTACTCAGCAGTAGAGTAGGGGCCTCCTTGCCTCACCACAGGAGAGGCCTGCTGGTGCTGATCAAGTGTGCAGTGATGTATGCGGGCCCGCTGCTGCTCTCCCGCTTCGTGGACGTCGCAGTGGGCAAGCAGCGGTTTCAAGGCGAAGGCGTGGCTCTCGTGGCGCTGCTGCTGCTGGCTAAAGCCACTGAGACGGCTGTCGGGCACCAGTACAACTTCCAGGCGCAGGTGAGGAGTTGGGTACGGTTGTGCCCTCTTTGGGTATGCAGTAAGGTGAGGTGATCTGTGTGGTGCTGACAGGTCTTCTTGTGCCAGGCCTGCTCGCCACATGCCTGGTCTCTCCTCTTTCCTCTCTCCTGTCTCCCCCATACAGGCCCTGGGTCTGGACATTCGAGCAGCCCTAGTAGGTGCCCTATACCACAAGGGCTTGCGGCTGTCCAGCAGGGCGAAGCAGCGGCACACAGTGGGCGAGGTGGCGAGCTACATGTCCACAGACGTGCAGCGACTGGGTCAACCTCCTCTCTCCCTTCGCCTTCTTGATACCCCTTCTCTCCTCTGTCGTTCCTGTTTCCTCCCCCAACAGGCCCTGGGTCTGGACATTCGGGCAGCACTGGTGGGCGCGCTGTACCACAAGGGCCTGCGGCTGTCAAGCAGGGCGAAGCAGCGGCACACAGTGGGCGAGGTGGCGAGCTACATGTCCACAGACGTGCAGCGCCTGCTGCCTCTAACTGACCTGTGGCTTGGCTTCACCAGCTTCGCTCTCCCCTTTTCCCCTCTCTCTCTCTCTCTCCCCTCTCTCCTTGGTCTCCTTGCTCTCCCCACTCTGTCCTGTGTCACTCCCCACTCCCCCCTCCAACAGGCCCTGGGACTGGACATACGAGCAGCATTAGTAGGAGCGCTGTATCAGAAGGGCCTGCGCCTATCCAGCAGGGCGAAGCAGCAGCACACGGTGGGCGAGGTGGTGAACTACATGTCCACTGACGTGCAGCGACTGGCAGACCTCATGCTACAGCTGCACAACGTGTGGGTGCTGCCGCTTCAGATCACCATTGCTCTTGTTATTCTCTTCCAGGTGAGACGCACCGAGTCTTGATCCACCTTTATTTGGGTAGACTGAAGTATCTGCGTGAGGCACACGAGTCTGGATACCATACCACTGGGGCGATTATTGCCGAACGTGTTACTTTTTTCCTAGCCCATTCAATTCTGCCCATTATAAACCTGCAGAAACTGTCAAAACTGCACTCTCCAAGGAAGCCAACTTTTGAAACTGACACCTGGATGGAACCATGGCAACAGCTCCCTGCCTTTACACACATCCAAAACTGAAAGCTAAAAACCCGAACCCATTGCAGGTGGTGGGGGCGAGCATGGTGGCGGGGCTGGCAGTGATGGTGGCGGCAGCTCCCTCCACAACCATTTCTCCCAAAACCTACACCTGAAACTCTCAGACCTAAAACTCTTTTCAAATCCCTCCCAGGTGGTGGGGGCGAGCATGGTGGCAGGGTTGGCAGTGATGGTGGCGGCGCTGCTGCTGAACCTCCTCATAGCAGCCTCGCTGCGGGCCACAGTGGGGCACATTCTTAAAGCCAAGGACCGCCGCATGAAGGCCACATCAGAGGCGCTCTCCTCCATGCGGGTCATCAAGCTGTACGCCTGGCAAACGTTCTTTGAAAATCAGATCAAGACCCTTAGGGGTGCCGAAGCCGGTTGGCTTGCCAGGTATGTGCTTCACTGCTGTGCTGGCTGGGCAGCATGAAGGCCACCACGTCAGAGGCGCTCTCCTCCATGCGGGTCATCAAGCTTTATGCCTGGCAAACCCTTAAGGGTGCCGAAGCCGGCTGGCTCGCCAGGTATGTGCTTCAGTGCTGTGCTGGTTGGGCAGCATGAAGGCCACATCAGAGGCGCTCTCCTCTCCTCCATGCGGGTCATCAAGCTGTATGCCTGGCAAACGTTCTTCGAGAATCAGATCAAGGCCCTTAGGGGTGCCGAAGCCGGCTGGCTCGCCAGGTATGTGCTTCAGTGCTGTGCTGGTTGGGTCGCTGCTGTCACATTCTTAAAGCCAGAAATGGCTGCATGAAGGCCACATCGGAGGCGCTCTCCTCCATGCGGGTCATCAAGCTTTATGCCTGGCAGCCCTTCTTCGAGAATCAAATCAAATCTCTCAGGGGCGCTGAGGCTGGCTGGCTAGCAAGGTATGTGTGTGTCGGGGAAGACACGGGAGGAGGGGTTGGGTCGCATCTTCGAGGATCGAATCAAATCCAATCTCTGCAGGGCGCCGAGGCCGGCTGGCTCGTCAGGTAATGTGCTGGAGAAACGGGGGGGGGGGGGGGGGGGGGGGGGTTGGGTGTGTTTGCCGCTCACCCTGGAGGCTGTTTTCGAATTGACTTTTGAGTCGACTCAAAAGTCACCCAGCTGGCTCGTCAGGTAATGTGCTGGAGAATTGAAGGGGGGGAGTTGGGTGTGCTGCGCACCCCGTAGGCTGATTTCATTTTTGAGTTGACTAAATTATCGACTTACGGCCGGCTGGCTCGTCAGGTAATGTGCTGGAGAAACAGGGGGAGTTGGGTGTGTTTGCCGCTCACCCTGGAGGCTGTTTTCGAAGTGACTTTTGAGTTCACTCAAAAGTCACCCGGCTGGCTTGCCAGGTAATGTGCTGGAGAAACAGGGGGGGTTGGGTGTGCCGCTCACCCCGGAGGCTGATTTCATTCCCATTTCCACCTTCCCTAATAGTCTAACACCTTCCCTCCTTACCACTTCCCTTCCTCCCGCCCTCCTCTCCCTCTCCTCCTGCTTCTCCCTCTCCACCCTCTCCCCCATCTCCCCCCCATTCCCCCATCCCCCATCCCCCCAGGTACATGGCAATAGGGGCGGCCAACATCTGTCTGCTGTGGCTGTCTGCGCTGCCACTGCCACTCCGCTGTCTCGCCCCTCACTGTCCTCTCTCTCTCCCCCCCATCCCCCATTCCCCCCAGGTACATGGCAATAGGGGCGGCCAACATCTGTCTGCTGTGGCTCTCGCCTCTGGCTGTGTCGGTGGGCACGTTTGGTGCCATGGTGCTCGTGGGTGTGCCGCTCACCCCTCAATGCCCCCCTCTCCCCTGTCCCCCCACTCCCCCATCCCCTCAGGTACATGGCGATAGGCGCGGCCAACATCTGTCTGCTGTGGCTCTCACCTCTGGCCGTGTCGGTGGGCACGTTTGGTGCCATGGTGCTCGTGGGTGTGCCGCTCACCCCTGGGGCTGTTTTCACTGCCATCGCCACCTTCCGCATTCTTCAGGTGAGGAGGGGGGGAGGGGGGGGTTTGAGGGGTGGAAACAGAGGACTTTATGGTGGGAGGAGATTGGGCTTGGATCTCTGTTCTCACTGCCATGGTGCTCGTGGGTGTGCCACTCACCCCTGGGGCTGTTTTCACTGCCATCGCCACCTTCCGCATTCTTCAAGTGATGGGGGAGGTGGTGAAAACAGCTCCGGGGGAGGGGATAGCGTGCGGGGGTTTGAGTGTGGGGGTAAGGGTAGTCGAGACTGTATGTTGGAAGGAGAGGGGAAGGGAAGAGGAAGAGGGGAAGGTCAGCAGGTGGTTGGTACGTTTGTGGGAGGGTTGTAGTCCTTGCGAGTGATTTTTGAGAAGTCTCAAAAATCACTCGGAAGGTCAGCAGGTGGTTGGTACGTTTGCGGGAGGGTTCATCCTGTTGATGTATCATTCAGTCAAGTTGTCGTTTTTCCTTCCTAGAAGAAGAAATGACGCTTTAATGTGAGCACTGATGCCGGTTAACAATCTCCCTTTCACACCCCCCTTCCGCCTCCCCCGCTCTCCCCTTCCTCATATAGGAGCCACTATGCTCGTTCCCCTCAGTGGTGGCGGCTCTAGCACAGGCCATGGTGTCCCTCAAGCGAGTCACCACCTTGCTTCTAGAAGAGGAGGTCCAGGCTGACGCTGTGATGCACGAGTACTGAGGCACCTCAACAATCTCCCTTTCACCACCCTCCCTCTCCCATCCCTCCTAGCGCAGGCCATGGTGTCTCTCAAGCGAGTCACCACAACACCTTCCTTCTAGAAGAGGAGATGCAGAGCGATGCTGTGATGCACGAGTACTGAGGCACCTTCCACCCCCTCCACCCTTCCCTTCTTCCTCGTACAGGAGCCTCTGCGGTCGTTCCCCTCGGTGGTGGCGGCTCTAGCGCAGGCCATGGTGTCACTCAAGCGAGTCACCACCTTCCTTCTAGAAGAAGAGATGCAGAGCGATGCTGTGACGCGCGTGGAGGGGGCGGCAAAGGAAGGGGTGGGGATTCAGAGTGGTGCTGTGACGTGCGCGAATGGGCCGAAGGAAGGGGTGGGGAGTGGGGGACAAGGAAGGGAAGAGAAGAAGGGTGGAGTGAAGGGTGTGGGAAATGAAGTGGTGGTGCGGGTGCAGAATGGTGTGTTTAGCTGGGAGGGGGATGCTAGTAAGCCGACGCTATACGGAATCGAGTTGGAGATTAAAAAGGGGATGAGGGTGGCTGTGTGTGGGGCGGTGGGGGCGGGCAAGTCAAGCCTGCTGGCGTGCCTGCTTGGGGAGATGCCCAAGATGAGAGGCAAGGTGAGAAGTGGTGACATTTCCCTTTTAAACGTGCGTTGTTCCTATAGAGATTCAAATGCGGTCGGAACGGGCTTGGAACGATGGCCTGCCTTCTAGGGGAGATGCCCAAGATGAGAGGCAAGGTGAGAAGTGACGGCATGCTAGGTAAGATGTGGGCATGTCTTGGCAACTGTGAGTGTGCCTTACAGCCACAATGTGTTTCTCGCATTTCAGGTCACCCTGGTGGGCCGCGCCGCACAGCCTACATGCCGCAGCCAGCGTGGATCCAAAACGCCACCTCTCCCTCGCCCTCGTTCCTCTCTCACCCACCCCTCCCCCACCTCTCCACCACCTTCTTCCCACCTCTTCCACCCCTCCTCCACCTCTCCACCACCTTCTTCCCACCTCTTCCACCCCTCCTCCACCTCTCCCCATTCTGTCATCTCCAGGTCACCCTGCTGAGCCGCTCTGCTACGTGCCGCAGTCCGCGTGGATCCAGAACGCCACCTCTCCCTCCCCCACCCTTTCACCCCCAACCCTTCCACGTTCAAACTTCTCCCCCACCCCCCCGCGAGTCTCCAGGTCACCATAGCTGGTCGTACTGCCTATGTGCCCGCAGTCCACGTGGATCGAGAACGCCACCTCTCCCTCGCCCACAATCTTCTCCCCCACCTCCCCACATTCTGGCATTTCAGGTCACCATAGCTGGTCTTTTGAGGCGCCTCAAAAAACACAATCTTCTCCCCCACCTCCCCACATTCTGGCATTTCAGGTCACCATAGCTGGTCTTTTGAGGCGCCTCAAAAAACACAATCTTCTCCCCCACCTCCCCACATTCTGGCATTTCAGGTCACCATAGCTGGTCGTACTGCCTATGTGCCACAGTCCGCTTGGATCCGAAATGCCACCGTCCGCGAAAACATTCTGTTCGGGCAGCCCATGAATCAAGCACGCTATAGCCGGGTGCTGCAGCAGTGCGCGCTACAGCCGGACCTGGCGCTGCTGGCCCATGGGGACGCCACGCAGATAGGCGAGAGGGGGGTGAATCTGAGCGGTGGGCAGAAGCAGAGGATACAACTGGCCCGGGCCATGTATGCTGGGGGAGGGGGAATCGGCGCACTGGAAACGAGGAAAGGCCCGGAAGGGGGACTTGGAGGAGGGATGGGGGAAGACATAAGAGAAGGAGAAGCAGGTGGGGAGCAGAGGGAGAGGGCTGACGGAACGGGGGTTACGGAGGAGGGGAGGGAAGGTGCGGAGGAGCAAGGGGGTGCTGCGGAGGTGTTTCTACTAGACGATCCGTTCAGCGCTGTTGATGCTCACACTGGCTCGCAGCTCTTCACTGTGAGTCTGCCCCTTTCACAACTTTACTGCAGGAGTGAATGTGTGCTGCGTGTGTTGTGAGAGGCACGCCCCAAACCACAACTGTTGAATGGCCCTTTCATGTGCTGTGGGTGCTCAAACTGCCCTAAACTGCCTCAATCTGCAGTACGGGTGCCTTACAGCTCTTCACTTTGATTCTGCCTCGTCTCTGCCAGTCCACCTCTCCCTCTACCCTCTCCCTCCACCCTCTCCCCCATCTCTCGCCAGGAGTGTGTGCTGAGGGGCCTAGCGGGGAAGACTGTGATTCTGGTGACACACCAGGTGGACTTCCTGCCCGCTATGGACCTCATTCTGGTACCGCCCCTTCACCGAATCTGTTGGCTCTGTTGGCTCTGTTGACTCTGATGACTTGGTTGACGGATTTGATTCTGTCGACTCAGCAGCCTCGTGACGCGCCAGGTGGACTTCCTGCCGGCTACGGACCTCGTTTTGGTACCGCTGCCTCTTGCCTGAAAATGTTGACTCTATTGACCTGGCTGACTGGGTTTATCCGTTTTTTTCTTCTTCTTTTCTTTTTGGTTCTGTTGACCCTCAAAAGCCTAGTGACGCACCACCAGGTGGACTTCCTGCCGGCTATGGACCGTTGACCTGTTGACTTCTACCGACTTCCATCAGACCCCGTTGACCTGTTGACTCTGTTGACTTAACTTCACTTGATTGGCTTGATTATGTTGGCTCACAACAGCCTGGCGACCCACCAGGTGGACTTCCTGCCAGCTATGGACCTCGTTCTGGTACCGCGCCCTTGCTACGTGTAGAAAGGGTATTTTTGAGACGTCTCAAAAATACCCTCTCTACCTATGGACCTCGTTCTGGTACCGCGCCCTTGCTTCCAGACGTTGATTCTGTTGACTTGCTTGATTCTCTTTTGTTGACTCAGCTTTCAGTAATCTGGTAGTTTCTGAGTTGACTCAAAAAGGTCTGGTAATCCGCTGGGTGGACTCTCATTCTGACTGAATCCGTTGACCTTGTTGACTTTGTTGGAATTGGAATGTCTGACCTGATGAGCCTCATGTGCCGCCCGTCCCTTTACTTCCTCTACAACCCTTCTATCTACCCTCCCTCGCTCCCCGCTCTCCACAGGTGATTAGGGAGGGGCGCATCGTGCAGAGTGGGCAATATGACGAGCTGTTGGCGCAAGGAACGGATTTTTCCTCCCTTGTGGACGCTCACACCGATGCCATGCACTCCCTCTCCGCCACCACCACCACCGCTGCTCCTGCTGCTGCTGCTGCTTCTGCTGCTGCTGCTAGTGCCGCTGGTGATGGTAATGCTGCTGCTGCTGCCAATTCTGCCTCATCTGCTGCTAAAGCTGCACCTGCCTCGGCAAATGCAGCTTCTCCTACTCCCTCCTCCTCGTCCCCCTCCTCCTCTGCCCCTCTCACCCGCCCCTCCTCCACCTATTCTGCTACACCTGATGTGAGACGAACCTCGCGAGGAGATCAAAGAAAAGGGAAGCAAGCAGAGGCAGCAGAAGTGAGGGTGGTTGAGCTTGAGCGGCGGAACGATGATGCAGGCAAGACAGAGAAGCACGGCAATGGCAATGGTCACAGCGGCTGCAGCAGCAGGCGCAGGAACAAGGAGAGTGGTGCCAAGGCGAGAGCAGGGCAGCTGATAAGTGAGGAGGAGAGGTCATCAGGGCGAGTGGCCTTTGCTGTGTACTGGGCGTATCTCACCACAGCCCTTGGATGCTGGCCCATCCCCGCGCTCCTATTGGTCCAGATCCTCTGGCAGGCGCTGCAGATCGGCTCTGATTGGTGGCTTGCCACCTACACATCCTCCTCCTCATCTTCCACTTCCTTTTCCTTCTCCTCTTCCGTCTTCCCCTCCTCCTCCTCCACCACCGCTCCCTCTCCCCTTCCCTCCTCCTCTGTTACCACTTCTTCCTCCCCCTTGGACCTGCGAGCTCCCTCCATCACCCCAGTGGGCTTTCTGCGGGTATACGTGCTACTAGCACTAGGCAGTGTGCTCTTTGTGCTGCTGCGCACGGTAGCAGTGTCCTGGATGGGGTGGGAGACGGCTCAAGCCCTCTTCTCCCGCATGCTGCACGCTGTGTTCCGAGCTCCCATGAGCTTTTTCGACTCCACTCCCGCAGGAAGAGTGCTATCCCGGGTAAGTGTCGCATGGTTAACCAGGTGTGCTGTACGGTGAGCAGGTGTGAAATAGCACCCGTCGTGTCGTGGATGGATGGGGTGGGAGATAGACGGCTCAGGCCCTCTTCTCCCGCATGCTGCACGCTGTGTTCCGAGCCCCAATGAGTTTTTTCGACTCCACTCCCGCAGGGCGAGTGCTTTCTCGGTGCGGTTGGTATTGGTGTGCTGTGCGGTGAATTCAGGAGTTGTACGTGCTGCTGGCGCTGGGCAGTGTGCTCTTTGTGCTGCTGAGAACGGTGGCAGTGTCCTGGATGGGGTGGGAGACGGCTCAGGCCCTCTTCTCCCGCATGCTGCACGCTGTGTTTCGAGCTCCCATGAGCTTTTTCGACTCCACCCCAGCAGGAAGAGTGCTTTCCCGGGTGAGTGGTACTGTGCAATCTGTGTTGCGGTGCAGGGCAGTGAATCTACGTGAAACCAGTGGTAAGTGAGCGGGTGTACATGCTGTTATCACTAGGTGGTGTGCTCTTTGTGCTTCTGCGCACTGTAGTTGTGTCCCTCATTCCTCCTCCTCCTCTCTCATCCCTTTTTCCAGGCGTCAACAGACCAGGCTACAGTGGATCTAGACCTCCCATTCCGCTTTGGAACGGTGCTCTCCCTTCTCTTCCAGCTGCTCGGCATCCTCTCAGTCACCTCCTTCATTACCTGGCCTGTGCTTTTTGCTGTAGTGCCCCTCGCTTACTTCTACTTTTCATATCAGGTAAGTAACCACTGCTTGCTGTCTACTGGTAACCACGCCTGCTTGCCTCTCATTCTTCCATCCTCGCAGTCACCTCCATCACCTGGCCTGTGCTCTTCGCCATCGTACCCCTCGCCTACTTTTCATACCAGGTGAAAACTCTCTGCTTTCCTTCTGTAACCCAGTAACCACTCGTTCTTTGCACCGCATTCATCGTGTGGCCTGTGCAATTCGCCATTGTGCCCATCACAGCACCTCCCATAACATCCAATGCCTGCATGCCACGTGTTCAACCTGCATCCCTGCATTTTCCAGGAGTACTACCTGACCACGTCCAGGGAGCTCTCTCGCTTGGATGGCATCACCAAGTCACCCATCATCGAGCACTTCAGCGAGTGAGTCTGAGCACGCATATATTCATGCGTGTATACGTGTTTGTATATGTGAGTTTCGCTGTTTTGCCCAAGAAGACAATGAAAGACTTGGTCTACCTGACCTGACCACACGTCTTGTTTGAATGGCATCACACCGTGCCCCATTACTCAGAAGTTTAGCGACCGGCTCCCCAAGCCTCTCAACTATTCCTCTCCTTCTCCCCATCCCACCCACTCTATCTAACCACCCAGGTCGCTAGCCGGAGCAGCTGTGATCCAAGCCTTTGGTGAAGAATCTCGGTTTGCCTACACAAGTGCAACACCCCCCTATTTCCACCCAACCCCCCCTCACCCAGGTCGCTAGCCGGAGCAGCGGTGATCCGGGCCTTTGGTGAAGGATCTCGGTTCGGCAATGATCCGGGGCCTTTGGTGAAGCATCTCGGTTCGCCCACACGATTGCAGCGCGGGTGGACAGCAACACACGAGTGGCGTTCTGCAGCAGAGGCGCTGTGGAGTGGCTGGGGTTCCACCTTAAGCTGCTCATTCCAAACGCCGTCTTATCGCTTCAATACATACACAGTCTTTAACAGCCTAGCCCACCCACCACTCTCCCACTCTCTCCTTCCATCCCATCCACCCAGGTCGCTAGCCGGGGCAGCAGTGATTCGGGCCTTTGGTGAAGAATCTCGGTTCGCCCACATGAGTGCAGCGCGGGTAGACAGCAACACGCGAGTGGCGTTCTGCAGCAGAGGCGCTGTGGAGTGGCTGGGGTTCCGCCTGGAGCTGATGGGCTCGCTGCTGCTCTGCTTCTCTGCTCTCATGCTCACACTGCTGCCGCCCTCTGTGGTGTCCCCTGGTAGGGATGGGTTGGGTTGAGAGAGAGTGTGAGTGTGCTAGAGGTGAATACCAACTTCCTCTGCTCTGCACTTGTTCTTACTGCTGCTCTGATTCTCTGCATTCCTGCTCACCTCACTGCCCTCCTGTCCTTTCCTCTTTTTCCTCTCGTCTTCTCTTTCTCTTCTCTCCCAGGCCTAGCAGGCATGTCTCTCTCCTACGGCCTTGCTCTCTCCCAAGCGCTATTCTTCGTGGTGTGGTCGTGGTGCTCTCTGGAGAACCAGATGGTCTCAGTGGAGCACCTAGTCCCATACCATGCCTCCTACTCTGTCATCTCCCACCCCTGCCTGACCCTCCCGCCCTCTCCCTCTCCATGTTTTTGCTCTCTCCCCCCCGTTCTCCAGGCCTGGCAGGCATGTTTCTCTCCTACGGCCTTGCTCTCTCCAGGCCCTCTTCTTCGTGTTGTGGTCGTGGTGTTCCCTGGAGAACCAGATGGGGCTCTTGGCGAATGCCCTGCTGTACTTTTCCAGATGATGAGCCTCCAGATGAAGCTCTGCTGTACTTTTCCTGCCGTCTCATCATCTTTTTCCCCCCTTTCCACTGCCCCACCTCCCTTCCTCCAGGTCTGGCAGGCATGTCCCTATCCTACGGCCTTGCTCTCTCGCAGGCGCTCTTCTTCGTGGTGTGGTCGTGGTGTTCCCTGGAGAACCAGATGGTCTCAGTGGAGCGAATTCTGCACTTCTCCCATCCCGCTGTGCCCTCCGAAGCCCCTCTTGTTGTCTCTAACCATCGGCCTCCCCCTCACTGGCCAAACAAGGGGCGAGTGGAGTTTGATGGCCTTCAGGTGGGTGCGGTTTGAGTGTTTTTGGTGGGTGGTTTGGGGGATTTTGCTGTGTGTGTTGAGGGTGAGTGCAGTGTGGTGTGGGCGTGTTGTTCCCTGGAGAACCAGATGGTATCAGTGGAGCGCATTTTGCACTTCTCCCACCCCGCCGTGCCCTCTGAAGCCCCCCTCGTTCTACCCCACCACTGGCCTCCCTCTCACTGGCCGAACAAGGGGCGAGTGGAGTTTGACAGCCTTCAGGTGGGTTCCGTTTGAGGGGTTTCAGTGTGGTGGTGCGGGCATGGAGAACCAGATGGTCTCAGTGGAGCGAATTCTGCACTTCTCTCACCCCGCCGTGCCCTCTGAAGCCCCCCTTGTTATCTCCAACCACCGGCCTCCCTCTCACTGGCCAAACACGGGGCGCGTGGGTGGAGTTTGATGGTCTTCAGGTGGGTGCGGTTTGAGTGGCGTCAGGTGGATGGTTCGAGGGGTTTCTGTGGATAGGTGGACTGTGCCCCCTGAAGCCCCCCTCGTTCTCCCCCACCACCGGCCTCCCTCTCTCTGGCTGAACAAGGGGCGAGTGGAGTTTGACAGCCTTCAGGTGGGTGTGTGGTTTGATCTGAGTGCCGTCAGCTGGGTTCCTCCACGGTTTACAAAGGGCAGTTTGATGGCCTTCAAGTCAGCAAATTCAACCAATATCCTGCTCTGTATCTCTCCAATGGTTATTCTTCCTCTCAGTCTCTCTCCCTTCTCCACACTGGTCCAGTACCGGCCAGACCTCCCAATGGTGCTGAGGGCGTGACCCTGACAATCCCAGGGGGCACGAAGTCCAGCATTGTGGGCCGCACCGGCAGCGCCAATGACTTTAACCAGGTATCTCGCTTTCTCTCTCTCCCTCTCTCCCACCTTCCCTAACCCCTCTTCCTCCACCCAGGTCCAGTACCGGCCAGACCTCCCAATGGTGCTGAAGGGCGTGACCCTGACCAACCCAGGGGGGCACGAGGTTGGGATTGTGGGCCGCACTGTTGGCAGCACTAGCAGTGGAGAGCCAACAACGTCAACCAAGCCTCTTTCTCTCTCCCCCTCCCTCCCCCCAGGTCCAGTACCGGCCAGACCTGCCAATGGTTCTTAAGGGCGTGACTCTAACCATCCCAGGCGGGAACAAGGTGGGGATTGTGGGCCGCACCGGCAGCGGCAAGTCAACTCTCGTCGCTGCTCTCTTTCGATTGGTCGAGCCGGCGGGCGGCAGGGTGGTGATTGATGACGTGGACATTGGGAGCATCGGACTGGGCGACCTGAGGGGACGCCTGGCTATCATACCGCAGGACCCAACTCTGTTTCAGGGGTCGATTCGAATGAACCTCGACCCAGCGGGGGAATATAGTGATGCTCAGATATGGGAGGTGAGTGTCTTGAGGGGGAAGGGGGGGGTTGTCAAGAGATTGTCAATCATGCCACAGGATTCTGAAGTTTCCGACAGTGGTTTTCGAGGTCGAGCTAAGGTCTCCTATGGCCTGCCGCTTGCCTCCTGTACATCCCATTCCCCATTCCGCCCATTGTCCTGTCACATTCTCGTCTTCCTCTTCTCCCTCCCTTCCTCCCTCCCCTTCTCCCCTCTCTCCCTTCCTCCCGCCCCTTCTCCCCTCCCCCTCTCTCTGCAGGCACTGGATCGATGTCAGCTGGGGGACACTGTGAGGAGCATGGAGGCAAAGCTGGGTGCACAGGGTGAGTAGAGTGTGAATGAGGATGGAACTACTAGGTAAGGGGAACTTCAATAGGTTTTTTTCTTTTCTTTTCTTTTCTTTTCTTTTCTTTTCTTTTCATTTCTTTTCTTTTCTTTTCCTTGCTTTTCTTTTCTTTTCTTTACTCACAAAAGATACCTTCTTGTGGAGTTTTACCAAGCTCCGTCTGCCTGTTGCACCTCTAATGTGTGCCTGTTTGATACGTCTTGATACGAGACCTTCGAACCAACATCTGTGTCTCACCCCTTGTGTTTGTGTGTGTGTGACATGTGTGCGACATGTGAGTGATGTTTGCGACATGGGTGCGACATTTATTCCAACATCCAGTGGTGGAGGGAGGGGAGAACTGGAGCGTGGGGCAAAGGCAGCTATTCTGTCTTGGGCGGGCGCTGCTGAGGAACTCGCGGATTCTCGTGCTGGATGAAGCTACGGCATCCGTTGATTCCGCCACCGACGCGGCGATCCAACGAACGATAAAGGAGAGCTTTGGCGGGGCGACTATCATCAGCATCGCGCACCGGATCGCGACGGTCATTGACAGTGACATGGTGGTGGTGATGGATGGGGGTGAGTCGGTGAATATGGTGAAACATGGAGGAAGGTAATGCATTATCACTACTAGCAGCATTGCGCACCGACTCGCAACTGTCATTGACAGTGACATGGTGGTGGTTATGAATGGGGGTGAGTCATGGATGGGGGTGAGTCATGGAAACAAGTCATGTGACCTTCAAAACTCGCTGTCCAGCCATTATCGTCTTCCACCTTCCCGCCTTTGCCTTAATCATTTTACAGGAGCCGTGGCAGAGCGCAATTCACCAGCTGAGCTCATGCGTGACCCTGATTCCATGTTCTCGCGCCTTGTGGCGGAATATGCGGTTCGATCATCCGGCCTTGCAGACATTGCCAAGAGCCTATCGCTTGAAAGCCTTGCCAACGCTGCTCTGTCGTAGTGACGGCGAGGCAGTCAAAGTAAGAGAGGCAACATGGTAGTGATTGTACAAAAGCAGATGTGTACATTCCTTGCCAAAGTGTGTCCTTTTCTTCCTTTTTTTTTATATACGGATGCAGATGCTGTCTTTTGTTGGATAAGTATGCAAACAGACCTAACAAGCTTGGTCTAATCAACCTCTCCTCACAATGATACTCCACTTCTAAACTATGAAGGTAATAGCAGAAGCTGCGTGTATTCAGAACTGTGCCATTTTCGGCATTTCCGAGGGTAGTCGCTGCGCTAATGTCAGAAGCGGTTGAGAGCGATGCTGTGCACTGTCAAACATTTTGCCTTTTTCACCTATTTGAACCGCTACCCACCCCTGCCTGAAACCTGATCCGCTAATGAAAACCAGGCACGCCTTTCATCCCTCTTCCTTTCATCAACCTCGAGAGGATCCCATTGTGGAATACTGATTCTTTCACAGAGACAGCGGATTTCCCGCAGAAGCTTGCCTTCGGCTTTTCGGGTAGACGCTATCCCGTTCGCGTCGTTCACTGATCCCATTTCGCCTCGCAGGATCGCGACAATGGATAAGGTGCGTTGTCAAATAGGCTTAGTGTGGCTTCAGCTCCCCCAACGTGCTTCGTGAACTAAGGGCCTCCTGCGTTCAGTGTCTACTTCAGCCGTTAAGCTTCCCGCATTGTCATCGTTTCCGTGTGATAAAATCGATAATCATTTACCTAATCAGAATATAGGCTGTCTTATCATTGAAGCTGTGACAACGCCCTCCTGAGGGAGCATCCCTTAAAACCCTGATCCTCCGTCTGGCTGCCATCACGGGATTGTTACTGCCTGCACAAGCCTTACAGACCAGATTTAGCGTTTTTGTTTGATTTGTTACAAACAAGCCTTGCCGACCAGCGGAATATTTCGACGCTTTTCAGCTCAAGCGAGCCATTGTCATGTTCTCGAAATTTTGTGATATTAATTATTGTTTAATGTCGATGTCGGCGGCAAACGCGAGCTCTTATTTCGTTCGTCATATTGGTGTATTTATCACGAGCTTTTTTCAGTCTAAGTCACCCCGCCGTCTTGGAAATTCGTCGTTCCATATCGTCGTCATGCCTTTTCCCGTCGCTAGGACTGACATTGAAGAAGTGACCTTCCATTATGCTCATTTCTCGTGTTTCTCTATTCTCAATCAGGATCAAGCCGCTCCTGCAGCAGAGACCGTCGACGCGACGGCTGCAGCTGCTGCTGACCTGTCAATCGCCGATAAGCCAGCAGCGGAGGCCACGGAGCAGAAAGACCAGAAAGAGAAGAAGGAGAAGAAGGAGAAACCCAAGAAGGAGAAGGTCCCTAAGGAGAAAAAGCCCAACCAACAAGGCGGAGGCGGCAGAGGCGGAGGAGGGGGGAAGAAGGAGGTGAAGAAGGAGACACTCCTTGGTCTGTCGGTTAAGAAATCGGAGGACTATGGGAAGTGGTACTCGGAGGTTGTGGTTCAGTCAGAGCTCATTGAGTACTATGACGTGTCCGGCTGCTACATCCTGCGACCCTGGTCCTACTCCATCTGGGAAACCATCAAGGTAAGGCTGTCACAATCTCGGTGTGTGACTGACATTCAAGGTGATGCGACTTCTGTTACGTCAACACAAAAGCCATCCTCTAGCCGTTCTTATAACTCCTCTCTCTCTCTCTCTCTCTCTCTCTCTCTCTCTCTCTCTCTCTCTCTCTCTCTCTCTCTCTCTCTCTCTCTCTCTCTCTCTCTCTCTGCCTTGCCTCTCAGCCTTCTGCCCTCTCCGGTCCATCCCTCCCCTCCCCTTTTCCACCCTTCAGGATTTCTTTGACGCGGAGATCAAGCAGCTGGGTGTGCAGAACTCCTACTTCCCCATGTTCGTTTCTCAAAGGGCTCTCAACGCTGAGAAGGACCATGTCGAGGGCTTTGCTCCTGAGGTGAGCAAACACGATTTTGATGGGTTAGGCGTGGCAGTTCAGTTGTGCTTTTGAGTCGACTCAAAAGATTTTTTAGTCGATTCAAGGTGACTTCTGAGTCGACTCAAAAGCTCCTGAGGTACGCGATCACGATCTTGACGGGTTAGGCGTGGCAGTTCAGTTGTGAATGTGGCGAGTGGTAGTGCGGAACTTCCTGCTTTTCCAAGAGGACGCTCAGTGCTGAGAAGTATTACATCAATTCCGTGATGTACCCCATGTGCGCCAAGTGGATCCACTCCCCTCTCTTCCTTCCTGTCCCTCCCCTCCCGTGCACCTCCTCCCTCCCTGCCCCTACCTTCCCATCTCATTCCATCCATCTCCTTATCCCCGCCCATCCCTCCCACCCCTCCCCAACACAAATCACCCCCCCCAGGTGGCATGGGTGACCAAGTCGGGGCAATCAGAGCTAGATGTGCCCATCGCCATCCGCCCCACCAGTGAGACGGTGATGTACCCCATCTACGCCAAGTGGATCCACTCGCACCTCATCCCACCGCATCCCACCACACCCCATCCCCGCAGGTCGCATGGGTGACCAAGTCAGGCCAGTCGGAGCTGGACGTGCCCATCGCCATCCGCCCCACGAGTGAGACGGTGATGTACCCCATCTACGCCAAGTGGTCCCATTCGCACCTCATCCCACCGCATCCCACCACACCCCATTCCCCAGGTGGCTTGGGTGACCAAGTCAGGCCAGTCGGAGCTAGACGTGCCCATCGCCATCCGCCCCACGAGTGAGACGGTGATGTACCCCATCTACGCCAAGTGGATCCACTCGCACCTCATCCCACCGCATCCCACCACACCCCATTCCCCAGGTGGCTTGGGTGACCAAGTCAGGCCAGTCTGAGCTGGACGTGCCCATCGCCATCCGCCCCACGAGTGAGACGGTGATGTACCCCATCTACGCCAAGTGGATCCACTCGCACCGCGACCTGCCCCTGAAGCTCAACCAGTGGAACAGCGTCGTGCGCTGGGAGTTCAAGCACCCCACGCCCTTCATCCGGTGAGTGGGGGTTCAGATTTCAAACGCCCCACGCCTTTCATCCGGTGGGTAGGAGTGAGTCAGTGGGTACGGAAGAGTAGAAAGGTGTTCAAGCACCCCACGCCGAACGTGCGATGGGAATTCAAGTGCTCCTCGCCTCGCCTTTATCTGGTGGAAGTTTGAGCGCCCTCGCTCCTGATTTCACCCTGCTGCCCCCCACCCTCCCACTCAACAGGAGTCGCGAGTTCCTGTGGCAGGAGGGGCATACGGCGTTTGCCAGCAAGGAGGAGGCGGACGTTGAAGTGCTCGCCATTCTGGAGCTCTACCGCCGCATCTATCAGGAGCTGCTGGCTGTTCCTCTCCCTCCTCGTCCTTGAGCTACACCCGCCCTTCCACACACCTCCACTCCCTCCTGCCTGCACACTCTCTTCCCTATCTTTTCCCTCCTGCCGCCCAAACACTTCATCTTCCCTCCCCCAAATCAGGAGTCGCGAGTTCCTGTGGCAGGAGGGGCACACGGCCTTCGCCAGCAAGGAGGAGGCGGACGTTGAAGTGCTCGCCATTCTGGAGCTGTACCGCCGCATCTATGATATGAGGAGCTGATCTGCTCACTGCTCCCCTCCCTGCTCGCCCTGCGGCCCCGTTCACACACCTCCTCCCTCTCCCTTGCTCCCTTCCACACGCTCACTCTCTCTCTCTGCTCCCTTCCTCCCTCCTCCTCCCTCACCCAGGAGTCGCGAGTTCCTGTGCCAGGAGGGCCACACGGCCTTCGCCAGCAAGGAGGAGGCGGACGTTGAAGTGTTGGCCATCCTGGAGCTCTACCGCCGCATTTACGAGGAGCTGCTTGCCTCGCTTCTCCCCTCCCAGCCTGCTCGCCCCTTCACCCCACCCTCCCTCCCTCTCTTGTACGCACCCCCTTCCTCCCTTGCTCCCACACACTCACTCCTTCCTGCTTTCCTCTGCCTTCCCTCTCTTTCCTTTTCCACCAGGAGTCGCGAGTTCCTGTGGCAAGAGGGGCATACGGCCTTTGCCAGTAAGGAGGAGGCGGACGTCGAGGTACTCGCCATCCTGGAGCTGTACCGCCGCATCTACGAGGAGCTTCTCGCCGTGCCGGTGGTGAAGGGCGTGAAGAGCGAGCGGGAGAAGTTCGCTGGTGGTCTCTACACCACCACTGTGGAGGTACGCTGTTGTTTGGAAGCCAGTGCGAGACAAGGCGATAGGAGGCGGTGGTAGGGGTGGTGAAGTAGCTTGCCGCTGGCCATTCTGGAGCTCTACCGCCGCACTAGGAGGAGCTTCTCGCGGTGCCGGTGGTGAAGGGCGTCAAGAGCGAGCGGGAGAAGTTTGCTGGTGGTCTCTACACAACGACTGTGGAGGTACATGGGGAGTAGCATGGTGACGGGCAGTGAGGCTGTGTTGTGAGTCAACTCATTACGCACCGTGCTCTGCACCACATTGCATCTGCGATGCGCGGCACGACGCGATCCACAGCCTCGGTTGACCCAAGCGCTTGGGTACCAGTGAGAGCAAAGGCGCCGATGATGGTGACGTTGGGAACGAGAACGGTCTCGTTGGGCGCACCGTTGAAGTTGACTCCCATCCAGCCAAAGTACATGGTGCCATTATTGGAGCGGTCATATGAGCCGTCGGCAGGGACCTTGTGCGGGTACACGGTGTAGGAGGGGCTGGTGAGGGCTGGCGAGTACGGGATGGCCACGCGCAGGATGGCAGAGGTGCATGTGCGGGATAGCTGGTCCTTGCCCGTGGCACTGTGTGTGGACAGGGGGAGATTGGGAAGTGTGGAGAAGGGGAAATGGGTAGGGGAGAAAAGGGGGTGCAGAAAAGTGATTGGTGGGGTGGGAGCAACAGAAAAGAGCAGACAGAAAGACCGTGACATTCTTAATGTGCAGGAGATAGAATGCCATGAAAATACAGATGACCAATGCGCAGGAAGGATTCAATGGCGGGCATTGAGCTGCGGACTGCACAGCAACATGCATGCACAGCAATCACTCGGCCCACTGCACCTCGTAGTGTGTCACCTCACCGTGCCTACACTCCCCACCCAGAACCCCATTGGCCCTCCAACCACAGTGTGGCCCAGCACTCACACCCACACTCACACCCACACCCACACCCGCACCCGGAAATGTGACCGGAAATGTGTTTTTGCAACTTGCCATGCTCTCCTGTGCTGCTGCTCTCCCCTGTGGTGTGGGCCTACGGCTGGCGTGGGCATCCCAGCGACAGGCAGGCAGGGGCATCCAGTCGGCCACGTCGCACTGCCTGGGGCAGAACTAATTCCCCTCTCTCCTTGTCTTTCGCCCCCGTGCGTCTGTTCTCCTCTGTGCTTCTCCGTCCCCCTGTGTGCCCGTGCGACCATGTCATCTGCTCCAGGCGTTCATCCCAGCAACAGGCAGGGGCATTCAGTCAGCCACGTCGCACTGCCTGGGGCAGAACTTTGCCAAGATGTTCAACATCGAGTTTGAGGACGACAAGGGCGCCAAGCAGATGGTCTGGCAGAACAGCTGGGGGCTCTCCACGCGCTCCGTGAGTCGTTGCCCCCTCCATTGAATGATCTGTCACACCTCCCCCCTCTGTATGGCTTGGTTAGCCCTGCGGTCCTGTTTTTTCAAGGTGGGTGGGTGAGGCCATGAGTGAGCTTGTGTCAACCCAGCAAGAACTTTACCAAGATGTTCAACATCAAGTTTGAGGACGACAAGGGCGCCAAAGCAGATGGTCTGGCAGAACAGCTGGGGCTCTCCACTCGCTCGGTCAGTGGAGTCACCAGTGCCTGCCTGCCTGCCTGATTGTGTTGATTGTGTTTAGCTACGCATATGGTTCTTGTGTCCAGCCAACCAGATGGTGTGGCAGAACAGCTGGAGGCTCTCCACACGCTCGGTCAGTCACTAGGGCCCACATGATGGGTACCAGAGCCAAGAGCCAAGCTACTAGGTCATTCCTGCTATGTTGAAATCAATTTTGAGGATTCTCAAAAGTGATTTTAACGTGCTCGGTCAGTCACTAGGGTCCACATGATGGGTACCAGAGCCAAGCTACTAGAGTTATTCCTGGGAGAGGAGTGCATGGTGCATAGTGCATAGTGCTTCTAGTGAGACTAAGTGTGACCAAGCGTGACCAAGCGTGACCAAGCGTGACCAAGCGTGACCAAGCGAGACCATGCGAGACCACGCGAGACCAAGTGAGACCAAGTGACACCAAGTGAGACCAAGTGAGACCAAGTGAGACCAAGTGAGACCAAGTGAGACCAAGTGAGACCAAGTGTGACCAAGTGAGTCCAAGTGTGACCAAGTGTGACCAAGTGTGACCAAGTGTGACCAAGTGTGACCAAGAGAGACCAAGTGTGACCAAGTGTGACCACGTGTGACCAAGTGTGCCCAGATTACAAGGGCCTCATTCTTCCCCCCAATATGGCGCCCATTTTGCTGTCCCACATCTCCCCCTCCTACCTTCCCACCCTTCCCACTCCCCATCTTGACGTCTTCTCCCCATCCTCACTCCCTTCCCTTCCTTCTAAACCTGCCATACAGATCGGCGTGATGGTGATGGTGCATTCAGACGACAAGGGCCCCGTGCTGCCCACACATCTCAACCCTGCCCTTTTTCCCGTTTCCAACCCTGCTCCCTGCCCCCATTGTTCCTGCAGATCAGCGTGATGATGATGGTGCATTCAGACGACAAGGGCCTCGTGCTGCCCACACATCTCAACCCTGCCCCTTTTCCCGTTTCCAACCCCACCTCCTGCCCCCGTTGTTCTCGCAGATCGGCGTGATGGTGATGGTGCATTCAGACGACAAGGGCCTGGTCCTCCCCCCCAACGTGGCGCCCATCCAGGCCATCGTCGTCCCCATCCCCTTCAAGGACGCCGACCGCGCCGCTGTCGTGGCCGCAGCAGCAGCAGCCGGAGCAGCAGGAGGAGCAGGAGTGTGAGCAGAGCAGAGTACCTTGCTTGCTTGCTGTGTCATGCCTCATTTTCCCTCTATGTTTCCCCATCATCCTGCGCCCATCCATGCCTGTCACCTGCCATGCAGATCGGCGTGATGGTGATGGTGCATTCAGACGACAAGGGCCTGGTCCTCCCCCCCAACGTGGCGCCCATCCAGGCCATCGTCGTCCCCATCCCCTTCAAGGACGCCGACCGCGCCGCTGTCGTGGCTGCAGCTGCCGACGTGGGCGCCCAGTTGCGGGCAGCGGGGGTGCGAGTGAAGGAGGACACGCGGGACAACTACTCGCCGGGCTTTAAGTACAACTTCTGGGAGCTCAGGGGGGTGCCGATTCGCGTGGAGCTTGGCCCTAGGGACCTGGCCAACAAGCAGGTGGGCAGCAGGGGCTGATGCTGATTCTGGTGTGCTGGCAGCAGGTGGTGCGGGCAGGTGAAGGAGGACACGCGGGACAACTACTCGCCGGGCTTTAAGTACAACTTCTGGGAGCTCAGGGGGGTGCCGATTCGCGTGGAGCTTGGCCCTAGGGACCTGGCCAACAAGCAGGTGTGCGTGGTGCGGTTGGGCTGTGCTGGCAGCAGGGGCTGGTGTTGAATCAACAGGTTCTGCCGTGGTTATGAGAGTGAAGGCGGGGGTGCGAGTGAAGGAGGACACGCGGGACAACTACTCGCCGGGCTTTAAGTACAACTTCTGGGAGCTCAGGGGGGTGCCGATTCGCGTGGAGCTTGGCCCTAGGGACCTGGCCAACAAGCAGGTGGGCAGCAGGGGCTGATGCTGATGCTGGTGTGCTGGCAGCAGGTGGTGCGGGCAGGTGAAGGAGGACACGCGGGACAACTACTCCCCAGGCTTTAAGTACAACTTCTGGGAGCTCAGGGGCGTGCCCATTCGCGTGGAGCTTGGCCCTAGGGACCTGGCCAACAAGCAGGTGTGCGTGGTGCGGTTGGGCTGTGCTGGCAGCAGGGGCTGGTGTTGAATCAACAGGTTCTGCCGTGGTTCTGAGAGTGAAGGCGGGGGTGCGAGTGAAGGAGGACACGCGGGACAACTACTCCCCGGGCTTAAGTACAACTTCTGGGAGCTCAGGGGTGTTCCGATTCGCGTCGAGCTTGGCCCCAGGGACCTTGCTAACAAGCAGGTGGATTGCGTTTGAGTCGATTCCTGTAACAACACCCCCTATGGTTTGAAGTGTCATGTGGTCCTAACACACCATGCCCCCACTTCTCCGCTCCTCCCTTCCTCCCTCCCTCCCTCCCTCCCTCCTCTTCCTCCCTCTCTTGCTCGCCTCTCCAGGTGGTGCTCGTGCGGCGAGACACGGGAGTGAAGGAGACAGCGCCGTGGGAGGGGCTGGGCGAGCGAGTTAAAGCCCTCCTTGCCACAATCCACGCGGACATGCTGGCTCGCGCCACCAAGGAGCGCGATGACAGCATCGTGAAGATCACCAAGTGGGAAGAATTCATGCTGGCCATTGACGCCAAGAAGATGGTGCTGGCGCCGTGGTGCGACGAGGAGGCGGTGGAGGAGGATGTTCGGAAGAGGAGCGCTGGTGCTGGGGAGGGCGGATCCGCCAAGACATTGTGCATGCCGTTCGAGCAGCCTGAGCTCCCTGAAGGTGAGGCTCTGCAGTATGTAGCAGCGTTGAGCTTGGGATGAAAATGGGGTGAAAATGGGTTGAAAGGGGGGTGAAAGGGGGGTGAAAAAGGGGGTGAAAGGGGGGTGAAAGAGGGGGGTAGAAGATGGTGCTGGCGCCGTGGTGCAATGAGGAGGCGGTGGAGGAGGACGTGCGGAAGAGGAGCGCTGGTGCTGGGGAGGGCGGGTCGGCAAAAACGCTCTGCATGCCCTTGGAACAGCCCGAGCTGCCTGAAGGTTTGTTAATGCGCGCGCGTGTGTGTGGAGTGGGGGGGGGGAGACGGGGTTGGGGGGCTGTGAAGGTGTTTGTGCGGCCTGAGCTGCCTCAAGGAGACTGTGTATATGGGCATTGTGTGTGGGGTGGGGTGGGTTGCAGAGGGAAGGTTTGGGGGGTGGGTTGGCAAGGCATGGCTTGGCGAGTGCTGCTGGGCTTTTGAGAATTCTCAAAAGTCACACAAATATAGCAAGGCATGGCTTGGCGAGTGCTACTGGGCTTTTGAGAATTCTCAAAAGTCACACAAATATAGCAAGGCATGGCTTGGCGAGTGCTGCTGGGCTTTTGAGAATTCTCAAAAGTCACACAAATATAGCAAGGCATGGCTTGGTGAGTGCTGCTGGGCTTTTGAGAATTCTCAAAAGTCACACAAATATAGCAAGGCATGGCTTGGTGAGTGCTGCTGGGCTTTTGAGAATTCTCAAAAGTCACACAAATATAGCAAGGCATGGCTTGGTGAGTGCTGCTGGGCTTTTGAGAATTCTCAAAAGTCACACAAATATAGCAAGGCATGGCTTGGTGAGTGCTGCTGGGCTTTTGAGAATTCTCAAAAGTCACACAAATATAGCGAGGCATGGCTTGGTGAGTGCTGCTGCAGGGGAGGGCGGGTCGGCCAAGACGCTTAGCATGCTGTTTCAGCAGCCCGAGCTGCCTGCAGGTGGGTTCGAGTGTGGGCACTGTGGGCCAGTGGCTCGTGGCTGGTGATTATTGTTACAGCTGTGAGTAGCGTTGTGCTTGGGGCGTCACGAGTCAATGGTCGATGGTCATTAATGCTGAGGGTGCCCATACCTACCTCAGTGGTATGATACCCAGGTAGGTATGGCATGGCTGTGACTCACTGCCTCAGAACCAACAGCACACCCTGCCCTCCTATCTCATCCCTACTGCCCGTCCTCCCGTCTCCCACTCCCCTCCACCAGGCACACTCTGCTTTGCATCGGGCAAGCCAGCCAAGAAGTGGGCTCTCTGGGGACGCAGCTACTAAATTGGGAATCTTTACCCAAAATGGAGTTTCCCCGCAGCGGTCTCTGCCTCAGGATTACTGTGCGAGGCTCACGCGGCTGAATGGTACCGGTACTGATCCATTCACCTGGATAGAACACCCATGCACTGGCTGTAAATTTTGCTGTGTAAGCATCAGTGCTTTCTTTTCCCAGGAAAGGATTGTGGATAGCAACGTGGTGCTGGTTTTACGAAGCTGCTGCATTGCAGTGCCAGATCATCTCGATGTTTGCCACAAATCATATACAGGCATCAAGGTGGGGTCCTTATGAGTGCTCGCTGCATTAGGTGTATGATACTGCAGATTGGATATTGGCCCAAGCACAACGAATATTGGATGCATAAAAGGCAGTTCGTGCGAGGCAGGTACGGTAAGAGCACAGCACTTCAAGACAGCTTCTGCTCAGACATGTAGTGGTACCATATACTAACACTGGGATCCAGATTCCAGAGACCACCACCAACTGAAATGAGCCTGCGGAAGCAATTAAAGGTGGAATGGAGGAGACTGTCATTCTGCTTAAGTACCCGTAGATTGCTAAGATCCTGAACAGCCAGTGGGTGGGAGAAGCTTTTTTATTGGCGCCTCAAAAGTCCATGTATGCAATTCAAGGTGGAGACTGCCATTCTGCTGACGCAGATTGCTAAGAACCTGAAAAGCCAGTGGATGGGAGAGGCAATGAGACAGGGAGGTAGGGGTATGGATGGGGCAAGAGGGAGTGGCCCAAGGAAAAAGTGCGCATCCTACAGACGATTATTTCGGGCAGGAAAGAGGAGGTGGACCAGAGCGAGGAGGAGGGGACGCGGCGCGGCACACAAAACCTCCTTTTTCTAAATTTACTCAGCAGGATTCCTCCCAGTCACGACCTTTGAGCACTTAGACTTGACTCGACCCTGCTGCTCCTCCTGCACCCCCGGTCGTGGAAAGCGGAATCTCCCTCTGCTCCCGTTGCAGGCACAGCCACTCCCCGAGGAGAGTCATGAGCAGGCAGGAGAGGAAGGAGGTGAGCCAGAAGGAGAAGGAGGAGGGGACGCGCACGTAGAGTAGGCAGAGCAGCGCGTGCAGCAGATGCACCGTGGCTGCGAAGTCGAGACACTTTTTGGTTCGCTCCACCACCACTACCAGATAGAAGGCGCTGGTGGATGGCGGAATGGGGCGAGGATGCGGGAGAGGATATGGGGAGAGAGGCACAGGAAGGAAGAGGCGAGGCATCACACGACTTCAATCAAGGCCCATTCGGACGACATAATGCCATATGGCCAATGCTTCCATCCAATTTCCCATCCCCACCCCTCCCAGCCCGTTCCAACCCTCTCCACCTTTCTAACCTCCCATCTCCTCCGCAGCATGCGGCCTACCCCCCCCTCTTTCCCCCACCACTCCTCCCCCTCCACCACCTTTCCCGTAACTCTCCCCCCTCTCCGCGCCCTCCTCCCGCGAGCACTCACCCTACAAACGCGTTTGCCAGAAACGCGAATATGCAGCACCAGCCGACGAAGCTGGACGGCGAAATCACAGAGTAGTCGAAGAAATACTTGAGCGTGAATCGCGGAACGTGCGACCCGACGAAGAGCCACAGGAAAACGCCGAGAGAGAGGTAGAATAACGACTGTAGACACGCGATTTGTGCCACTATGAGCCACGGATCCCAGACCATCGCTCCGTAAAACATGGCGACGACGCGGCGAGAAACGGCCTCGTGAAGCAGCTGCAGCGGCCGGAACCCGCGCCGCTTCGCCTTGCCGTCCGTGGTGGCTTCGGTGGTAACCACCTTGGCGGGCGTTAGCGGCGGTATCGCCGCCGATTGCGGCGGGAGGTGGCCTTTTGAAAAAGGAAGGTACTAGGCGAGATGAAATGAGTTCCTATATTGTGAGGACCGGTTTATGATAACGGAAGCAGCACCCAAGTGGCGATTAGGGAGCACTCACTTGGCAATCAGTTATCACACAAATGCAATCAGGGACCGCGCATCGACCCTAATTAGGCTTTCGAGGATTCTCAGAGTCCCCGACAAGACATCGTGCACGCTGTTAGTATGAGGATTTAGTTGCCTGGTGCCCTGAGGCTGTCCCGCGGAAGGCGTGATTGCGTGGGATCGTCAGATGCTTGGTGAGACTGGGGTAGTGAATTCGGTAACATCCACGTATTTGTGGATTAGAACGGCAAAAAAACGAAACAAAAGTAAAATATATTTCACTTAGTAGTTCCGAACGCGATGGAGGTCAGAAGATAATGGAGATTAGTTGCCTCCGAACCAGAAAATCCGGGAATCTGGGAAACCAGGTCACTGAATACCTTCAAGACTAGATTGGACCTAAGGATTCGCGGGGTTCGTATTCCACCAATTCTAATTAAAAAATAATGAAACATTTTGAAGGGTGTAATGATTTCTCGGAAGTCCGACAAACACCTAACGGAAATACCTCGTCTTAGCTCATTTCTCGTCAGTAGAACCTTCGTATAACGGAGTTGTTTATAAAATTACCCATAAGGTGATTTTACCCGTTTAATTATACCTCCTTACAAATAATAGCCCACCTACATTTTGGGGCCTGGCTATGATCCCGCTGGAAGCACCACCGTGCCCGAATCTGTGAAAATCGTTTGTTAATTGCCCATCCTGGAACTACATCGTTGGGTGTGGGTATTCCAGGGAGGGAGGAAAAAAAAGGAAAGGTGCGGAAGATTTCGACAAACACTGTCATTTAAAATACCTCGTTATAGCTCAGTTTTCGACAGTAGAACCTTCGAATGACGGAGTCGTTTTGAAGATTACCCGTCACCTAATTGTACCCATTATATTACACCTCCTTTAAAATCATAGCCCACCATCATTATGGGGCCTGGCTATGATTCGGCTGCAAGCAACACCATGGCTAATCCACAAACCTGAAATTTGTTGGTAAAGTGCTCGTCCAGAATTTCACTGAAGAACGGGAAATCCCAGGGAGATAAATTTTGAAACATGAAACAATTTGAAGGGTGTGGAAGATTTTTCGGAAGTCCGACAAACACCTAACTGAAATACCTCGTTATAGCTCATCTCTCGTCAGTAGAACCTTCGTATAGCGGAGTCGTTTAGAATATTACCCGTCACTTAGCTGTACCCGTTTAATTACACCTCCATTCAAAGAATAGCCCACCGTCATTATGGGGCCTGGCTATGATTCCGCTGCAAGCACCACCGTGCCTGATCCACGAATCTGTGAAATTCGTTTGTTAAGTGCCCCTACTGGAACTCATCGTTGAGTGTGGGTAATTCCTGGGAGGAAACAAACTGAAAGGTGTGGAAGATTTTCGACAAACACCGTCATTAAAATAGGTCGTTATAGCTCAGTTTTCGACAGTAGAACCTTCGAATGACGGAGTCTTTTATAAGATTACCCGGCACCTGCTTGTACCCGTTAAATTACACATTTTTAGAAAACATAGCCCATATCGGGCCTGGCTATGATTCCACGAACCTGTGATGTGAAGTGCTCCTCCACATATGTCACTGAAGAGTGGGAATCCCTGGGAGATGAGCCTGCGCGCCCACCCAACCTCCCCCACTTCTTCTTGACAATAGACTGTGGACTTCCCCTACCCCTCACAGCATATCGAGACAGAGGTTGAAGTCGGTTTAGTATGGCGGAATGTGTCAAAGCGAGCCAGTGTTTTCTAGCCTATGTTTCAACATTACATAAACACTTCCTCTGGTTCAGATTTTGCTACCAGGACATCTAGTTCTAACGACGTGTTGCGACCCACCCGGGTCGGGTCGGGTCGGGTCGACCAGGTCGGGTAGACCCGACCCGACCCAACCCAACCAAAAGGCGACTCGAGAAAACAAAGAATTTCCCGTCGCCTTCTCTCAAATTCGAATTAAAAAGAAGGCAAGTTCTCCGCAGGTGGAAGGTGGGCGAGGCAATGTTTGGCGATATTACCGGGTATCTTTTTGTTAAACGACATACAAGCGACATTCGCGCGAGAACCGCTGATTTCGCAGGCTTGGGTAACCAGCTCCAGCTCGGTTGGGTTGGGTCTGGTCGGCCTGGTTGGCCCGACCTGGTCGACCCGGGTCGGGCAGACCCGGTTGGGTTGCGTTGGGTCGACCTGGTCGGGTTACCCGCGACGCAGCCTTCCTAGAAATTTGGGATCGGGTGCTGGTCGACCCGACCCGTGTGGGTCGCAACACGTCGTAAATGAGCAATAATAAATAGAAAATAAAGCCAACAATTCCAATACAACTAAAGCTAGCTGGTGAGAACAATACAGATGCAGCCGCATGTTCCTATGTCGGGGGGCAGTGGCCGCTGTTCCTATGTCATTCGCACAGGTGACCGCAAGGGACAGACGTGTGGGAGGTTCCACACCCCGTACCGCTGCTTCTCCCGCCTTGACGACGCTTGGCGTGAGGAGATGGGCGCGGATGTTGAGCGCCCCCGCTGGGCTGAGCTCATGAGGGCTGGTGTTGATGTCTTTGCTCTTGACTATGATGCTATTATTGCTGCCATGTATGCATTGACTGTTAGTGCCGAGGGAGACTGTTACTTGTGTGTGCCGCCTGACCCAGGTATAGAGCCCGCTGCCCTGGGTACTAGTGAGTCTGCTCTCTCTGGTATGGTGCCCCCTGTACTTGCTCCCCCCAGTGCTGTCCTGGCTGGTTTCGAGTCTGCTCTCTCAGGTACAGCACCCACAGAGACTGCTCTCTCAGGTACCGCACCGGCTGAGGCCTGTCACACCTTCACCCTTGACTCAGGTGCTTCCCGTTGCTTCTTTCGTGACAGTACTGAGCTCACACCGCTTCCTGCACCGGTCCCAGTCTCCTTGGCTGACCCCTCTGGGGGCCCAGTCCTTGCCCAGTCCACCACTGTCCTCCCTTGTCCGGCGGTTCCGTCTGGCTCGTTGTCGGGTTTCCACCTCCCCTCGTTCTCGACGAACCTGGTGAGCAACGCTGTCCTCCAGGATCAGTGGGTTGACACCTTTACCCCTGGCGGACAGCGTGTGGCGATCTGCACGTGCTCCAGGACCGGCCGTCACCTGGCTACGTTTACCCGTCGGCCGGGGTCGAGTCTCTACACACTGACCACTGCGTCTCCTCAGGTCGCTGCTGTCGGTCAGGTGTCTGCGTCAGGTCTGGTAGCCCACGCCTGTGAGTGTCGTTCCTTGTCGCACCAGACTCTTCTCTGGCACCACCGCCTGGGTCACCCCTCCTTGCCACGCCTTCGTGGCATGCACCGTCGCCACCTTGTGTCTGGTCTTCCCAGGTCCCTCCCTCCCCTCCCTGCCTCGCCTGCGCCGCCTTGCCTTCCTTGCGTCGAGGGGCGGCAGCGCGCCGCTCCTCACTCCTCCTCGTTCCCCCCGACAGAGGCTCCTCTGCAGACCCTCCACCTGGACGTGTGGGGCCCAGCCCGCGTTCGTGGTCAGGGCGGTGAGCGGTACTTTTTGCTGGTTGTCGACGACTACTCGCGTTACACCACGGTCTTCCCCTTGCGCACCAAGGGTGAGGTCCCTGCTGTTCTGATCCCTTGGATCCGCACGGTTCGTCTCCAGCTCCGCCGCCGTTTCCGGACGGATCTTCCTGTCCTGCGTCTGCACTCTGACAGAGGTGGTGAGTTTTCCTCCGATCTCTTGAGGACCTTCTGTCAGGCGGAGGGCATCGAGCAGACCTTCACGCTTCCGGACTCCCCACAGCAGAATGGGGTTGCTGAGCGCCGCATTGGCCTGGTCATGGAGGTCGCTCGTACCTCCTTGGTCCACGCGGCGGCTCCCCATTTTCTGTGGCCGTTTGCTGTCCGGTACGCCGCGCATCAGCTCAACCTCTGGCCCCGTGTCTCCTTGCCGGAGACCTCGCCCACACTGCGTTGGACGGGGGAGGTTGGCGATGCATCGCGCTTCCGGGTGTGGGGTGCTCGTGCCCTTGTCCGCGATACGTCCGCGGACAAGCTCTCCTCCCGCACGCTTCCCTGTGTCTTCCTTGGCTTTGTCCCTGACGCGCCTGGCTGGCAGTTTTACCACCCCACCTCGCGCCGGGTCTTCGCCTCTCAGGATGTCACCTTTGACGAGTCGGTCCCTTTTTACCGTCTCTTCCCCTACCGCACTGCCCCCCTCCCTCCCCCGCCGCTTTTCCTTGCTCCTGGTCCCCCTCCGGTAGACCCCCTTCCCCCTCAGGGTCCTGCTCCTTCAGGTGTCTCTCAGGTAGACCCTCCTCCCGTCGCTGAGCCTGTCGAGTTCACAGGTGACTCAGGTGCTGCTGCGGGTGGTGCTGCTGGGAGTGCTGAGCCTGGGGGTGCTGAGCCTGGGGGTGCTGGGCCTGGGGGTGCTGGGGCTGCAGGTGCTGGGACTGAGGGTGCTGGAGCTGAGGGTACGGTGCCTGAGAGTACGGAGCCTGGGGGTGCTGAGCCTGGGGGTGCTGAGCCTGCGGGTGCGGGGCCTGGGAGTGCTGGGACTACGGGTGCTGGAGCTGAGGGTACTGTGCCTGAGAGTTTGCCGCCTGGGGGTGCTGAGCCTGGGGGTGCTGCGACTGGGGGTGCTGAGCCTGCGGGTACTGAGCCTGCGGGTACTGAGCCTGGGGGTGCTGCTACTGAGCCTACGGAGCCTCGGGTTACTGCGTCTGGGGGTGCTCCGGTTCGGGGTGCTGAGCAGTCTCTCACACCGCAGCAGCTTCGTGACTGGTACGTCCGGCGCTTT